GAATTTGTATTCATCTCCGTTTGTTTAAGATACTGTAATGTTAAATATAATTTTTGGAAAGTCTTTGAAAAAATAGCTCAGAATACAAGTGAATCTACGTGAAAATATAATTTTTGCAAATACTGAAATGTTAGGGGTGAAAATAAAACTCGTAAGGCCGCAATCAGGTACAAGACCCTTATGACCTAGACAACACGGGGAATCCAGAGTTGATTTGGTATGGAGTAGGTATATGAAAAACCACCAAAAAGTTTGATCGAGATGGAGCGGGTTAAATTTTAGCCTTTTCGACCCATACTCATACCCCAACCTCCGCCAAGAGATTCTTTATATAAAAAAAATAGAGAGATCAAATTGCAAAATGTCAATTAAAGCTGGCAATTCAAAAAATTAAAATAAAATAGTTAAAATGTAATTGAGTGACAACCCAAACCAAAATCTTATCTTCTTTCTCTCCAATTCCCCTCAACTCCTTCACTTCTTTATATCTTTTAACAAGAGTATTTAGAAATAGTGTTAGAATTAAATAATATTGTAATTTTCCTTATGGATTAATGAATTATTTTAGGATTGCTTGTGTTAAATTCGTATTAAAATGATTGTATCATTGTTGATTTCATGATTTATTTGGTCCGTTTAATGTTACAATTAAATATCTGCATGTTGAATTTTGGATATAGTATGTTGAATATAAGCGGCAAGTATTTTACCATGGGTATCCGAAAACCACGATATGAAAATAAGGATGCAAAGCCTTCACATATCAGTATCAAACGAGTACAAATTTGAATATTCAGAAATAGGACTCATTCAGTCAAAAATCGATTTTACAGTATAGTCGCTTATGACGAACATATGCCTTGACATTATCCTCAAATTAACCATTTAATTTGTAATCTTCCGACAAAAATGACTATTCCACCGTAAAAGTTTTCTTTTAATTCAAAATGATCAAATACGTAGAATCCGAGCAAGTTGTTGCTGAAATTTGCACGAGTCAGCAACCAATGATTAACGATGGCTCTGATGTGTTTTAAAGGGACCGACGAGACGAACTGCCAGTTTTCGGATACGATATACCCATCATTGTTACTACGGAACCATTTACTCTCGAACCCAGAGCTAACTGGTTGTCCCCAATCGAAATGCGTTGAAGCACAACAGTTGACTGAACATCTAGAGATTGAGTAAAGCACTCTTTCGGATCTCTAATTTTCTTCCTATGAAATAATTGACTCAAATGAAAGAAAATGAATATGGACAATAATTTCAAATCTAAAGGTCAATACTCTGACAACTTTACTTACGTAGGGCAGAGTTTGTTTTTTTTTTTTTTTTTTCTCCCCATTCCAAATCCTTCCATCGCCATTGCTAGTTGCACCGTGGAACAAGAAGCTTTGTCCGCTGGTGACAAAAGTTTCTAGTGGCGAGACTTTGGGGGTGCCGAACCACAAATAACGATTAACAACCATGAAGAGACAGCCCAAAAGTTAAATTAATTGGCCAGCCAGCCAGCCAGCCACGCAGTTGAAGTTGGAATAATATAACGGTTGCCGATCAAGCATGGCCCATGCACGATCTGTCAACTGATTGAGCTTGGCTCCCACTTCAAAAACCTTGACATATATTTGTCCGCCGCGTTCTTCTAGAAGGCCAGCAAGCAAATCAGTCGACGGTTCCCTTCTTCTAGAAGGCCAGCAAATATGAGGTCACATTCCTTCTTCTGGTTGAGTTGTGAGATTCCAGAAATGAAAATGATAGTATAGGCTCCAAGGAATCATACCCAACTCGATCGAATTAAATTATGATTGATAAACAGCTAGCTAAGCTAAAACAGAAATATATATAATTATAAGGAAAATTTATTATTTGCAACAACAACAACAACAAAAATCGTGTTATTCTATGATTTTCCATTGCTTTTTATTATTTTACTTAATCGTATGTATATTTTTAAAAATTTGGGGAAAATTAAGATGAATATGGTGAAACTTACTTCTCAAAAAATGCATTTGAAGACTGATATATTTTAGGTTATAATTATATGTGTAACTTTCTTGGTATACTATGGCCTTTGTTTTAATCATGTGTACAATCGTGGACGGTTTTTAAGGAATCTGATTAATTTATATTATTTAATTTTCTGCCTATCGAGTCTATGGAAGTAATTCATATAATTAATTAATAACAGAAAGCATTATGGTCAAAACTAGAAAACAACGGTTTTAATTAGTAGGATCACTGGGTAAACATGAACTTTTGACTAAATGTGTTTTCCACATGTTTTTAACTTTAGGGGTAACAGTATATATTGGAAAGGAATTAAATCAAAACGATAGGAATAGGATTAGTATCTAACACATCCACAAATGACAATTACCTACAGCTTACGTGGACAGGCACACCATCGCATATATCCTTGGAAAATTCTGCATGTTTTAAACGTTCACGGCATAATATGTTTTTATGATCATTAATTACGCCCCATAACATCAAATATGATATTATCAATGTGATCTGAGAGGTGACCCAAAGGCCGTCCGGATGATCCACGCTTTAATTTCGAGCTTAATTAAGTTTTTTTGTAAGAGTTTCTAGCTTAAGTTAGCATTGAAGTGAAGGTATGGAAGTAGAGAGAAATGAAGAGATAAAATAAAGTTTTAGAGAGCTAAACTGATCGACATAGTGACGTGGGGTTTGGATGAGATGAGGATTTTATTCAAGGCAAGTCTAATTAAAAAAAAAACGGTGAGATAAATATTGTTATAATTTACAATGGTACCTTGATGTGTTTTCATAGGTTGGATTTTTTCTAAAATATATTTATCATCTAAATTATCAATAATGTCATATTGTTAATGTATTACATTGAAGTAGTATATTCATGTTGTTCATTACTGATTGTGTTTTCATGTAGCTTATTGGTTCAAATAGTACTCTTTCGACATGTACAATGACAACCAGTGATAATTTCTCAAATTCATACACAAACAAAAGTGATCACTCATTCGATTGTGTTAAACAAAGATCGATCTCAAATTTGTTGGCTCGTGGATCTGGAAGTAGATATTGGAGTGTAGATAGCACTTGCACAACCGTTTTTAGAAGGAAACAATTTTGGTCTATGGTGGGATCGGGGCCATTTGAACCTTATTTAGTTGGAAGAGCCAGGAATTCAGCTAGACCTCATGATTCTATTGTGAATTGATGTAGTTGGGTTGGGGACGTATTCTAAGCCAAAGCGCCAAAGCTTCATATTCTATGGCTTGCCATTCTAGAACAGATCGGTGATGCGAGATTTGAATTCTAATTTGAGGGGAAACAAATTAATTCAATCAAATTCAATTTACTATTACTACATGAAACAATTCAATTTATAGAAACGAAACGAGGGAATGCTATGATATGTGTCTTGCTCTAATCTCTGAAGAAGCCTCTAACCGTCATCAATTAGATTTGATGAATTTGAATTCACGTTATATAGTTTTAAGTAATAAATTTCACAAACGTTAATTGAGGAATCAGGATAATTATTCCTCTGGAAGTCTGGAACTAAAATGATACCAGTCTCTTAAGTACCAAACAAGTTTATGAAATTAGTTATATAACCCAATACATTGCCAAGATTGATGGCTCTAAAGTCTAAAATGATTTAAGAGTATAAAATAAATAAAAGATCAATTAGTGCACAAGCAGTTTACCGCAAATTTTGTTTAAAGTTCGGCCTAAAAAGAAATAAAATCGGGGAAGAAGATTACACAGAGAAATGGAAAGTTCGGTGTCGAAAGATATTTCCAATCCTACCAAAAAAAAAAAAAAGATATTTCCAAAAGCAAGCTAACGACACCACAGAATATCATCAAAGTATTTATTTACCAAAAAGATCAAGTTTTCAATGAAATCACTCCTTTTTCCCTTGTCAAATATTTGCAGTGTTGGCTGGAAAAATATTCGACGACAAGAATAGTCTACCGACACATTCAAAATCTGACAATTTTCCTAAATAAGCATTTTGATCGAATTAGTTCCTTGTCTGGAAATTTTGACCCGGCTCCAGAAGGTAGAATTTCCTAATCACGCTTAAGTGATAGGGTTCTTGTTAACCAAGGAAAGATAATGTATTAGTTAGCAAATTGTTTCAAAATAAGGTAACCAAATTTCTTTTATAAATGTGATAGATTTTTGACGAAATCTCAAAATGCTATCCTTAGGTTGAAAACAAGTGGTACTGCTACTATGAAATGTTTTCATTCCAAGATTAGGGGTGTTCAAACGCTGTGGTTATCGTGGTAATCGTTTTAACCGGTAGTATTTGATTAATTTGAATAATTGGTTTGGTTTGGTTAAAAATTTAGCTTGTTTGGTTTAGGTGGTTTGGTTTCAGACACTCCTAACCAATCAAATCAAATTAACTAGTTAAGTAATTAGTCATATATCTAATTCTATATTATATACACATACTTAATACTTTACATAACCACTCAAGAGTCAAATGTAAGATAATTGTAATTGTTACATGTATTTACGTTAAGGGTTACCTATAATTATGTGGATTGTTATGTGTTATTCATTATATAAATTGCGAATTGATGCACTAACCGGAATTTTTTCTCACTTAATGATAATGTTATGTTATATTGGTTAACCAATTGACCAAACCGATTAAACTTTAGTTTGGTTAATTTGGTTGTTGTACTAGTTTGGACAGTTTGGTTATGATATTATATTACATGGTTAATAGAATTTAGGCTTATTTGATTTGGTAATTACCATTGTAACCATTTGAACACCCCTACTCAAGATAACGTAGCTTATACTAGTATTGAGTATGTTCGTTTAAGGTGCCTCTTACGCACTAATCTAATAGACAATAAAGCCGTCAACATTAAGTACACGATAATATTGAAATTAGATAACACATTCAACCGGTAATATATTGATATAAACCGATCAACATCTTGATCAATATACATCAGATGGATTCTTTGCCTACGACCCTACGTCATACCAACCAATACAGATTCTTCTATATATTTGTTCATCATTCTGATTTGATTGACAACTAAGCGTTTTCATAATACGACTATGGATAAAACTCGATACGACAAACCATGAAATTTACCCTTAAAACTTTTTATATTTAGTCCCACTAGTTCAAAATAGGATTGAATTTCAAATTCCAACTCATTGTATTTAGTTATTAACTATTGAGTACCGATCATCTAGAACATTTTAACAGCTAGACAAGAAGTCATGATTGTACTCTCCCTAAAACGTACCTTTCCATTTTTCACTGTACCGTAAAGATATGTTATAATGCACTTTGTAACCGATGGACCCAAATAATATTAATTTATGTGGTAAGAGGAAAAGCTTCTAGAAACCCTTTAACTCTTCTTCTTCTTCTCTCTCCAGTTTAGATACCGACCGGTCACTGACTCATCATCCCCAGCCGATTTCAGTACAGGCTCCGCCAGCTGACTCAGCATCCGGAGGCACCGCAACTCAGCCGAGTCCCGAACGAGTGACAGCCGAGCCGAGCCGCTCCGTGTTTCGTGGATACGGCTTGCCACACTCGCCCAGCCCAATCAAAACATCTGGGGCATAGGAGGGAAAATTACATAACGGCCAGCTAAATTTTTGAGTAACTAAAAACGGGTCTCCAAAACTTAAAAATTTCGACAAACAATCACTGGACTTTGAACTAATTAACAGAAAGGTAGTGGTGAATAATGACTTCTATCCATCACCATGTGATTTTGCATCCACAATCAGTGAGTTGTAACTTGTAACGAAACTTGAATGATTTCGAGACTATGTCTGCAGGGCGCTCGATTAGAGGATTTTCGGTCAAAATTGCGACGGACCGCCGCAACTGTTCTTGCGGAGGTCTCGGCTTTCATCCAGGGGGACTAAAGTTGGTGTGGAAGTGTGGTTACAGAGCAATCGAGATTGAGACCAACTCGCAGCTTGCCATTCGGTTTATTCAGAGCAAACTCGATCAAATTCATCCATATGCTACTCAGTTATTTGCGATTCAAAGGAAACTTAGTCGAGATTGGTTGGTTTGTTGTTACTCATACATACCAGAAAGGGAATAGAGTATCGAACAATTTCTCGAACACACAGTCTCGCTATCCCTATGGTATGTATGAGCTAGCCGACCCACCACCCAAACTAGTTTCGATCCTCCGATAGGATGTTTTAGGCATCACTGCTCGTCCCTCTTCATCTCTCTAATCCCCTCCTGTAACTTTTTCTGTTTTCTTAGCTTCCTTCTATATCAATGCAAAAAAAAAAAAAAAAAAAAAACAACTTGAATGACTATTAAGCAATAAATCCCTACGGATAAGTCCTCACTGGAAAATAGAACCCCCAACACAAAAACTTAACCATGGTTCTCCCCCAAACAAGCAAATAAAAACTCAACCATGGTTAAATATAAGCCACAAATCCCTCTCTCCCCTTACCGCACCGGCATCGACCCCTTCCTATATAAACGCCTCAAAGGTCTTCCCCTCCATGACCTAAAATTCCCAACGGAATCCTCTGAACCATCAATCCAAGCAATCGGAAAAAACTTCCAACACCGATCAATCAATCGGAGCAGAAAAAATGGCATCCGCCTCATCTTTTCTCAGCCTGCCTTCTTCATCTTCTCTAATCGCCCCCAATCTCGAATCCGGGCGGTTTCACTCTTCGCAGCCGTCTCGAATCGGGTTCCAGCCGCTCCGAGTCTCCGCCTCCTGCGCTTCCACCGCCGAGAGGGGGACCAGCACGTCCACAGCGGGAAGTCGCCGGCGAGGCGTCAACCCCGCCGCCGCCTCCTCGTTCTACGAGGTTCTGGGGATCCCGATGGGCGCATCGTGCCAGGAGATCAAGTCGGCGTACCGGAAACTGGCCAGAGTCCTCCACCCGGACGTCGCCGGCGAGGAGAGCGCGGCGAGCGAGTTCATCGAATTGCACAGGGCGTACGAGACGCTTTCCGATCCGGCCAAGCGGGCCGATTACGACCGGTCCCTATTCCGGCTGGGGCGGTCGATGAGCTACGCCTTCGTGATGTCGGCCGCTTCGGGTTCGGGATCGGGTTCCCGGTCCGGGTACACCAGCCGGAGGTGGGAGACTGATCAGTGCTGGTGAAAATCAGTAGGGACTGATTTGCAAAGGGGGGAAAGATGCTGGACTGTTTTGGAGCCTCTTAGATCTATGTATAGGTAGTAGTATTAGACTAGTTTAGATCGATTCAGAAAATTAGAGCTCGATTCTGAAATTCGCCATGTACGTAGCAAACCAACACCTTTCCTGAGTTCGGATCTTCTGATGATGTATCAGTTAACGGGCGGCATTTTTTTTTTTCCCAGCCCGAGTTTCAATGGAATGTCCTTGGATTTGAATGAATCATTGTTGCAAAATTTGAGGATCAAAATGGAATTTGGTAGTTGGAAAAGTATTGCAGTTTTGATCTACACAACACACCAAGAAAGATTTCTCTCATGGGCTTCTAGAAGCAAAGCTCAAGTATGGAAAGAGAGTAGCCAATTGGCATTCGGTATCTAAAACGAAATTCTCTAGTTTCTTCACTTCCCCCCTTTTGATTTAGGTAGGACACAAAATAAGCATGGGACCCCAAAAGGGCAATTTGGTACTCCCGTATCATCAGTTGGGATCTCGAACATATCGTAATTTTAGAAGTTCATGGTTGATAGTATCAGATCGTACAAGTCTGAATCTCATATATTTTAATGACCAGAGTAAAATTTACCAGTTCAGATTGGTGATGATAATTTATGTAATTAACATGCGAGTAAAGTTAATAATTGAGATAGAGAAGGGCAAAATATCATGATATCAAGTCATGTTATGTTTGATCATTCCGACACCTAGAAAAAAAAAATTCAAAAGGAAAGGCAAAATAAGATGCCAATTAACCGGAATGAGACTTTTCAGATAAGGGGGATCTAAGGTGTGGAGGGCAACCTATGTTAATTACATTGATGGTTAGTTTTGTTTGTAGTTTATGTCCATCCAATGGTGTCTCTCTTGATGGGGACTCGGGAAGGGAGACTAAATAATGCATCACTTTAATAATAGTTTTTTTTAAAGTAATTAATGATTCCGTCTCTGTCATTAAAGAACGTAAAAAAGGATTAGTGAATAATCAATTAGCTGTCAACCTCAATCAATGGGGGAGAAGAGAACAAGGGGCGGTGACCCTGAAATTAGTAAAAAACTAACCGTTGGCTGGAAGTTGAAGTTGAAGTTGGATACCCGCCCGGGGCCATATAGTTGGAAATGACCAAAAAAACAACAACAAACAAATTAGTGGGAAACCAGTGGGCGCAGCAGCTCGATTTTGCAGCTCACATGGGTTGGTTGGTTCGGCCTTTTGTTGCCTTGTTTGTTGGTAAATATTAGACCATAGTTTTCGTGACGTTCGATGTGCTTTTACAATTAAGCTTAAGAAACTAAGCCCACAGAAATACCTGACGACAGAGTGGAGCGATCCTAATTCCTACATGACTTCAACTAATGAGCGACTCGTTGTCTACATTGAAAAGGTTAGTGGTAGGATATATTGTACTAAAATTGTGATTTAATTACGGTTCACTAGTTTCGTATATCGTTACAATCGCCTATTTTTTGACGTTTGTGATCCGGTACCCGATATTTTTTTCGGTCCGGCTAAACGGTGGAGTATGGTAAGGTTTCGTAAACGTTGGTTGCAAAACACCGATTTCGTAACACGAGTTTCAAATTTATGATGTCAGGTATTTGAGACAACTCAATCTGTTAGTGGGGAGCTATTTGTAGCATACGAGGGATCATAATGTCACTCCATATGTGTTTCAGAGATTATAACATGTGGGAATGTTTGAACATACACTTGGAAGTGTTAGGATACAATCTGTTAACTTCTTGTCCAGTATTTGGATTGAAATTTTATGTTGTTGTTGCATTTTTTTAATCAAAGCCTCGTTGTAATTGCCGACTACCCTAAGCATCTACATTGGTTGCATCGGCGATGTTCTTACCTTGCAAAACAGTAGGCTTCCGAGATTTATAAGACGTTTGGATGGGGACAATTGGATGTGGCACTTTGCGCCAATTGCTCCAAAATTGAGGCATTTGAGTTAGAAAAAAAAAGTCACGGGTGTGGCATTTTGAAGCCCACGTTTTATGATATTTGGAAAACATAAGAAATGGGTTTGTATTTCCATATGATGCATTTTTTCCCCTCCTTCAATGCTATGTTTTTAATTGTAGTATTTTTCTTTTACAACAAATAAAAACATTCAAACAAGCCGTCGTCGTCATCTGTGTCTAATGACGCTCTTCTAGCGAAACAAGGGCGAACATATTGTTAGTATCACTAATCACCTGCACTTGGTTTCCAAGTAGGGATGTTAATAGGCAGATTTTTGCCATTATCATCCTCATCCTCATTCTCATTTCCAAGAACTCAAACTCTTACTTGTCACTTACCCATGTGGAGAGAGATTTCACAACCTCATCCACGTACCGTGGATAATGTCCGTTCGGTATATTCAGTATTATTGTACCTAGAATAAATATAATAATTGACATGACTTTCTTTGCGGATCGGAAAATAGGAGAACTTAACAATGCAAGAAAAGGAAAGCAAGAAAGAAAGAAAAAACACACGGAAAACACACGAATTTACATGGTTCACTAATACGATGTGTGTTAGTTAGTCCACGGGCAGGATAGAGTCACTTTCACTTAATTTCGAGAAGATACAGATTACAAAGTAGTATGAGAAGTAGCGCCAGATAGTCCAATTCAAGTCAAATCAACAATAATTTATAATAAACATGTAAATATTCGACTATAACATTTAAACAAACCTAATAAACAGTAAAGTATTAAAAAAAAAGGTACAATCATGATTGATATGTCAAAACATCCAGTCCTACAACATTCATTATTCCACGAGACAATCACTACTTTTGCTATTCAATCACTATTTTTGCATACATATAATAATACCCCTTTGCAAGTTCGATGTGGTGTGAATATTGGTACCATGGTACGTGGTGGGCGACCTAAAACCATCCCCACCTCATTTCATCAATTTTTTTCATTTGAGTTTATTCATATCTACCTCATATATAATATACTAACTCTCTCTCTTATTATTATTATTTTTTTTTTGAATATGTTCGCTCTCCCTTCTCTCTAAAGGCCAACGCCTTTTCCCTTCTCATCAGGGTTGCCGCCGATTTTCCTTTGGTGACCGGCAGTGGCCCAAAAATTTCCTTTTGCTGTTCTTTTCTATATTATGCTTGTCCTGCGTTTTCCCCGTGCCCATGGTGGCTTTTTCCGGACCTTCATGGTCATTCTCCAAGTGGTTCTATCAACAATGTTCTTTCAAGTTTCTAGATCTCGTTTGGCTTTGCTCCTTGGATCTGAAAATTGCAACTTGGAGTGCTTCTAATGGTGTGTTGCTGTTGGGGGGTCTACTCTTTGTTGGTGTGCTCATCTCTTATGGTGAGCAGATTCACTGTTCCTCCCTTCCTTCTGTCACTGGTTTTCTTGAAGACGTTCTGTCGACTGAAGTAGGGGGTGTGGTGTCATTTTCGGGGTCGTTGGTTTTGTTGATCTGGCTTTCTCGATATGGTGAAATTGATTCTTCATTTTTCCCAGTTCCTGGTCATCCTAGCCCCCGGTTTCCTCGGCCTTTTCAGCTCAAAGAATCTGGGTTTCAGCCTGCCCACTGCCGAGTAATCCATTCCATGAGATTCACTGTGATGGGTCGTCTCTGAACGATCCCCAGGTGGAGGCTTATGGCGTTGCAATGTTCAGTAGCCATGGGCTTGTCTGGTTTCGGGCGAGTTAAAACCTTGCTTGTGCTGATTGTTGTGGAAGCATCCTGTTGTGGAGATTCTTTTGTTGGAGATCAATCTATTTCCTGTTCATTTTCTGGCCTTCTCTTTTGATTTAGATTACTTTGACATTTGGCTCCATTGTTGCTCTGTTTCCTGCTCTCATTGTAGTTCTCACCCCTTGTAACCGTGACTCTCATTGCAATACAAGTGCTCCTCTTGTAAAAAAATAAATAAATAAGGAGATTCACGAATTTATTGGGTGAGGCAGTAAGATAAAGGTGAGTTTTTTTTTACCAAAAGAGCTACTTATATTACAATTTGGAAGAGCGATTATAGATGGTGGAGGTGGAGAATACAAAAATTGACAAAAAGCTCAAGAACCCCCAAACAACCATAAGGATATATCCTGTTGGAAAGATGCATCATTAAGAGGGGAAAAAAAAGCATAAAACAACTCCAACTAAGGGGAGCCAAAGCCTCAGACCTCAGTCAAAACAAAAGTATCCTAAAACCCTCACACAACTGCCACCGTCGAAGAAGCACCAAAACAGGAGTGAGCATATGACACAACACATGACCATGGCAATGAGTATAACAATACCATAAGCCTCCTTCTAGAAACCATTCACAGACGACTTATCACAATGAATCTCGGTTTTTTTATTACATTTTGGGGAACACGAAGACTGAAGTTGTATTGATCAGAGTTTACAGGGCCAGAGAAACCGGAGTCCGCAGACTAGGTCCAAGGAGAAAAGGGAAACCAGAGGGTTGGAGGCAAGCCCAACATAAAACCCAAACCAAATAAAATAAACCTACAACTTGAAGCCCGAACCCATGCAGGGCCATCAGATGAATTGAAGCCCAAATCCAAATCATCTTTTCCTGGGCTTGTCAGGAAGCCGGAAAATAATAGTGACACACACCACATACGCATTAGCTCCTGATAATAATTAAACCCTTGACTGTGGATATCCGACCCTCGCGACCTAGTTAACACGGAGAATTCCCGTTTTGACCATGTATGAGATGGGTATGGATAATATTTGTAAAAATTATGATAGGTACACTTACAGGACGAGTATGGTTTTAGCCTCCTCCGCCCCATACCCATACTCATACCCACCCACTAAGAACATTTCTTCACATATAAAAAATACATGGATCAAATTGTAAGTATCGTGCCACCCAAATCAAAACCTAACTCATTTCTCTCAATTCTCCCTTCATTGTTTCACTTTTGCCTCTTGTTAATAACATTATGTTAGTTAATTATTACTTAGCACATGTATTAGAGTTAGAGAATAATGATTTGAAAAATATTATACTCTATCTTACAGATTAATGGATGTTTTACAATCATATGATTTAAACCGTATTAAGAATGATTTTAGCTTTGTTGACTTCATGATATAGTAAGTACGTTCAGTGTTATAATAAAAAAATTACATGTAAAGTTTTAGGTATAATAATGTTTGATGTACGGGGTAGATATTATCTATGGATACCCGAAACCAGTGTTATTAAGACCGGACCGAGCCGGCCGGCCGGACCGCTAAAGCCACCATCCGGCTGTAAAACCGGCTCGGGCCAGTCATTTAGCCGCTACGGTTTTATGGAGCGGCCGAGGTGGTTAATCACTCGAACGCTCAAAACGGTCGCTCGGTTTTCCCCTTTGGCCGTTCTATTTAATAAAAAAAATGAAAAAGAAAATTGAAAACCAAAGGCAAAATCGTGGGACTGAGAAAGAAACCTTAACTCTAATTCAGTTTTCGTCTTCGACTTTTCGTGAACAGAGGGAGAAGAGCAGCGCCAGACCTTGCCGCCTTCAACACTTTCCGTCCTGGCTTCCCGTCGACATCGTCGCCTTCCCCAGTCAACGTAGCAGCTCCCAGCTCGACATCACCAGTCTCCGTCCCCGTCCCCTCTTCCAGTAGCAACTCCTCCGCTATGTCGTCACTTCCCGTCCAGACGCTTCCCGTAGCCATCCCCAATCTATGTAGCCACTCCCGGCTCCCCGCTCGCATGTTTTGGAATTGTTAAGGTTTAAGAGTGTAATTTACTAATTTAAACGATTTAATGTCGGTTTGACCATTAAAGACCGAGCCGTTCACATTATCGGGTCATACTCCAGTTCGCTTTTGACAACATTACCCGAAACCCACAAGTACGGAGATGAGTTTGCAAAACCCTTCCCGCATGGATATTAGATAGGTATGGGTTGAATATTTGAAAACGGAGATTGAAAATGATTTAGACAACTGGCCCATGGATTTTGTACTTGCGGGCTGGCAATAGTATCAACTATCAAGTATCAAGATGGGCGGATCGTAGAAAAAAACTTTAGCTTCAGCACAAAAGCCCAACAAACTGAGTTACATACTTTTGTTGAAACTAGCCGCCGTCGGCTGGTCTCAGGCAGCGCAGAAATGGCTAGACTGATACGGCCCTTGCGCCAACAATGGCCGCAGGTCAATAACCACCATTGTTGCCGCTCAAGTCCTTCGCTCCACCATCTCCTGACCTCTCCAACTTCAACAATAAGCTGCTGCAGAGCCGCTCCGCAAATTGTCTGTTTCGCTGCTACCCCTATCTCCTCTCACCGCAGCGTCCACACTCGCACTCGCGCACGCGGTCCGAGATTCGCAAACGCTCCGCGGTCGGCCGATGTCGACGAGAAGGAAGGCGAGAGCGGAGGCAGCGATTCCGAATCCGATGGAAAGAAGAGCCGCAACGAGAAGAAGCGCGAGGCTCGCCGTGCCGTCCGTTGGGGGATGGAGCTCGCCGCCTTCGCTCCTCCGCAAATCAAACGGATTCTCAGGTACCCTTAGCGAATCCAAGTTCTGCCTTCTCCAGGTTAGGATTTAGTAATTAGCTTGATTGTTTGTATTTGGGGAAAACCTACAGGATGGCTAAGCTTGAACGAGAGGTGTTCGAAGCTTTGACGCTTGTAAAGGTGCACATTTCTTCCCCTGATTATCTTTGGGCAAGCAGTTGAGTTTCTGTAAGATATTGTAGCTAAGGTGTTTGTTCAATTGTCGCAGAAATTCGGACCAGACGTCAAAGAAGGGAAGCGAAGGCAATATAACTATATCGGTAAATGATTCCTTGTTGTTGTCGAATTAGGGTTAAAATTCTCTTTTCATTTTCTCAATTGAATCAATCAATCCTACATGTGAAATGGTTTGCACAGGGAAGCTCCTTCGTGATGTAGAACCTGAGCTAATGGACGCCTTGATCCACGCAACCAAGGATGGGGACTGGAGTAGGCTGCAGACCATTCCTGGTTTCAAAGCTGAAGAAGCCAATGACAAAGAAATCGAAGATGAATTCGAAGAGGAAGAAGAGGTACGATGAATTAGTTTACACCGCTAGTATTGGTTAATAAATAAAGCTTGGAATGATAGCTTAGTCAAAGAACTTGGTTATAGGGTTCTGGTTTCATCCATCTGAAGGGTACACATCGTAGTATCAGCCCCGTCCTAGTTTTTTTCTCGGTCTATCATTAAGCGAGTAATTTTTATATATTAAGAGAGGAAGGAACTGGGGAAACGCATATACAATCTGCCTATGAATCGTGCAGGGCAGAGACAGCCTCGTCCAAGCTAACTAGCTTTACTGAAAACGGCATTTGCTCAAATCACCATTTGATAAATCTGCCAGGTTTCTGAGGAGCACATTGAGATGTCGACCAGATGGTTTGATGGTTTAATCACAAATGACGTTGACATAACCAAAGAAGTTTATGCAGTTCGCGTGGTTGATTTTGATCGTCAGGCAAGTGTTAATCTGTCTTCTACAAGTATTTTACTATCATCATTACCTCATACCATATTATTAGAGGCTTATCATCAAGTCTGCCTGGTTGTAATTGACAAGCAGAGTGTGGATGGTCTGTTATTAAGTCATGGTGCTGCATTTGGTTTCGTTGTCTATTACGATTTGCAGGAGTTGCGGAAACTAGTACGAAAAGTGCATGCAGTTCGAGAACGGGAATCTGATGGAGACGAGGAGAGTGAGAAGAAGGCAGCCGCTGCCATGGCCACTGCCAAGAAGTCGCTCAACAGGTTCCTTCGTATCCTTGCCAAGCAGATGCCTACTGATACTGAATCCAATGCTATTGAGTTTTAATAAGAAAAATATGATTATTTCATCATTGGGCAAGTTTGGGTAAATGCTCTATTGGGTGATGTGATGGGCTGCACTAGGACTTCAGGCCCAATGGTCTACGGGCTTGGGCATGGTCATGGGCCTGGAAGTCCGTATTTGCCTTCTAAGCCTTGAAGACCACTTAATTTGCACTGTGCCAATGTACCACCAACAAAAGAAAAACCGCTGCCCTTGGAGAGGGACGTTAGCTTGGACCCGATCCATTCGTCCCTTTATCACCCATTCACCATTTATTTGTATTTTTCCTTCAATAGTTTCAATATATGTATCGTTAAGATCAAACCTTAATTTAGTTTTATAGTCTCGCGTACTCATTTATTCATAAATTACTTAACCTTGTATTTCCATATATTATGGTCTTTAACAGTGATATAGGTTTGTTTTTAAAGTTAGTTGTTGGTTAAGAAATTCGAATCTTAAACCTTCAAGTTGAAGAGTAGTGGTAGTATCACTAGACTAAACCTTGTTCGTATATATTATGGTCACGTTCTCATGTTACAATGGATATATTAGGGTTTGTAGGGTATCACTGTTCTGCCTAGGGTTGCTCACGGGCGATCGGCGTTCAATTCGGAAAAATTCATTTTTGGCTCGTTTACTAATGAGCTAACGAGCCACCTCGACTAGCGGTCTATGAGTGAATCGACTTATAGCTTACGAGTTAGCTTGTTGATAATTCATAGGTTTGTTAGATTATGTATCTCATTACATGTTGTGTTTAAGACTTTGAGTACGTGACTGAATATGTCGCGATTATAATTGGAAAGTGAAACTAGGTATCATAGATTATCTAAATACAAATTACTCTTAAATAACATTTTATGAACAATTAAAACTTGTGAGGCTAAATAATATGATATACGAGCTCGAGCCGATCTAGCGAGCTAATTGATTGGTTGAACTCGATTAGAGCTCATGAGCTTATTAATGAGTCGAGTTGGAGTCGGACACGACTAAGGTTTCACTAGAGCTCAAATTAGATCAAAATTCGGTTGGAATTGACTCATCCAGCGCTCTAGTTCTGTCCACATCACAACCGATTGTATTTTTATCCTTGGATAATGCAAATATTTCGTGGCTGTGAAGCATTTGGACGTGCGTATGTGAATCCAGAGGCGGTTCCAAATTGAATCAGTTTTGTATTTGATTGAGATTGGATGATGTTTGCGGCCGAAATGAAAACGAGCTCGCTCCATAAGCGGTGACGTCGCAGCCCCAAGCCATTTTAAGGCCTGATTTGCCGGACACAGACAAGGTTTAGTAGGTTCAGAAGAGACACATGACGATGCAAAACCGCTGATGCAACTGACAGTAACAAGCGTGTTTTGTCGACAAAGACAAGAGGGCGGTTGAATTATGTGGATCAAATTATCCCTCGTTTCTTCAATAATGCAAATTTAGAAGAAAGTAAAGTAAACTTTAATTTTCCTTGTTGGTTTTTAGCATCAGCTGATGCTATCGTATCATCATCATTCTCTCTGGATTTTCCATAAATATGGATTGTTATATCTTCTTCCACGGGAAGGCTAGCATAGCACTATGATGGAATGCAAATCACATTATTATTTGGTCCCATCTCTTTCGTCTAGGTAACACTAGTCATCATGAAACGATACCATCAATTGCATTTTTTGGGCAATTTGATTGTTCCACACGCATAAGTTGCTTAGAATATGACAAATACATAAACCAGTATACTCGATTAACAAAATAGGTATTACATGTAGGGCTGTCAATTTGGTCTAGGACTGTTTGGTTTTACCCGAAACTGGACCGGGACCGGATAGCAAACAATTCAATCTCATATTCGGGCTTAGATTTTAGGTAAAAAACCCGGATAAAGACCGGATAAGAGACCCCAACACTCAAATCCCCACAAGCTCAATCTAAAATCAAAATCAAATTGGGACCGGACCGGGTCAAGACCGGAGTGTATCCAATCCAATTTTTGGTCCTTATATTCCCGAAAACACCGGACTGGGACCGGATCAATTTGGTCCAATTTAACCGGACCGGACCGTATAGCCACCCCTAATTACATGTGATAAGCTGATAATACTTTTCTTGCCAAGGCAATCGTTCTTGGGAGCAACAAAATGATATCTGTCTACCTCGATACAATTTTCTAGTAGTCGTTCATAACTTTTTGTATAAAGAAATGATGTCGATAGATTTGGTTCTAATTATTATTTTTTTCTTTCCCAATAAGAAATGTACAAAAAAAACTACGAATTTCTATCTCTCAATATCGATTTTTAGCTTTCGAGCTATATTTAGATAGAATTGACGCAACCCTTTATCATGCGTGCCAAATTGAATAACATCCCTGATAAGAATGACTTGTTACAACGTTTGAAATAAATGATATACGTACAAACTGTTAGATGCATAACTTACTAACTGGTAAATCATAAGAACGAACGTCAAAACTAGGAGGGGGCTCCAGTTCTTCAGTAGTTTGATGCATAGTCCTATTCTTAATTTACTTGTTAATTTTGTTTGGCTATGCCTATGCATCTTTATCTTGCAGATTATCATCTCATTTCCTTTCTAGTGAGAAACCAAATCTTTGCGATAAGTGTGCCATAGGGCAAGTCATAATTGTGTTTGCATCAATCATCATCATCAACGCTCGCTCTCCCATTGGGGCTATTACTCTTGCCAAAGTCCATTTGTCTTCGCTAATCACGTATCTAATAAGTGTTCTTCCCTTTTTTCCGTACATCTTAGTCACCTTATATTCGATATTTCCGGTTGAGTAAAATTTGAGTAGTACTGCAACTAATACGAATTATTAGTCGCGGAGCTATAAAGTATAAAATTATAATGTGTGTTTTTATGCATTGACGAGAAAATATTGTCAAGTGTGAGTATGAAGACTATCAGCCTATTCCTCCGAGATCTAGTTTCAATTTGAAGTATCTATCGCAATAATTTCCTATTTTTAATGACTTCGATGTGATCTCAGTAATAAAAATTATACTAAACAATTATATAAACTCAAGCAAATGAGTACAAAGAACTGCGTGCTATATATAATTTGTTTTTCAATTTTCTTACACAATTAACTATAAAATGGGCCAACTCGAACCATACAAAACACTTACATCGATTCTCATAAATACATTCAATCCAACAGCTGTTAGGTTCACTTTTTCATTGATCATTATTATACCCTAGAAGTGATGGTGCCCCTTACATTCTGGTCCCAAAACCTTTGATTGAGTCATAGTGACTCTCCAAACATTGCTCTTTTGGTCCTAAAAAAAAACTGTGTTGTGATGCTTAATTACAATCGTTAGATATAGTGTTAGCTACACACAATCTCAAATCGATCTAGGTGATAACTATTCCATAAATTCAGCCAACAGTCATAAATTACGAGACCAACAGCTCTATTAGCAGAGTTATGGGGCATCTTTCACGGGCTTAACTTTGCTTGGAAACAGGGAATTCAACTCCTGATTGTTGAGACAGACTCCCAATTGGCAGTGGACTTGATTAACAACAGAGATGACTCGTTTCATCCTCATTCGACCCTCCTATCTGCGATTCGGAGAATGATAGCGCTCGGTTGGATGGTTCGACTAGTGCACACATATCGGGAAGGGAATAGAGTCGGGGACTGGCTCTCGAAGCACAGTCTCGTCTATCCCTTTGATATGTATGAACTAGAAGATCCTCCAACCGGTCTTGATAAGATACTTTTGGAAGATATGATTGGTGTTAGTTTTCCAAGGATGGTTAATAAGGGATAACCTGGCTTCCAAGCTTTTACTAGTTTGTTTTCCCCTTAATATTATTCTTCTGTCTTGGTAGTCCTTGATCCCCTAGACCTGGCCGAGTTGTGGTCAGAGTCTGGTTAGTTTGTATCTGAGTGTTTGTTTCTTGGCTTTCAGCCTCCTTCATTCAAAAAAAAAAAAAAATACCTGAAACTGAAAACACAAGTCCATATTGATTTCACATATACAACGTTTCCCCACGTCCTTCCCCACGTAAGCTGAATTCTAAGAAGAGGCCACATCTCGCCTTCTCTCGATGCACGACAACACTTGACAGATTCTTGTTTACTGTCCCATATTTATTTCCCAACAGACAACACGAGAGAAAGAAGAAAGGAATTTTTAGAGACTCCAAAAGGCACCTCCAAAAAATATCAGAGAAAACTCCCATGAAAAAAGATAGATATTTGTTCCGTCCGTCACTGTTATAGATTTTTTTTTACTATCGATTTTATCGTCGCTACTCGCTATATTGCGTGTGGAATCTACTAGGCCGCCACTTATATGCTATTACTACTGCTTGGTGTGGTAAAAGAGCCAATCATTAGGGGTCACGACTCACGGATCATGGTAATTAATAACACAAATATAATAGTACACCCACCAACACCAAGTGTCAATTCCTTGGGTGAAAAAAAAAAACAAGGAAGAACATATTCTTTCCCTCCACCTCCACTCAAATTATTATTCCCTTTGAAATTGAATTTATGACCACCTGATATAATAAGGCGGTTTAAATCGGTGGTTGCCCTAGCTAGCTACTAAGAAGATACTTATGCACTATAGCTACAATCTAATCAATTGGTTTGATTGTTGAAGCATTGTTATTTGTTGGGTAGGAGGCATTATAACATTTTCATATGAATTCGTTCACATATTCTTTTGAAAAGCGTGATTTGATTTCCACAATTATATTCTTATGCAGTAGTTTGTTTGTTGATGTGTTTTTTTATTAAGTCTCGTTTGACCATTTGCACACAAAATAACTGTTTGTTTACCAATTGCATAATCTCCACAAACATAAATGTGTTTCTTGATTTCTTCTGTTGTTTTTTGACCGAGCCAATATCCAAAACTGCCGGCATATCCAGGTGGAGCACATCTATATCAGTTGTTTGCCAATTGGACTATTAATTAACCACTAGCCAGCCGCCAAGGAATAACGGTTAAACAGATCCAGCAGCCCAATTCACAATCTCTCTTCTTTGGCACCTTCAAGTCTTCAACGGTCTCTACAGTTTAGCCGCCTTGTCTTAATCTGCTAATTGTGATATCAAAATATAATCACATACTATTCAATGCAACCTGTTTCCATATACACCATTTTACTTTCTCAATTTTGTGAAGATTAGTGACCTGGATGGCACAGCAGCTTACCTCAGCAGTACACTTCAGCTAAGGAAACCAATGGAAAAGGCCAGAGAGCCGAATTCCCAAAACCCTACTGGGCTCATCCTTCCTCTTTCTTCTTCCTAAGCAGAAGAGTAGGGTGTTTTCACAAGACTCGAAACTTTCACATAGTAGAAGAGTCTCCTGTGACGATCCAGAGATCTTCTATAAAATCACAGTGACCTTCGTCTGTTCTGTTACGTACATGATGTCTAGACCAGTCCAGTTTTCAAACTTATATGAATGACTTTTGTCTGAGGGGTTGTGTAATTGTGTTAGTAAATGACATATGATTCATTATTGAATCTCTCTCAATAACTTGAGTTATGAGGATCAACTAGTTCTTGACAAATTTCGAACCGTAGGATGGTGAAAAAATAACTATTTTCTTTAAGGGTTGGGAGAATTCCACGTTCACAATCCATTAAATTGAGAGGTAATTAAAAGGTGTTCAAATATACATGTCCCCAGCTAGGGTTGCAAATGAGCCAAGCCGCTCGCGAGCAACTAGGCGTTCGAATCGGAAAAAACTCGTTCGACACTCGACTCTTTATTTAACAAACCGGCTCGCGAGCCAGCTCATTAGTAAACAAGTCAAGCTTGAGCTAGACCATGCTCAGCTTGATAAGCTCACGAAGCTTGACTTGGTGGCTTGTTGAGCTAAGCTCGTAAGCTGGGTTGTTTAGAGCTTGTGGAATGATTAGATACTCTTCTGAATATGATCATTATCTGTTAAAACGGATGCGCATGGAAGTTAGTTGTTATTTATAGTTTTTAATGTTTTTTTTATCATTTAAATTCTTATATGTACACAATTTTCTGCAAGAATGATTTCAAATCGAGCTTATCTTGAGCCGAACTTATACTCAACTTGACAAACTGTGTTAATGAGCATTTACCGAGCTCTATCGAGTCGAGGTCGAGCTATATTATTTTTAATCGAGCCGAGCTCGAGCTCTAGCTGGATTATCAAAATTCGAATTCGAGCGGAGCTCGACTTGAAATATTTATAAATGAGCCGAGCTCAAACTAAGCAAAAACTCAACTCCACTCGACTTAGCGCTAGTCCCAACTAGCATCTCTTTCGACCATAATAAGATGGGGAATCAATCCCAAAGATATTTTGTTGGTCGGAATTTCTTGGGATATTATCGAATCGTCCTCATGCATAAAGATATTTGCAGGAAAAGGGTGATGCTTGTTTGACAATCGCAAGAAAGGCCTTGACCGGTTGCTTTCAGGCTGAGTCTAAATTCAGGGCAAACCCACCCAGGCCAGCTAAAAATGATTTGATTGCCTTTCATTTGAAAGAGAGAAAGTCAATGATTATAGCCTAAATTCGAAGATAACAGGCGGCCGTTGATCCACTTTGAAAGGCAGGCAGCAGTTAAGTTAACCTACCCTTAATTCGCTAAATAATCCTGTCCAGAAAGTTTGATGATACGAAACACTATTAGTGAATAAGACTATTTCAACTAACTATGAATTAGAGAGAAACTCATGAGTCAAACAATCACATCTAACTTACGTATGTACATATTCAAGACAGTACGATTCTCCATTCACCTTATTGAGTAACAAGTTCCGTAAAAATTTATAAGGTGACAAACTTATTCGAGATGGAGTCAAGATCAACGTCAGTATGTATTGTAACGTCAATACCAACACCTCGTTGATTTAGCATCCACTATAGTCTTTGTTTAAAGAACTAGTATTTATATTTTAGAAGGAAAAAAAAAAGGTTTTTCTCTACAGGTTTATGTAATAGTATAAGGTTGATTGTATGCAAAAATTTCTTCGTCGTTAGAAGGACAGGTCAACTGACTTGGAGAATTGGCAATCCGAAAGGGTTTTGACGTTCTTAGGGAAAACGTGGGGGATTTGTTTCTTCTTTCTTTGTAAAAAGCTAACCAAATATGACTTATCCAGTATCCCTAGCTAACTTGCTAGCTCCCACAATTTAGTTTTGTGTACTTTATTCTATTCTTCAAAAGATAATATATTGAAAATTGAACCAACCCCTCCCGGAAGAATACCAATATTTGGTAGTGCTGGTGGGGAATTCACTTCAATTGCTGGTTTAGAATAATCAATGTGTTGCTTCTTCGCAAGAAATGGACGTCTTGACCAAAATTGGACACTTGATACACAAGGGTTGCGAATATGTGAGTAGTCGGGATCAATTATAATTATAATAATAATTATTATTATTGATGATAATGTGCCTAGTTGTTGAAATGGCACCATCACAGACCAGTGCCCATCACCCAGCAAGATTATGAGGTAAATTGTCTACCCAACAACATGCACCCACATTTACTGGGCCGTTTAATTGCTAATCCAACTACTACCCATCTATTATTGGATACCTTTTTTTTTACAGGTATTATTGGGTACCTTTTAATTATGAACACTAGGCATGTTTTTTTCTTTTTTCCACTGCTGATAATTTTCTTATTTCTATTGTATAGTCTTACCATACTAATATTTGTGTATGAAGGATCAATGTTCATTAAGGAATTTACTAATGGATCATTAGCGGAGACATTAAGTTCTAACTTCTCATTAACATGGAGTGAGTAAAAGTTAAATATATCATGGAGTGAGTTTGTCAGCTTTGCTTTGTCAGAGATCCAACGGTAAATAATCCAGCAAATAACTCCCTCCTCCTGGTCAGAAAATCAAGGTGCCAACTCAGCAACTATTTGGGCCCCAAAGCCCAACGTCATCAAAATTCCTTCTATAAATTCACCACTCGCTCCCTCTCTATCCTAAAATCTTTCCCATTCAGCTCCCTTCCCTGCTTTCATAGAGAGGAAGAAGATCTCTCCGCCATTAATCTGCCGCCCTTCCTTCATCTTCTTCCTCTGTCATTCCCAACTCCAAAAAAAAAATCTTATTTCAACTCTGATTTCTTCTTTTCCATAGATTCAATGGCGGCTCCTCTAATTCCTCAATTGCTACTCCTCTGCATCCTGGGTACAGCTAATTTCTTCCCAATCGGCGTCGTTTCCACGACCTTCACAATCACCAACCAGTGCGACTACACGGTTTGGCCGGGCATTCTCTCCAACGCCGACGTGGCGCCGCTACCCACCACCGGATTCGCGCTCCAGAAGGGCGAAACCCGAACCATCTCCCCGCCGGCCTCCTGGGGCGGCCGCCTCTGGGGCCGGACCCACTGCTCCGAGGACTCCACCGGTAAATTCTCCTGCATCACCGGCGACTGCGGCTCCGGTAAGGTCGAGTGCTCCGGCTCCGGCGCCGCCCCACCCGCCACGCTCGCCGAATTCAAGCTCGACGGCTACGGCGGCCAGGACTTCTTCGACGTCAGCCTCGTCGATGGCTACAATCTCCCCGTCCTCGTCTCGCCGCAGGGCGGGTCGGGACAGAACTGCTCCAGCACCGGCTGCGTGGTCGATCTGAACGGCGCGTGTCCTTCCGACCTCAAGGTCGTCTCCGAAGCCGGCGAGGGCGTCGCGTGCAAGAGCGCGTGTGAGGCCTTCCGCCAGCCGCAGTACTGCTGCGATGGAGCTTACGCGACACCCGACACCTGCAAGCCGACGTCGTATTCGCTCGCTTTCAAGAACGCCTGCCCACGCGCTTACAGCTACGCGTACGATGACAAGACCAGCACTTTCACTTGCTCCTCCGCCGATTACGCCATCACCTTCTGTCCCACTCCCAGCACCAGGTAATAATAATAATAAAAAATTTACCGCTTGCCGTCCATTTTTCACCGTTTCCACCCGTTGAAAAAGCCTGGGAAAACGAACGTTTGCCGGCCCAGCATTTTTTATTTATCTTTTTACCGCCGTAATTGTTACCGCTGTCTGCTTAGAAAAACGTGAAAATGAAGTGAATTGTACGCCGACATAAGAATTCGGGTCGGGTTTCGGCCCGGGTGAGAAATTAGGAAAGTGAAAACCACAATTTTTTTTATTTAGTGCATTAAGTATTATCTAAAATTAAACAAATACAGATAGATACAGATCCGTAGCTGAAACGGAAGCTACTCCCGCCTCGGTTTCCGGATCTGTATACGTACGTATAATAAAGCAATTGAATAATGAATACTTAATTGCTATACATAACGGCCACTGACGGAGTTGTTTATTTTTATTGGACAGTCAAAAGGCGTCGCAGGGTCAGAACCAGGGAACACCGACGATGACATCGCCGCCGCCACCGGGGACCGCGGCTGGCGGAAACGACGGGAGGGGCAGTTCGCCGTTTGTTGACGGCTCGATGGTGTACGAAGGCGGGGAGTTGGCCAACAACGGCGGTGCGGCGACCACGTGTACCCACGTGGGTGCTGCCGTCAGCATCACATTGGCCGTATGGCGGTTGATGCAGTTCTTCTGAAAAAACCCTTTTTTATTTTTAATTAATACTGGATCACATGGGTCGGCCGGGCTGGCGGGCGGGTTCGGTTGATGGGTCGGGGATTATGGGGGAACTGCCCGTGACCCATGCCGCCATGGAGAAACCGATAACATGGTGGTGTGGGGCCTACAACATGATCTTCGCTTCGTTGGGGTTTCCGCATGCGTTGGTCCAACCCACCGAAATGGGCCGTGGGCCCGTTGGGCTGACGAGGAGGTGACTCGCTAATGGGAAAGCGAACTAAGTTGGCCCGTCAAAATTGATAGGCGGGCGCTCCCGTGGTTATTTATTATTTAGTGATGTTAGATGGCCCGTCCATCGTTGGAGACGAGATTAGTTAGGAATTGAGGGGTTGTAATTCTTTCTAGAGGTAGGTTAATTTATTATAAAATTCGTGTCCATCGTTGGAGACGAGATTAGTTAGGAATTGAGGGGTTGTAATTCTTTCTAGAGGTAGGTTAATTTATTATAAAATTCGTTTTACTTTTTTTGGGGTGGTGAGAATTTTTAGAGGAGGGGATTCATTTTCTGAGGAATTTGTTATTCTACAATATGTAACACCACCACTAAAGAAGAAGAAGAAAAAAAAAAAAAGAATGTTATTAATAAAATAAAGATTTAAGATTGATTATCATTCTGGCTACTGTCAAATACGACAGCGTACATCAAGTTGCAAATGGGGTTATTATTTGGGCGATGCCGACATTTTTGTATGAACTAATCAGAAGATTATGGGGTTGGATTAATTAATTAGGGGTATGTTGAGAGTGAGTGAGACATCAGCATTGGTACAAGTGGGTTAATATTTAAATTGATTGTAAGCGTGGAATGTGATGCAAAGCGATGGCTAATTATTATTGTTGCCCTTTTATCTCGAGGTATATTCATGAACACTTGTACACCTCTCCACAACTTGGAAAGGCAAAATATATTCAAGTCCTTTGGCATAAGTGCATGTGCAATTGATTGACCTTCCGATTCCAATGGAGCTTTTCTATGATTAGGGAGAGGTCCAGATCGAAAGTCCTTGCAGATATATGGTAAGAAATGATATTCCATAAATATTTAGTTCGTATAATATCCAAGTTGTTCGAAACTTTTCAACTAAATATACATTTATACCTAATCGGACTAGTGCTATTTATATGATATATGAGAATGAGTTTATCGAAATGAAAACAATATAAGCATGATCGTTTAGGGTTTTCGTAACATCCTTCAATTACCCAAAAACGATGAAACAGAACATAAATTGTACGAAATCAAGGACCCTGGAGGGGATTAGTTAAATTAATGGAATCCAAACTCTTAGAGAGCACGCATTAAAGGCGCTGGCCAAATGGGAATGGCTTGGTGTAGGAGCCAATCAGCGCTTGGATTGGTGGGAATTCTGTTCCTAATTTCTTGCATTATCGTGAAACAATGGAGTGGAGTATATGCCAATGTTTTGGTCCGGTTTTTGTAAGTGTTTTTCGGTTTAAAAAGCTGAAGTATGGTCAAACACCTCTAAAAATAGGGTTTTTGAAAAGCTGAAAAGCGTTTTTGTATAACATAAAAGCAGAAGCTCCGATTTAGAGCTTGTGCGAAAAACTGTTTTAAAAATAACAGATTATCCTTACCATATTTTAATTTTATTTCAGAGAATATAATTTTATTTCATTTATATCATTTTAAAAATAATATAAAGTATACAATTATATTATTTAACATAAAAGAAGTCTAACAAGATCCATTTTGACTACATTTTATTGTTTAGAATTATTATTCATAGTTTATATTATAAGTCTTTTATAGTCATTTTACACAACCTCTCATATTAAAAAGCACTTTTAATAAATTTTCAACCAAACACTCAAGTATTTTTTTAAGTACTTCTCTAAAAGGTCAAGCCAGAAACTGCTTCTGCAAAAGCTACAACAGGGCCAAACTGAGCCGACAAGAATTTGGTCAGGGAAAGGGTTTCCACTAACCCATATATATAGTATAGCATACTAACCTAACTAGCTCTCTTTCAATGTGGGTATCCAATTAAGGCCCTGTTCTACCAATAACAAACTGTTTGGGTCCGTCCGTTTACCAAATTCAGCAGCCAGATTAGATATTCATCAATAATTGATCAAGATTGAACACTAATTAATAATTCACTTCTTGAGTTCGGACTCAAAATTCAGCAGAAACTCAGATGATCATTCAGCAGAACTTGCAGTGCAGGAGCTGAAGCCGGATGGCTTTAGGATTGCGCATCCCCAACACTAGCACAGCAAGCATAGTGGGAGAAGATTACAAGTTGGGAATTAAGATGCCACTTTTTATTATATCCTGGTTGTAGTTTTGTCTGGTCAATTATGTATTTTTGATGGTTTTTGTAGTGAAACAGCCATTCCAGAGGCAAGTGTCGAGCTCGATCGAGTTAATGGGATTCGAAAATCAGGTTGACCGATAATATGGTTGATTAACAGTTGGGTGTAAGTACAAAAATTTAAAGAGAAAGATAATAAGTTTGTTTATTATTTTTTTCACCCAAAATCAGTCTCCAACTCTCTTAACAATCATAGTCGTGTATTTTGAAAACTATGGATCATGTCTCTATCCAACATCTGAATATTACAACACCTTTATGATAACAGCATGTTACAAGCTTATGATATTTGCTACTTGATGCAGGTATATTTTATTAACACACAATACAGCTGAAAAAAACATGCCTCTTTTTTCCATCAATATGCTGAAACACAAGTGACTCAGCAAGGGATTCTAATCCATTCATGAAAATCCTTCACCTAACATATAACACCAAAAAAGAAAAAAAATATGAAGAATGAAAGGCATGCAATGTATTGCTTGCCTCAAACTTTTTTTCACTTAATTATTTAATTGCTTTATTATCACCTTTCCTAGAGCTACAATGGATAGTCACTTGCTCTTTCCTACATTTCCATGACATTAATAAACAATGAATTATTTGTATTCATGATTGTTATAAACGCGTTGCTCTAGAAATCGTTGGAATCGAGAAAGTAAGAATACAAAAGCGAGAATCGAAAACACCACACATGATTTACGTGGTTCACTAACACAATGTGTGTTAAATAGTCCACGGGCGAGAGAGAGCCAGCTTCACTATATCGAGGAGAGTCAGTTTTCACTAACACGATGTGGTTCACTAAATATAATCCAATATGGCAAAGGAAACGGTTACAGACCAGGCCTCGGCCCAGAACCCGAACCCAAATAATAAAATATTTTCAAAGAAAAATCAGTTTGTTACTAGAATTCGAAGTTGCGTGCGTATTCACTGTCTCTGAAAATAATGAATAATATTTAGAGGCAATACAATGAACAAAATAACTTTATTTAATTTAATCATAATCTTGTTTTTGTTTAGTTTTCAAAGGATCTAAACAATTAATGGATATTTAAGGTCACTCTGATTCCTAGACTGTAATATACATTTTGTGGATTTAGCAAGACATGAGAGTTAAATAAGAAAAAGGAGATGATATTTGATCGACACTCTATTGTTCAAGTCGTTAAATAAGTTATATGTACCGAAATAAACAGAACGATATCAAGGGCAACTAAATTGTAATTGTTTAGCCATATTTCTGGAGCTTATAAAGGTCTTTGACTCTTAAAATTCAGCATAATACATGATAAAATGACTTTTATACAATTTTTAACGGGCTTGGTAAACTTTCTCTCCAATATCATCCGTTCACCTTTGCAATTTGCAAGTTGATCAAGTGATGTGTTTATTAAGCAACTGAACATGATCTTGTAAAAGTTCTCGTTATCCGTAATGGCAACTTTGAAGGCTTTACATTACGGTGTTAGCTACATCAAAAGTAATCAAAGGAGAAGATAAATGGAACAGCTCTGTGCTTATCAAATGGATAAAAGAAAAGCAATTAAGAAACACCAACCAACCATAATCCATAGTTATTCTAAATCCAATCAAATCCAGATAAGAAAGGGAAAGGCACAGCTGCCACAGTTCTGTAGTACATTGAATTAGTCACTTTCTAGTCCAAGGGACGAACAGAAGAATGGTACTTTGCAGTATTGGAGCAGATAATCTTCCCTTTCCAGGTCATTACTGAATTTCGGGGTATATGAAAAAGAGTTGTTAACGTTCCTCCTTAAAATTATTAATGATGGTCCTATAAACCAACAAAGTTACATTTTTAATTTTTTGGTATCTTTACATTTTTTAGTAAACAAACATCATTTTGATTAAAAAAAAGATCCCACACTCTCGAGTTCATCGTCGATATTCTTGAGTCGTAATCGTCGAGAATACGTCCAAATCATTAGTAGCGACTCCAACGAGGTAAAAATTCAAAAAAAAAAAAAAAAAACCCCAAAAGCCCTCAACCGAATCCAATTTTCGGTTGTACCATGGCTCAACCGAAGCCAATTTTCGGTTGTACCATGGACCAACCAAAAATCAGCTTCGGTTGTACCATGGGTCAACCGAAAACTATCTTCAGTTGAGCCATGGTGCAACCGAAGGTGATTTTCGGTTGGTCCATGGTACATCCGAAAATTGGCTTCGGTTCAGGGTATTTTGGATTTTTTTGGATTTTTTCGGTTTATATCAATAATTTTTTATTGTTTTGTTATGATTTATGGTTTGGTCCATAAAATAATTTGTTGGATTTTGGTTTATATTTTTTTTTAGATTTAGGGGTTGTTTGATTTGTGTTTGATTTTGAAATTCAAAATGGACAATTCATTAAAGTATGTATTAGTTAGGACGATAGTTAGTAATTTTTATAACGAACTTTAACCATTCAGTATGAAAATAGTTATTCTGCTCCTAAAATCATTATGAACATTAAACATGAGAATAATTTTTCGAAAGTGGCCGACTATTTTCGCTAAGTTACAGCGAGTCACCGTAGCAAAATCTTGTGGTAAAATCAAATTGACTTTTTGGAGAAGGGAAGAACGATAACTGGCATTGGGCCCTATGCCACGAACAGCTAGCTATACAATGAGCGGGGGGGCCTTTTAACAGGCCCATACCGTAAGGAATTGGGCCTTTGTGCTCCTTGGCGACGAAAAGTACCATGGGCCTATTTGTGCTCAGTAAGTCAACAATAAGTACTCATTGAATTAAATTTTAAATTTGACTAAACTGATAGGGCGATATGCTACATTTCTCCCCACTAAATTGATGTGTTGTATATTTGACGGGTCTAATTATTTTCGTCTCCGTTTCATTTCATTCAATCATATTTATTGCTCCACTTTCACGTTGTTTATTATTAACAAATGAATGGAGTAGATCCGAACTCAACATCTTCCGATTAACAATAACATACTGTTTTAGTATAAACGAATTCCATAAGTTTTTAGAAATTCATTTTGAAATGAAATCTTTTTGTGTTTGGTGTTTAAAAGAATTCATTTTTAATTCTAAATTTTGAATTCTACGAAATTGGAACTAGTTATAGCGATTTCGAGGAATTGAGATGGAATTTTCAAATGAATTCCACAAGTATTTACCAAACGGTATATAAGTACTTGGACTCAGAAAATGGTTTACTTGACTGTAATATGAGTCAGATAAAATATGATATTTGAATGCAGCTAAAAATATATGCTCGAGATTAATTTGATATGTGCGAAATTTTAAATATATGAGAAAATATTACATAATTTAGCGTGCTCTAATAACTTATTGTGAAAAAATGGTTTTGTTTTTCTCGCACTAACTATGGTTTACATGTTGGAATAAACACGAGGAATTTTGGTTTTGAAAATCTTCAAATTTTGATAAATTTATTGCATTACATACATTGTTTGTTTGTAGTTAATTTGATAACGAACTTATATCATTTTGCACCAAAATGTTCTAGCCCTCAACCAATTCCCTAGTAAAATATGGTATTCATAAATTCGTAGCGTTCATAAATTTTGGAGATCTAAATCCATCTTACTTGAAATTGGGTGACAAATATATCACCCAAATCCAATCGGCAAACAACCCTGAAACGATCTTCCGTTAGTTAGGAGTCCCCAAAAAAGCTCTCTAGTATATTGAGAAAGAAGCTTAGCCTAGAAGATACATAGATCATAGCTAGATTTCCTGCTGCCACACTATTCTGCAGACAGAATCGACGCAACACGATGACTTCAAAAGCCTCGCCCAACAATAAACATACACAACTTTTGGGGACGTCATAAACACCCGGGAAATCTTCCTTTTGCCAGCCTTTTCCTCGCTTTAGACGTCAGCAGTCTCACCCTGCTTTCTTTTTGGGCTTTTAGCCTTTTTAAGCCAATTTGATCGATGATGAATAGCAGAAGAGAGCTTTAGGTCCAGCATTGTCAAAGTGGGCCTGGTTTGTTATAAGTCCATTTACATCACATCAATTCCGACAGCCCTCTCTTATCCATCCAAACAGCCCCTAGGGCAACATGCATGCATGTGCGGACACGACGGATTGTTAGTAGTAATTAATCGACTACGATCCAGTCATTGTCCCACCAAATCGGCTTTTATTAAAGTTTGCCGATATTCTACAGAAAGGGGAGTGTTTGGTTGGTATACACCAATTTCGTTATGACAGGAATTAGGGTTGATACTTGATAGATCATATAATTTAGCTTGACTGAACACCTGAAAATGTCAATGCGTGGAAGCTTTTCCATTGGGGTTCTTCTAATGTGCTTTGATGACTAAGCTAGTTAGTTATATGGTAAGATGCATCTCAACAACAACGGCTTTATTTGTTGACAAAAGAAAGATTGATGACTAGATGCTTTTCTGTTTTTAAAAATAAACGGTATAAAATTTTATTCTTGCATTTCATAATTTATAGAATAATTATGGACGAACTAGTTTTGGACATAGTTTCATTGAGGGATCCGGATTCAGGTAGTATATTCAAGAGTATCATGTAATTTTAAATATTATATTGTATGTGTATTCATTGAATAGCGGAATAAAAAGTTGACTCTCACGAGTTACACGATAATATCATTCTTGACAACCCTACAAAGATAAGCCGACAAAGTCCACAATATCCCATTTTATGCCATAACATAATTGATCATATAGTTATTACTTAAATCATCAGTTTTTGAAATCCAAACATAAGAATTTTCGGCCATATATATATATATTCGATGTTCCAACATCCCCTCAGATATTAACAACCAATTCATCATATTCCATTTTCCAATGACTAAGGAGTTAATGTAACCGGAAAATATAGTGTAGCTTAATTATGCAATCGAATATGAAATTTCTAGCTATGCATATATACTCACGGGGACGGCCAGTAGAATAGGGTTTAGGTGCATGTGGCCGCGTGGAATGTATTTGGAAAGGTGTTTAGTATGTGCTATGGATAGGATAGATAAGCTATATGGTTCATGGTTGTTGATTGTGTTAATATGACGAAGAAAAGCTTTCTTCACAAAGAAGGTGGGAAAAGGGAGATTAGATAAGCCGTATTGTTGGTGTTAGTACAAAACTGGGAATATGCTGCGAGAAAGAAAAAGGAAGTATGGAATAAACAGATTATATGACTCACATCACATGCATATATGGGTCATCTTAACTAATTAACATCAACATTTATCCAACCGCCAACTTTACACGACAGATAACATGCGCGCCGGCCATTGCCAAAGACAGTGAGATGCTTTGGTTAATCTGTTGTTGTAGCTGAAACCTAACAACAGAAGATACAAGAAGTCAGGGGGCTGGCTGATGTTATGTTTCGTGTTAGGTTTTCTCTTTCGCTTGACTTGGAAAGCACAAATATGGGTGATATTATACGCAAAGATTACGAAGTAAGAAAACCATATTTAGATTCTGTCACCAACCAGTTGATGCTAATAATTTGAGCTTTGGAAGAGCTTCAATTGTGGTTCATATACCGTTTACCAACACACACCCTCAAACGTACTCTAGCCACTCATATAGGCTTGGAATTTGCATAAGCACAGGTTCGGACACCATGTGCTTAACAGAAACAGATGACAAATGGGATTCACCAAGATTCGAACAGGAGACCTCTCGGTTACAGAAGGTTCTGATACCATGTGTCCATGTCAAGATACAGTTGATCCCAATACCCCGAGTTGTTGGGAGAGGTTCAATCGTAGTTCATATACCGTTTACTAGCACTTTCAAACGAAAGTATATTCATATGGGTTTGAAGTTCGTACATATATGAATAACATGTGCTTAATAGATAGCTTTGTTGTCGATTTGGAACACAATAATTGATTTGTTGAGAGAAAGTTCAATAATAATATATCTTATTTCATTTACTAACAATTGCCTTATCTACTTTTTCGTATTCATATTCTTGAAACATGATATAAGAATTTTTTGGATATAAGAATTTATCCACAATAGAAAAGCAAAGTTAAATTGGCGGCAGGCGACTATTTGCTTCATCCTTCTTATTCCAAGGAATTTTATGCAGGAGTAATACTAATATACTAGCTAGTGCGTGAACTTTTCATCTAAGTCGAATTGTTGGTATTATATTGATAGTAATACGACATGGGTAGCAATTACAGACGCTCTTTGCCCCGTTGGTGCAATGCAATGAAGTTTTAATTGGACTTCCTAATGACTCTTTATTGACCATTATACGTTAGTGGCCTGAAAATTTAGTGTTAAACTATTAGGTTATGGATAATATCACACTTACTATGCATACGAAGAGACGAAATGTCGTCCAAAAATGACATGGAAAGGTCAAATCCAAAACTAGCTAGGTAATGGCATTTTGCGTCATCCTTGCATACATGCCGGAACCCGGTAAAAATCGAGTGAGCAAATTGCCACGTCACATCTTCACTATGGAAACGAGGAGCCCAACTAATTGGGCCGGGCCTCGTACAAATTCATCCGACCTTTGGGCCTTGGTTCTAACAGTGGAAAAAAAAAAAAATAAAGTTTGTCAGAAGTGGGATTTGAACCCACGCCCTCTCTCGAAGACCAGAACTTGAGTCTGGCGCCTTAGACCACTCGGCCATCCTGACTTATTGTTCATGTTTCACTTAATTTTTTATTGATTATTGTAGTAAAAGGGTAAGAAGGACGCAGCGCCCTACATAGGGTTGGCAACAAAACCCGAACCCACGGGTACACACCCGACCCAACACGTGTTGACGGGTTTTGGGCCGGGATTGGGTTTAAACCCGTTCACTATTCACCGGGTTGGGTTTAGGTAAACCCGACCCATGGGTACCCGCTCACACCCATATTGTTAATTTTCTCGGTATGTTTAATATTCTAAACAATAATCTTATTTATGTTTTTGGAGACATGTCTAATTTTTTCTTTCAAATTGTGTAGAATGAAGTAGATGTTATCGAGTGGAGAGTGAAGAAACTTAATTGAAAGGAAGAAGCTTTCAATTAATCATGTTATTTATGGATAATTTGTGATTTGCTTCAATTTTCTTAGTTTTCTAGATTGGTGTTGAACAATTTGTATAGTTAATTTGTGATTTGCTTGAATTTTCTAGAATGGTGTTTTATATATGGATAATTTGTATTGAGAGATTGATATTTGACTTTAATTTTGATAGGAACTTGTTATTGTAAATTTTTTACGACAAAAACCCGTGGGTACCTAGCGGGTTGGGTTGGGTTTGAGTTTTTCAAACCCAGTGGGTTTTACCCCGGTTTTTTTTCACAGATAAACCCATAGGTTTGGGTTTGGGTTTGACCCAACCCGACCCATTGCCATCCCTAGCCCTACAGTACAACCACAAGCAAGTGCATTCCACGACAACAATGGAAAATTTGACGTGGATCAGCACATAGGGTTTGCATGAATATAGAAGCAAACAAATTTGCCCAAATTCCAAAAGCAAAGTTGGTCTTCTTCCTTATCTTGCCGTTGCTATGTTTCCCTTTTTAAGCCTTTTCAAGTTTCCACACAAATCAGGCCCCATCTTTGCCCAATAGGGCTCGGCCCAATACACCTATAGTATAGACGGCTTATATTCGTTTGTTTCTTGAATCAACATGCCATTGATTGACTAAGCCAGACGGAGAGAGGGGTATTCTTTGCAAAAGCAAACATTGGATTTAGCCAAATTGATTCGTTGGCCATTTTGTTTTTAGACCCTGGTAAACTTGAAGCAGCGAGAGGAGAGTTGTGCAAGAAGAATGAGACGATGCTTAGAAGAAAAATATACAAATCATTTGCAAAGAAGAGATGTGATACCGATACGCAGGGCCTGCAAAATCATTCCTGAGAAGCCCTCTGAAGTATAGTTAACCAATTTATTTTATTGGGCCGACCTTTGGAGTGAGAAGGAGAAAACACGATTATGTCGGTGTTTAGAATGATCGTTTATGGTGGGGTTAAACTAATGAACCAAACGCAAGTATACATTGACTAATTAAGGACGAGTCGTAAAAAAATAATTTGGTTTTTGACAAAACGATGAGTCATAAAATTCTAATTTCCATTAGATTTTCTCTAAGACGTTCGTACAAGTTGTGCAAAAGTAATTAGGTCATTTGGATGATAAATTCTAATGGATCAATCTGATACAATTGTCTTGTTTTGAGACAATTGTGTCAGATTGACTCGTTTAGCAGCAGAAAATTTGAATGAAGCAATTTGGCCTTGGAAATTTTGAATTGACTCATTTTGAGGCAATTACAATTGTCTTGAGTGGGGCGGGTAATTCAAATTTACTCGTTTTACACGACTCATTTTGTAAAACGAGACAATTAATTAAGTTGTCTCGTTTTTCAATGGATTCATCCAAACCATCTCAGTTTACTTGGAAATTTCCTATAGCTAGCTATTTAACGTGTGAGGTCCATCTCAAAAGAGCAGTACTCTTGTCCGTGAATCACCCAAAGCAAAGGAATGATCAGTACGGTGCGTATTAAAACAGCTACCTAGCTTAGCTGGTGAACTTTGTTTAGACAAAGAAAAGGGGGAAAAGAATTAAATTAAAGCAGCTTTCCTATTTATATTTTCTAATACTTGTCTCGTATATTTGCCTATTTGGTCGATCCAGCAAAAAGAAAATCTTTCATAATGTGAACACTTGAACGATTGCCTTTTAAAATTTTGATAGATAGAGGCATCAAATTGGAATCAAAGTTTATATGCAACCATTTGTTTTTATGTATAATGATAATAACTAGAATTATCGTTAGGAACCTAATTAATGATGAACTGTCAAATTAAGATGCTTCCACAAAGGTGGGATCCAATATTAAATAACTGTGATGTAGGTTTGCTAATAATTGATGCACATATTTGAGATTAGCTACTCGATTTTAAGAAAATACTAGAAAAGCCATAGGAAAGTGAGTGAAACAGGCAAATCGTTTTTTTAAGCAAAATAACCGTCAAAGTTTTTCAAAAACAATTTTATTAGCCAAATTTTCATCTTTTCATCTGGTCAATTGTTAGTTAGACAAATGATGCTAAGTAATTTTTTTTTGTGACGTGGCTAAAAGTCAATTACTTCACTGTGCCTCATGACTACGTCAGAGTCAACTAACGGTTGATGGTAGAAAATGGTGAGAGTTTGGCTGATAAATTATTTCTGAAAAGGGTTGACTATTATTATGTTTAAAACAAAAAAATATTTAAATAATAAATTATATTATCCTAAATCAATTATACACCGGTTAAACCATATCACTTGCCAAACCGACAATAACGTCATAAACCGGTTTGACAACAAATCAATTCTTGTAAATGACCCCCCCTTGCCGATTCTTGGGGTCCTCCACTATAACAATTTGAGCAGAGTAAAGTGCGGGCTCAAAGTACGCAACCCCCGACAAGCCAAAATACGTCGATTGGTTGACCCCAAAGACCACACATGCAAATGCAATGCCAAGGAAGACATCTTTTTGGAGAAAAAAAATTACAAACAAAGGTGACCGATGAGGTCGTCAAGCAGGAAAAAAGGTATATGACATGAAAGGAAGGGATTAGATCAATTCAATAGGCAGCAAGTAGAAGATGAAAGGTGGCGAAGAAGAAAGGAAGGAAGACCATCGACGACTGAACTTGATAGCTATTGGTGAAAAAGAAAAGTACTAATTTCAAGCAAGCAAAAATAAAAGGGTGTCAAAGGTGACGATGATGAATTGCACTTTTCTTATCTTGCCATCGCAGCAACAGCATGGTGGAGAGGATCAGAACGATTGATGGATGGATGGATGGGCGAACGAGGAAGAAGATAATTATATCATACACACCAACACGACTGCATGCCAAAAAGATATGGAAAGAAAGAAAGAAAGAAAGAAAGCATGTAACTTCCCATCCTACCTTTTTTCTCTTTACTTTTAATCACATTTCTTCAAATTGTAGGACAAAATTCTAAATAATTTTATTTGATGACTCATTGATCATTATTACCACTAAAATAGAATATTATAATGCGTACCGTGATAATTTTAAGAAATTTAGTTTGTAGGAACGTGGGTGAAAGATATTAACACCATTTTAGAGTTTGATCTGTTATTTGTATTTTGTTAGTAGAAACGTTGGATGCAGACCAGAGCATGTGGACATATATTTGTGTATGCAATCTAAAAGGAAAATTTGAAAATGTTTAAGAAATTGAGGTCATTTAAAAACCAAAAAACAAGCTATAATATAATAACTGGATGGCTAAACCTCGCCCTTGTTTTACTATTATCGCCCTAACATAAAATATGATTTTACTAAATTATCATTAATAATAAAATCAAATTGAACGAAATACCCAGCCTTTAGATTTCTAATCCTCCTTCAAACTCCTCCTCTCCAAACACACTTCACCGGCGACCTTCTCCCTTACACTCCGCGGCCACGATTCCCCCAAATTCCAGAAAATAAGTCGACATGAAGCCAATTAATCCTAGGAACCATCTGATTATGCCATCAAAACTCAATTGGACCAGGGATTTCTATCGTCGTTCATGTACGATGGCGCCTACTGCCGCTACTCCAATCACATATTCTCTAATCCTCATCAAGTGGACACAAAGACGACGCTTGCCGCTACTTCAACCCTCTACCAGCCGGTCCTTTTATCATCATCGAGGTCTCTCTCGCAGACTGTTAAACGAAGGGGAGATGGGTTTTCCAGCTCTCTCTGTTGAGGTATAGAGAATGGACAAACTGGGAAAAATGGTAGGTTAACGACATTGGTTGCCTTTATTATGTAAAGTTAGCAATAATAATGAATTATTCTGTTCTCTTAATTTTGGTTGCTTTTTTCCTTTTCACGGCCGCCGGAGCGGATTGCGGTGGCGGATGGGCGGTCGGATAATGACAGCAGCGAAATGGGGAGAAGGGAACAGATCAACATTTATTTTGTCTCGGTTGGTTGTATTTGTTAGAATAAAATATTTTTTTAGCAATAGAAAAGTAGAAGGATAAAAAGGTAAATCTAAATTTTTAAGTTAGGGCGATTACAAAATTTAGGGCGATCATTAGCAACTCCCTATAATAAATATAGTTAAATTATTTGAGAAATTGAGGAAGTCAATTATTTACAATTTCATTATAGCTAAAATATGAGATAATAAAAGTAAAATTCTAACTAATTTGAGGAAAATTACATATAGTTTATGCGAAAATGAATCCGAATGGGACGAGTTAACGAGTTAACGCAGGTCATATTACAAAGAATACTCATACATGTCCCACCCTGTTTACGGGCGGGAATTATCCACTCCAAAACAGGTCAAACAAATTTGCTAAAACGGTTCACATATGAATTATCATCCCCATCTACCTATATATACTCTTCTAGCTTATACACTATTTTTTGTGTTTACATTCTTTAATCCTTCTAAGTTAAAAAGATCCCTCTTTACTTGGTTAGTGGTTACTATCCCTTTCTCCATTTGGATTCACATGACAAGCCAAAAGAGTACTGATCCCCAACTTCCACTACTACTATTATATAAATAAACCCTCCAACCTCATTCACCCCAAGCTTTTCTTCCCTACCAACACATTCTCCTCTCATCTCCTCTGCCCTCTCCATCTTCCATTACTCTCCCAATATTTTATGGGCAGGAAATTCCATTCCCATCTCCCATCTTTCCTTGCCTCCATTTATCAACCAAAGAAGCCTTCTTTCCACCCTCTCCTTTCTCCAAATTGTTCCCTTTACTTCTTCTTCCTCTCATCTCTCCTCACAACACACTAAGCTTCCATCACTATATAACCCAAAGACTGAACATTTTTTAGCACCTGATCTGCTGTGACCCTTCTCTCGATTTATACTCATCATTCTGAAAAACCCAACAGAATGGTTTCATCCTTTTCTCTGTTCATCTCCCTCATTCTGCTTTCCTTGGCTAAAGGTAAATCTAGGTTTTCTCTTCTTCCCCTTGTTCTGCATTATCAATCGTTTCCCTTCTAATATTGATTTCCAACATTTTTTCCTGTTGTCACAATGGCTAGAAGCTGACACTTCTAGCTTAAGGTTGCATTAGAAAGTCTTACGTGGGATTTTATGAATGCAGGAATTGAAGGAACTACATTCACAGTGGTGAACAGGTGTCAATCCACGATTTGGCCAGGTATTCTGGCCAACGCGGGCAGCCAGCCACTAGACAGCACGGGCTTCGAGCTCCCCTCCGGCGGGACCCGCACCTTCCAAGCCCCACCCAGCTGGTCGGGCCGGTTCTGGGGCCGGACTGGTTGCCAGTTCGACCCGTCCACCAACCAGGGCACCTGCCTCACGGGAGACTGCGGGTCGAACCAGATCGAATGCAATGGCCAGAACGCGAAACCGCCCGCCACGCTAGCGGAGTTCACCGTGGCCCCCACCGGCGGGCAGGACTACTATGACGTCAGCCTCGTCGACGGCTACAACTTGCCAATTGTGGTCGAGCCGACGGGAGGGTCGGGCGGTACTTGTTCCTCGACCGGGTGCGTAACCGACCTGAACCGGCGGTGTCCCACGGAGCTCCGGGTCGGGTCGGGCGCGGCCTGCAATAGCGCCTGCGAGGCGTTTGGGACCCCCGAGTACTGCTGCAGCGGGGAGTTCGGGTCGCCTGACACGTGTAAGCCGTCGCGTTATTCGGAGATGTTCAAGTCGGCTTGCCCTCGGGCGTATAGTTATGCTTATGATGACGCGTCGAGTACTTTCACTTGTAGTGGAGCCGATTATGTGATCACATTCTGCCCTTCTTCCACGAGGTAATTAAGAATTGAATGAAGTTGGTCCTTAAGTTCCATGAAGTTTACGATATGATCATCGTATTTTTGTAGCCTTACAATCTAGTCCTTGATAGAAATAGAACCACGCGGAGTTTAGGGTAGTCGAACCATGTTGTATTGTTTGGTATGGACAATGTGATATGGTTCATAAAAAGAACAATGTATTAGGAAAAAAGAAAGATTAGGCCATTTCTTGTTTAGTGCCCGATAAACTAGGTTTTGGTTAAACTAAATGGAGTTCATAGATAATATGAAGGACTTTAAGGAGTTCATGAATATGAGATAGGGTGCAATTTTGGATTATAGAGTGGTAAAATCGAGCATTGTCCGAAATCGAGGTACGCAAATGAAATTAGACTTATGTAGTAAGAAAAGGGCATGCAAGAAAAGGTGAATGATAGTGTTGTAAGATTCTGATATCTGAGGGTGAAGATTCTTCTACTTTTTATCTGCTTCGTTGGCATGGCCTGCTTTTGCGTTGCCAAAAGCCAAATACAAGTGTACAAGTAGAACAGTTTCTCATCGCTTTAGCTTCTGGTGGTTAAAGGAACTTATTAATTTATTTGTTTTATTTTCTTGATTTATACAGTCAAAAGTCTGCAAATGTTGGGCCTTTGTCGATATCGGCGACGACAGGGTCCGATAACGGCCCAACCGAATCAGGAGATGGGCCTTTGGGAATCAACACATCATGGTTGCCAAATTTCGTGACTGGAAGCTCTTCTTCTCCCATTCCTTCATCCTCTTCTTGGACATGGCCATTCATGATTGCTTCAGCTTATTTGCTCTTTTCTTCATTCTAAGTTCTTTCCCCTCACTTTAAGCTTCCACATTGTAAAGCCAAAAATTTTTCTGTATCTACTAGAGAAGCAAACATATTGATTGCGGATAAATAAACCATTCTTGCTCTTTTTGTTTGCCCAAATGATAGTGTTAAAGATTAATGGTGATTTTGAGTTTGGGTGTGGATGACAATTTTCATGGGTATGATTTGTCAATGAGGGTTTTGAAGGAAAGGTAACATCAAAGACGATTTTTAACATGAAGTCTCTAGTCAACTCTCAATATGTAGTCTAATACTTGATATACATGGAATTATCGAAATAGATGATATGTCAAATTAAATGGTACTTTTGGAAAATGCACCAATAGTACCTCATAGTGTAGGGTCAAGGTTGTATTTCACATGTTTCTCTAAATGTACTATTACTCAAATTCATTTTTATATACTTAATATCGGTTTGCAATTATTAAACAACATTAAACACATTAAAGCGATTAGCTAAGGTAAACTAAATAATTATCGGTTTCTCAGGTGAGGAAACTTGGGATGAATCTGCCTAGCTAGTTAATAGTCAAATTGTGTGATAGATGAAACCCTAACGCCTAACAATTTTCCGCCACAATGCGGGGAACTCACGATTTTAGAGAGATTTATCTTCAACATGACTAAACCAACCAACCAATGCTCGAACAACCTACATTCCTTCTCAAGGGTTTTCACCTTATGCGAAGTGAATTAAACTTAACTACTACTTATTTTTATGCAATCATTCATCCACTCCTGACCAGCTCAAAAACTTATTCACCCAAAATTAACCACTAGGAAAAACATGATATGACATAAATTGAATATGGAAATATTCTTATATAAAAAAATAATTTAGAATTTATTATTCATTAAGAGGTTTTTAATAACTATAACGTTATAATATATAGAGGTACATAAGGAAATTTTGAGCATTTCAAATTCTTTGCACTCTCCTTAATTGTAGTTAGGGGTAAATTTGTAAGTTCAAATTAGAACTTAAATATCTTCTTACGAGAAGAAAAATGTTATTACAAAGACTTGAACTCGAGCCTTTTAGATTGATAATCAATATCCCTAACCAACTGAACTACAACAATGTTTATGCATTTTTTGAAATAAAGAGAGAAAGTACTAAAATATCTCAAAATCATAGGACTATCCACCGCAACAATCAATCATCGAATTAATTAATATATGTAATTATTTACAAAGTGAATCACCATGATATACCTAGCTTTATGAATCAACTAATTAGTGAGTTCCTCTAATCACACAATTCTTCACCAAGAATCAAATAGTACATTTTGAGTTTATGCATGACTGTATGTCTTACAAATTTTCATTTATTAGGTTACATGAATTCGTAGTTTGTAGGAATACAAGGATTGTTTACAGAAGTGCTATACAAAATTTTATTTCAAAGCATAAAATTTGACATTTGTGATCTATAGTTTTGTAACGAGACATTTTCAATGCTATAAGTGAATGACCAAAAATCATTGGCTAACAATTTTCCTAATTGTTGACAATTATAAGCATAGAATTGAAAGACTAAATACCATTGACAAATGAGCCAATTATCATTGGCTAAATTTAACAAACAATGGTATGTGTATATACATTGGAAATTCTCTGGTACGCTCGATGGATTGAGAGTTATTGCATCTCCTTAGTTAAATAACATTATCTAGATCATAGATTAATAACGTAACTAAACCCTATATCATAATTCTCTAAATCCTAATATAGTGCATATGGTATATTGTATAAATCTTGGCGAATCAGAATCATTGATTATGTTCTGTATATGTGATATTAGGGTTTAAGTTCTATAGATTTAGGGTATATGATTTAATTATTTGAAACTTAATCTCCCTTTTCCAATTTCCTACAATGAGAGGGAAATTAGGAAAGACATTTTTGTCTTCACAATTATCTGTATTTTTTATTTATTTACAGAAAAAGATAGACCTATTGAGATTTGAACCATGGTCACTTCAAACAAAGTGAAGATTTAAAATCAATCAGTCTATGTAGATTTGTTGAATTTTTTTTAAATTAAAAATATATACGAAGCTAAAATATGAAATCACAAAACTTTTCAACAGTTAGCTAGCCCAATAAATATTCCGTAAGTACTTATTTGGTGTTTTGATAATTTTATTTTAATTATAATTTAATACTTAATTTAAAATTTTATCTATCTTATAAATAGACGATAACCATAAATTTGCAACCAAAATATTGTTGGTTCGAATATTTCATATCGAATTATAATATTGAATATGTAGAAGCGATATAGAATTCTTAAATTACCATTAATTTCCATAACTATAGTGAAGCAATCATATCTTTGTGCAAACTATAGGGGACTGGTTCTCTGAACATTTTTGTCCGGTTAAATACTAAGTTTTGAAAATCTTCCTCGGGGTGTACGTGGGTCGGTTCGCTTGGGTTAGATATTTTAATCACCTAACTCATATACCACGATTTTGAAAACACTAAATACAAACTCACCCAAATTATTTAGAATTTTAATGGTTTGTGTCCTCCATACCAAATGAACCAATTTACATGTCGCTTAACTAAGGACGATCTCATTGTCCAATCCCATCATTCTAATGTCAATCCATAAAAGTAAGTAAGTAACCCATATTCGTGTTTATTAACACATGTTTCATATTGTCATTACTGTGACCGGTAACTTCGCTGCAACTGATTCGGTATTGCTCATCATATGGCCTCCAAACTGATAAACATATCGGGCCAGCTGTTTAATGACAAAACTCAAAGTGAAGACAACTCATCGTCTGGTGGAATTTTGGCGCTTGCTGGTGTCCATTAATCTAATTGCAAGCATAATGATTGCTAAATTAAGCTTTCACGCAACACACTAGGAGTTGGGGGTGTGAACTTGGAGTAAAAATTGAAATTGGGTTTGGGAATGGAAGTGGTGAGCGGAAGAGATTGTGTTTGGATTTGGTAGTAGGTAAATTTCATGGTTAGGTTTCTTTTCGTAAAATGCTTTGATTTATTTTAGTTAGAGGTATAAGACCATCCACATCCATGAAATAGCAATTCTATTTCATATGTGGTCCCTACCGCCACATCAACAACTTTTTCCATTCCACTATATACCACTTTCATTTCCTCTACATCAATGAAATACACTATCTATTTCATATGGTGGGTCCAACTTACTTTTTAATACAACTATATACTATAAATAAACAATATAAATATGAGGAAAAAAAAAAGAAACGAGCCAACGTGGGAAGGGGCCCACTCCCAATCCCACTTGCTATTTCATTTACAATTCCATTAAATGAAATCTTCCATTTGTTGAAATGCCTCCTACAACCATGAAATAGCCAAACCTGCATGCCATGTCATAATGAAAGAGGAAAATGAAAGGCGCTGTGGATGCTCTAATATCATGGTTATGTGGGATCAAATGAACCAAAAATGAGTTTGGGGGATGAGAATTCCAACTTAGAAGGAGTGGATTAGATTTTGATAAACTCAAGTTCACGATTAACTGAAAGAATATTTAGATTTAGACTTTGTGGTATTGAGATGTTCATAGAGAGTTTAAAACTGATCCAAGGCCATGGATTGATATTGATTAGTTGATTGTGATTTTGAGGTAGGTGTATAAAAAGTCATGGAAGTAGTTTGCAGCAAGTGAAGGCAGTGAAGAGGTAGTTGGTCAGGGTAGGGATTGAACCAAGGAGGGTATTGAAAGACATAGAAGCAAAATCGAAGCAGTTGAAGAGAGAGAAGTGGTAGATGATCAGGATATTAATGAAAATGGAGATGGTATTGAAGGGCATGGAAGTGAACCGGATCAGGTGAAGGCAGAGAAGGAGGAGAAGAGCATATTGACGGAATTGAAAATTAGTGTTGGTTTGACGAGCTTATTAAAACTGCCCCGAGGAAGATGAGTTGGCCAAATACAAGAAAGAGGATTGAGGAGTTGGAGATCAAGCTGACAAGAAACTCAATTGGAAGAGAAATTCAGGTTCATGGAGAGAAGGTCCATCAAAGTAGCATACATGGAGTTGCAGAAGGAGGATTAGAAATTGAATTTTGGTTTAAAACATATACGTCGAGAGATTGAAGATGGAAGGGATAAAAAGTTGGTTGTACAACGGAGAGTGGAAACTATTGGATCTTTAGATGTTATGGTTGTTGCAACTACCACAACTTATGTTTAAGTTAAAACAAGGAATCATTGATTGATTTACTAAAGTTAAGGTCGATTCACTATTCAAACTACTGGAACCTGTAGATAAGGAGTGTCTAATTTTGTGCCTCATTTCTTTGATCGAGTCTATTAGTATATTGGATGTCATTATAATTTTGTCATTTGCTCTCAAGTTTTGATGGTCTCCTTTTAGTTGAGTTGTTAACATATGATTTACTTGAATCAACAACTCTTCATTTTTGTTTTTTTTTATAAATCCATTTCTTTTTTATTAGTGGCATGTTATTCATAGAGAAGAGCTTTGAACCATTTATGTGGGATTGTGAGATTTCATTTCAGTTTCAAACTATCTATGGATCGTGTGGGAATTCCAATGTGCTTTTATATTATATATTTCTGGCCAATCTATTAACACTTATTATTTTAATGGGGGCTCGATTATCATTATGAAAATGAGATTAATGATACATTTTTATATTCTTAAATGAGGAGGGTATTTCCCTGAATGTTCGACCTATATATTCATTTTTTATGTAGCTTCTCGATTGAATGATTTTCAATAAACTTAAACGAATTAATAGACTTAAACATAACATAAAAATATAAATATTAAAATATGAATATAAATATTATAATATTAATATTCCGACCAACGGGCCGGTTACAAGCTAGTCTCCTAGTATGTGTATTTTTTTGTCGTGGTGCTAAAATCAATCTATTTGTTCGTATTTAGTTTGAAATCTGTAGTAATTTCTCTCTCGATCGAGATCAAATAGGAAAATGACAAAGAAATCTTCTAATATGAGTTACTATTCTAAAGCGTATTTTTTTGTTGTGTTGAAATCAATCTCTTTTTTCGTATTTGGTTATGCATTTGTACTTATCTTTTCTCACTCTCCATTATAATGGGTGAAAGTGGCATCGGAACAACAAAACCAGATGCTGCATTCTTCCGTCTTTTTCTCTTTGTTCTTTTTTGCAAACACAAAACCGTCATAAACTATCTAACTAACAGTTGACTAATGTAGAAACAAGTGATAAAATCATAGGAAATCCTATGGTCATATTCCATGAGGTCTTTTGATAGAAACTACTCAAACATATTCTAATGTATTCGAATGATGTAACTTAAAGTAAATGAAAGTGAGTTGAGGTGTCCTTGATTCCTGCTACTAGTCTACTAAACAAGAAAGAAATGACGCAAGCCAGTAATGAAAGCAAACTCGAGAAGGCAAGTAAAAACGATTGTTTAGGAATGTGTTTTCGTAGATTGTCATGCATACAATCTCATTAATAATATGCACCTCATCCATTAAGATCCCCTATCACTTTCACTAAGGTCAGACCATTCCTTATCCGTGTATGTGCCTCTTGTGATAGGAATTTGGCTAGCTAATACGTGTTTTCGCTTAATGCCACTAACTAATCAATGAAGCGCAAGGAAGTAAGGATAACATATAATTAACTGTGGGCTTTTACAAACCATAACGATGGTTCACAGCATCTATGATTTACTAATCAGACATGAGAGGTGTAGAACGGATTGTTTGGAATTGAGGAAGTGGTAACCCCAGGACAAGGGTGGGAAAGAGACGATAAGGAAGAAATGACGGAGACGATAAGGAAGAAATGACGATTCCGATGGAAGATGGTAGTGAAAGAACTAAAATCTAAAATTTTATTGATTTTGATTGGGTGGGGATATTAGATGGAAAATTAAAAGCTTGACGGACACATGCATGAAAGGGCCCAATTCCTTTCTCTGACTATATCATTCACAATCATCATCATTGCTGGTCCCACCATTCCAAAACCAAACAAAATGCAGAGTTCAATTTAATAGGAGTGAAAATACGGGATTACCCTTATGTGAAACACTCCTATAGAAGCAAATTCAAAATCTCGTAATGTCAATGCATGAATCTACTTTATATATTTCATAGAATCAATGTTTTTGAGCTGAGATAAGATAGGATATAGACACGTGTCCAAACTACCAAAATTATCCCCACATAAAATATTGTTATTGCAAGTTTGCCACCATTGTTGTCATTTCCGCTCCTTCCCATTTCCTTTTCTTTCATTCCCAACAAAAAATCGTCGGAGGAGCAGGTTAATGAGACAGAGCATTGGAATATGAGGGTGCCGACAAGGCACGGAAGTTGGAGGATCAGAAACTGAGTTTGTTTAAAGAATTGAGAGTTGTATTTAAGTTTATCAACAGAGGAGACATCGATGGAGGGGTTTCTAATGATTGTACTGGGAAAGCGTCAATGAAATTAAAGCAGTCGACGAGTGGATTGGAGGAATCGAGTACCCTTGGATGATTTGGATATAAAGTATTCTGGGAAAATTGGAGAGGGATTCCTATGTTTCCAATCTCAGTTTCCTTGCACGAAGAGGCCTAAATGCACGTTTCTTTAGTGCCACTAGGGGTTCAGATAGTCACATTGCAAGAGGGATTTACTGCAACCCGACCTCCGTGAATTGGTTGTCATCTAATGAAACAAAGAAAGGGATAGGAAGCAATCATAGATATGAGACGGAAAGAAATTCGGAGAAGCAGAGATAAGAAACGATTAAAAGAAGGGGAAACAAAAAAGCAAATAAGTGGGGAAGAAAATAATTTCGTAGAAAATTTTAGGACCTCCATCGATTAATAGATTTATCTATCTCTCCAATCACCGTATCTCACTCTGACGATGATGTCAATCTAGAGTTTCCTCTCTCTGGATCTCTCTAGCAATGTTGCTTTCTCTCTTTAACACGAGAGTGATGCCTTCTCTCTAGTGAAGAAACAACGAAAGGGACGGTGATGGAAGAAGAACTGTTCTCATGGGAGAAAGAGAGTAAGGAAGATGAAGGGAAAGAGGACTAAACAAAAAGAAAGAAGTAGAAAACGAAAAAATAAATTTCTTTCTTAAATAATTAGATCATCCACATCAATGCAAGTGTTTGTGTAATTGCATTTGTGCTCTTTATTGCCAACTCAACTTTTTTGTCATCCAACTCACACTATTTTCATTCATCTAAATCAATGAATAGTTTACAATTTCATATGTTAATCCAACTTATTTTTTTTAATAAAGAACCCCAATAAAAGTGATGAAAGCCTGCATGGGTATTGCAAATGAAATTGCACACTTCCATCAATGCAATTAAAACTACAATTGCATTTCTATTGTCATGCTACTTTGCAATTTAATATGATAGTTTGATGTGGTTTAGAAAAGATAATGATACCCACTAAGTAGTAAAACGGAGACGTACACCGTTAATGAAAAGAAATAATAAAAAAAAAATTCATCCGATAAAAAAATTACTTTGACGGGCTTTACGTGTAAATGACGCACAACACATCACTAGTAGACTATAAAATATTCAATATGCAGAGACTGCAGACTAGTATATTATTTTAAGAAAAGTAGGTTTGTTTTCCCGAATTGCCACTTCTTTCATTCATAGGAAGCGCTTATAGTGATTACAATAAAATAGTAGTCACCATGATTATTAAGGACAAATTGGGTATAAAAAATATTTATTAATTGTTTGGTGGCGCCTTATTTATCAAGTGTTCCACCTGCTGTACCAACTATAGGAGGAGAAGATGAGCCGGTGCTAGGGGTGGGCATCGGTCGATCCGGCCCAAGACCGGACCAAAATATTCTCGGGTAGGACCAAAATTTCTTCTAAATCAAGGATCAAAGTTGAATTGTTATTTCTGCGATTCGATCTGGATCAGACCATGGATGGTTCGATTCGGTATGGACCATCCCATCAGACCAACTAATTGTACAAATCTAATAAAATTACTCTTAAAGAACAACACAAAATACTAAATAAAAATAACTACGAAGCAAAGTCATCAAATTATCCCAATTTAAATACTTCACAATTCATAAAAACCACATGTTCCAAAACATTCAACAAAAACTCAATTGAGAACGAGATACTGTCTAAAAATCAAAGATAGTCTTTTATTCAATCTCCAATATAGTCTAACTAATTGTCTCAATCTTCCATCTTCATTTTCAATCCATCTTCCATCTCTCAAATCCAAAAATCAAAGTCGAATCGAAAGATGAACAGTTCGATTCGATTCGGTGCGAGTGTTGATTCGGTCCGATGAGAATCGAATCATTGCCCACCCCTAGTACCAAGTACTCATTCGTCAGCTTGGTGGCTTCAACGAATTAACTTATTCACATCAACAATCGCTTACTTGGAAAAATGCAAGAAGGTTAAGAAATGAAGTTAATTTAATACAAACCAAGTGTCATAACATCTCTTACATAAAAACACAACATTAAGAAATGAAGTTCAGAATAACCAAACTACATAGCAGATCCTAACAATGCTATCTGACCGGCCAATTAAACACCTTCCGGCACGCCTCTCCCCTCCTCGTTGGCTGTCCTCTCATTCGCAGCAGCCTCGTCTCTCTCAGCTCCCTCCTCTTCGGCCTCGAGTGCCCTACTATTAAAGTAGTGCCGGAGGAGCGTGGTGATGGCGGAGCCACCAAGTATGATGTATGGATAGGCAGTTCTTGGATTGAACTGTGCCAAGTCATGATCACAATGGGGATTGCAGCTGATTTGATTTTTGATTAGCCGGAGGGATTGCTTAATTTTCATACACGTCTTTATGGTTTTCGATATCTATGCTCGGCTTTGTAGGCCATTTTGGATATTCAGTCACTCTAGGATTTTCAAACAATTTCATTATTATGTGTTCTGAATTCCTATTGTTGTTGTGGTAGCCGCTGTCATTGGTCATTTTTCTACAGGGTTCCAAGATTTAGGAGAACAAACTTGTTTAGGATAAGATATGGATGCATTGGTCTGTAGGGTTTTTGTGGGAGTAATAATTAGTTTTCCTATATTTTGTTGGATGAATCTACTTTCAACTATTGCATCTTTCTGTTTCTACCCATTATTATCCTAGCAGTGGCCTTATAGGCCCTTCGACCATCAACTGATTTTAATGTGGTCAATTGTCTGAACGCTTCACTGATAACCTATACGGTCCGCCTGATCAATAACCAAATGACCTACCATTCTCATTCTTCTCTTCAGTTGAAAAAGTTCAATCCTAGGACTCCCTACTCATATTACATCCTTGGTGCCTCTGCCATCACGATACTTCTTCGACACTATTTTGATAGTAGAATGTTGGAGTTGGATGAAGAGGGGGTTGAGAGAAATGGGACAACTGTGAATGAAAATGTGTCAGGTTGTGGACAATGGATGAAGAGTGTTTGGGATGAGCTCCTTCATTGTTGAAAGGGAGTTGATCAATGAAGGAAGTTGGAGAATGTTGTTTGATTGGTGTCCCATATAGCATAATTGGGATGAGCTAGATAGTTTGATAATTTTTTAGTTTCATTCTTAATGCAAGACTTGGTATTATTGTTTATATTTGAATACAACTATGAGACAGAGATGTCATCCGACTAAGTTTGAATTAAATTAATCTCTCTCTTAAATTAGCGGGTTTCTCATTAATTTGTGCTTCATAACCGATTAAATTATTATCAATGGCTAGCATCAAGGATATGTAACATGACATCTTTAATTCAATGGGGTCCATTGTTCGGCAAAAAAGATAAATAGAATAATAAGATAAATAGACCGAATTATTTAATTCAAGTAGAAACATGCTTTTTTTTTTAGTATAATCAATCAAATAACCCCTCCAGTAATGCCAAAGATATATGAGAAAGAAGCACAACATATCATGAAAATGCCAAAGAGAAGGAAGTTTATAAGGTGGATGGCTCAAACATAAAGATTATGAATGTATCCTATCTCCCCACATGTAAAGATTTTATTGTCTCCAAGCAAAGATATATTCTCAATTAGACAACTTCGTTCCCCTCATATTCAAAATGACTTGTCAGGAGTTTGTCATTAGCAACTTACGATACAAAAACTCTTTATTTGGTATGTTTAATCTCACTGGAAAGTTACAAGTGCATTGCACTCAAGTGAGGACATGCTAAACTCAAGGTGACCACTTGCTCTAGAACCTAGAAAGGTGGACCGACCGCTCTCATGATTTTCTTTGTCTCTTCTCAACAACACTCAATGTTTTAAGGGGTTGTAGTAAGAAAAAACCCGAGCAAGTGGGGATTTCTATACATTGTCTTTTCTTCACCCACATATACTACATGCCGTCTAGTGGCAATATATAGGGGTTTACCGACCTTTAGAAAATATCGAACTGTACCTTAGTTGGGCTACTATGCACATCACCCTCAAGGCTCAAACATGACATTCCAGTTAAGAAGGGTGGGTGCAGAAGGTTTGACCTTTGGCCGACTTCGAATCGTACCTGAAAGTGTTACATTGTGCACAACACCCCTCGAGAAGAACCATGTGTACGTGTTACCCAAACTTCGACCAACTACGTAGCATGCCTGAGTTGGGGAACTTACACATGCCCTTATCATTAACCATGTTAATAGGTAGCCTCACACGAAACTTGGCTACAACCCATTTTGAGTTTTTATAAGATGGTTGTCAGAAAGACATTAGAATTGAGCTACTTTCATCCTACCAAACCTACGAGTCCAAGTGGTACGCACAAATACAATCTACCTCATTAGTCCTCAATCACCCTTAAGTTGCTTTATCCGTGGTACAACGCTCTCTTCATCATCTTGAACACAAACAATCAAGAAGTAACGATTCAAAGAAGGGGGATACCATTTAAGCAACGAGGGTGCTTGGAGCCTTCAAATTTGAAATTTTTTGAGCTTAATACAAGGCTCCTAACACTTACGGTAAAACCAAAATCATTTACAACCATCCATGATACACTAATTAGAAGTCGCCTACCAAAAAGTGATAAACTATGTATGATATTTGGTATGTTCCAAATGTTATTACTGACCTTCTAATCTTACCTACCACGATAATATATGTATCACCATGTTTTACCATGGTATATCGTGGCAATTTAATTAAAGTGGATATTATTTGTGGAGTATAATTAATATAATTTTTCTATGTAAGAAAATTTATATATGAATTTGAATAGAGTAATAATTATGCAAACCACAAGCCATGTTTCGTATAATTTCTGGTTTCTATTTTTTTCTTTCTTTCAAAGGCAAAAACAGAAACGGTAATATGTTTAGTTTTGTTTTCATCTATTGTTTCCAAAAATTGTTTCTTGTGATATGTTATTGGTTGTTGGAATAATTTCATTCAAGTGAGTCTATGATCATATCTCATTAGACTAACTTTCTCATATTTTCCCTCTCCATTTTTGCAAAACTCATTCCTGAAATTTTATTCTCACTATTATTTTCATATATTTTTCTCCAATATTTCTTAACTCATCATGTCACACCATGCTTCCATTATTTTCCTATATTTGGTTAGTCACAACGGGGCCTAAAGAAATAATTAAACATGTTTATGTTTTTGGTTGTCATCTTTCATGGGTCGTTTGCTTTATTAATTTAAAAATGAGGGTTTTGTGATTTAAAAATCTAAGGATTTATCAAAGATTTGAGGCATTATAGATTTGAAACAATTCTTTGTTTGCTGAGATGTTTTGATAATGGATTTAAGAGTTTGAGATTTAGAACTTATAGGCAAAACCTTACTATCCTTTTCTTATTATTTGTCATATTTATGATATGTATACAAACAAGGACAATGCATACTAAAAAGTATAATGTTGTCACAAGGATAATAATAATAATAAACAAGGAAATTTCGTTGAATTTTAACGCAACATATATTAAAACAGGGAGAACAAAGAATCACATTCCATGAAAAGGTTAAAGGAAACTATAACCCAAGAAAGAACATGAAAAATCCGACTCATGTTTGCACATTAATTGAATATATATTTTTATTTTTTTGTTAATTAATTGATTAATTATAATGTACAATAGCTAAAGGTGAGGGTAATCTTGAAATATTTAGGGGTTATTTGCTTGTTGGATTTGTTCATGGCTTTGGTACCCAAATCCCAAGCTTGATGGATTTTTATACAAGTCCATTGTTTGTTGATGCTAAATCCGTGGGGTCCAGTTGAAAATTTCACATATTGATTTGGGATTTGTAAATCCTTGATGGTTAGTTATTTATGTAAAAAATCAATCACAAATCAATCATCGAATCTATCATGCAAACACTAAACTCTTCAAATCCATTATCCAATAAATTCATCATAAATCCCAAGATTTTTGTTGCTAAAACTCTCATTTTTCAAATTCAACAAACAAACGACCTCTAAAATTTCATGAAGGCATATGAGTCAAATTTCATCATGGTTACAAATCCCACATCAATAATTGAGTTCACGAATGATCTGTAAAATACATGGGTACCACAAATTTGGTCCCTAAAAAATATGCAAACAAATAATGAATTTCTCTTGAATCCATGATGAATTGACTTTGGGTACCAAATCAATTACCAAAATCCACGAAACAATAACCCCTGTTAGGACTTTGGAAGAGTTGCTGAACTGGGATAATAAGTGGTTGAAAAAATAGATACTAGCCCCTAATCATCTCCATCTGGTGAGAAGACGCATTAAGGTTTCTTACGACTAAAACACCAACCATAGATCCATTGAATGAAACTCGATGATGTTTAATCCCGCAACGTGATACATTGTGACCTAAAAATGTCCAAACAACGTTCTACCATAAAAACTTGCAGTCCATTCTTGCTCCTTTCCTAAGCCTCAAAACTAACGAGGAAAGACCAAAGCCTTTTCACTTACACAACGGCATTACACATCTCCAAAACTGGAATTTAAAACGGGTTTAAGAACTACTGCTCAAAAACCAGCCTACAACTCATCCTTCACCTCAGATGCATCTACTTCAACATCGTCACCTTTCGCGGCACCAGCAGCATCGTCCTCCTTCGCCTCACTTTCCTCCACCTCTTCCTCCTCTTCCACCGCAGCATCTGGACTAATGCTCAAGCTCGTCTTCACCGAGCTGTAGATCCTCGACGCGAAATCCTTAGGATCGCTCAGCATGAACCCGCTCTCCATCAGTGCTGTCTGGTACATCAGCTGAGCAGTCGCCTTCACACCCTCATCCTGTCAGGAAAAAACAGGAAAACATCAGTATTTTATATCCCTCAAACAGACCTATGTTGCTTATTTCATATCTCACACATTACCTCAGGGTCCTTGGCAACTCTCTCACGAAGCTCTTTAACGATCGGGTGTCTAGGGTTGACCTCAAGCACCCTCTTCCCTCTCATGTACGCTTGCTTGCTGGCGTCCGACAGCGTCTGAGAGTGCATAATCCTCTCCATGTTCCCACTCCACCCGTACTTGTTAGTCACCACAACACAAGGAGTGTCAGCCAGACGGTTGCTGACCTTCACGTCGTCAACGTTCCAGCTCGCCAAGGCAGATTTCCACCACTTGGTCAGGTCCTTGAACGCTTCCTTCAATTCTTTGACCCCAGAATCGGCGATTTTCACTCCTTCCTTGGACACGTTCTGGAACTTCTTGTCCTCGTAGTCCATCAAGTACTGCATCAGGTACTCGTCGACAGGGTCGGTGAAGTATATCACCTCGTAGCCCTTCTTGATCAGCCTCTCGAGGAACGGGGACTTCGCGAGCTGCTCTTTGTCTGATCCAGTTATGTAGAAGATGTCCTTTTGGCCAGACTTCATTCTCGAGATGTACTGGTCGAGTGAGGTGAGCTTCCCATCAGACTTCGTGCTGTGTAGGAGTTGGGTTTTGTAGTCAGTTACAGTTAAATGAGCAAAGAAAGTAACTTGTTGATGAAGTTAGGAGCGGTGAAGAGAGACTTACGTTTCGACTCGAAGAAGCTTGGCCAAGCGATTCCTGTTGGCAGCATCCTCGATAATGCCGAGCTTGATAGATTTGCCAAATTCATTCCAGAACCTTGCGTACTGACCTTTCTTCTCGTTTTCACCGGATTCCTCGATATCTGTATGGCATTAGGATTAGTGTTGCGCGTGTCAAGTCATTCAAGGATCAATGGCAAATTTAGCACGTAACTCGTATGTAGTTTATCAGTTTCTAAATCCTATGTTAAACTCCGCCCTCTTTATGTCCGAAATGATTATACATTTAACAATAGTTGTCTATACATGGCATGGCATGCGACTAATTCATGACATGTTTCACTAAGCCTATGTATGTCCTCACCCTAACAAGGTCAAAGATCATAGCACAAGGACGTGTTCGGTTAAAACAATATGGTACAAGGACCAAAATGGTAATCATTGATGGTTTTCTAGCTGGCAGAAGTTGATGACAGTAATTACCTTTCTTGTCCTTGTCAGTTGACTCATCTGGATCTTCCTCGTATAGTTTACGGATCATATCGAGAGCCTTGCGGATGAGTTTCTTCTTTATGGTTTTCAAGCTGCTATGTTGTTGAAGCATTTCTCGTGAAACATTGAGGGGCAAAGTGTCGGAATCAACCAGACCCTGCCGAAAGTATTAAGCCAAGCATCAGTACTTCAAAGTTCAAAGAGTCAACTTTGCAGAGCAGATGAAGATACTAAGAAATATCCTTTAAGTATCTACCTTCAGGAAGTTCAAGTACTTAGGCAGAAGTTCGTCGAATTCATCCGAGATGAACACACGTCTGACATACAACTTCAGGTTGGACTTATTGTTGTTGTAATAGCTCTCGTAGAGATCATGAGGAGCCTTGGGGGGAACAAAGAGGACGGCTTTGAATTCAACGTCACCTTCTGCGGTGAAATGACTCCATGACATAGGCTTATCGTCACCGAAATCCTATCAAGTAAAAAAAAAACCCCAAAACGAAGTATGAGTGAACACAGTTGATAGGAGTCAAAATTTAGAAGGGTCTCTCTCCATTGATTGATTCATGTGAATTACCTTGGAGAGAGAGTGATAGAACTTTGTGTACTCTTCATCAGTGACATCTTTTGGACTCCTCAGCCAGATAGCTTTAACATCATTCAAGAGTTCCCACTCCTGAGTGGTTTCCTTGACTGTCTTTGTCTTAGGCTTGTCTTCTGATTCTTCATCATCTCCCTTCTCGGTATCCTCTTCTTCAGCTATTAAACAGTACAACAAACATGAGATGAATGTAAACTATGCCGTACACAATTACAAGTTAATCAATGACAGAAAGTTCAACGGATACATACGTTTGTCTTCTTCCTCAGTTGAGTCATCCTCGTCAGCAGGGACCTCCACATCAATCTCCTTAGTTGCCCAAAGATTGATAGGGAAGTTGATAAACTCGGAGTATCTCTTCACAAGATCCTACAGTGATAAAATAAAATAAAAAACAGTAACATTCCAGTTAATAATATGTTACTCGAAATAGGAAAGTTAGTAAAGTATCCACTCCAGTAAGCTATGCTTACTTTCAGTTTGCTCTCTTCCAAGTATTCCCCTGCTTCCTCCCTGAGATGCAGTCTAATCTCAGTGCCACGGCCCAATGGTTCGTTCCATGTATCCTCAGAAATGGCAAAAGCTCCATCAGCCTTTGACTCCCACACATACCTGACACATTGGATCATTATATTAACCTTCTGGCGGAAACAAAATGTGGTGTTTGACAACTAATCAAGAAAATGTACTCACTGTTTATCATCATTATGTTTGCTAATGACTTCAACATAGTCAGCAACAAGGTACACAGAGTAGAAACCAACTCCGAATTGCCCAATGAGGTTCAAGTCCCCGCTAGTTTGCATTTTCTCCACAAATGCTACAGTGGCCAACAATTTACATCCAAAAATTATCAGACTCAAATAGGGTATATGGGAGAAACCAAGTTCATAACATTTGGACAACCAAAGTTACCTGAAGTTCCAGACTTGGCTATAGTTCCCAAGTTCTTGATCAAATCCTCCTTCGTCATACCAATACCTTTATCACGAATAGCAAGAATCTTTTTGTCCTTGTCCAATTTGATCTATAATAGCCAGGGCGTACCAAACAAATTCAGCCTTCTATTCTCAAAATTATGTTCACATTGAAGCAGGCAGCTTAACTAAACACTAACCTGAATCTCAAGCTTGGCAGTATCTCCTTCACCCAAAACCTCTTTGTCCGTAAGAGATAGGAATCTAATCTTGTCCAACGCCTACAATTCAACCCAGATTCCAGTTCAAATCACACAAGCTCAGTCTCTACAAATATACTACTATCTGGGGAAAAAAAAAAAAAACATTCAAATGTACTTTGCTAGAAGTGCAAACTAGATAGGGAGCTCACATCGGAAGCGTTGGAGATCAACTCCCTGAGGAAGATGTCCTTGTTGCTATACAGAGAGTTGATGATAATATCCATAAGCCGAGAAACCTCAGCCTGGAACTCGAACTTCTCCGCACTACTGCGCAGCGTTTTCTTCATCGACTCCGACTCCCTACCAAACACCGCACAAACAATCGTTCAGAACTCAGCCAGATTCAAAACCGCCATCACATTACCAGAAACGCAAATCAAACGTACCTCTTCACGACGTCGGAATCCGTGGTGGAACCATGAGGAACGGCGCCGAGCTTCTCCTCGACCTTGGGAGGATCGGCCGGACTCTGCGAATCGCCTTCGGCATTCGCTCTCAAGTTCCGCCCTGAAGTTAAGGATAGCCACAGAAACCACGCAGATCGCCGATCAGTAAAACCTCAGCAGAACCAGAGAGAAACGGAATCAAACAGCAAGAATATACAACAGCTGACCTTGATCTGAGATTAAGCAGAGGAGGCAGAGGAGAATCAAGGCGGAAGGGACGGTCCACTTCCCCATCGTCGTGAGAGATCTACCCGATGCTACTGGTTTTGTTTTGTTTCCCTCTCTAGAATCTTCGAACCAGAAAATGAAAATCTTCAGTCGAGACTGATGAGAGTGGTTTTAAGGAGAAACAATGGAGATCTTTGAGCATTTTTCAGATCTCCAGGGTCATTGGATTTTATATAATTTTTGCCTCCGCTTGGATTGGGTTAAAATCATTATTATGACAGCGTGGAAGATCGGACGGACGAGGAGTGCAGAGATCCCACGTGGCAGGATGCTAATGGCCGATGAGCCGCGGCTTGACGTGGAGAAACTGAGCTGTGTGGGCGGGCCCATGGGAGACTTCAGAAAACCCGAGTTGCTGGTAACCGCGAATGAGGTTGCCAGAGTGGAGGATCGAACGGATGCCGTGACATCTGGGCTAAAAACGTGGCGTGATTTTATTGGAGATTTGTTCTGCGTTTGACGTGGAGGGAGCTGGCTTGAGTTTGTCTAATGTGGTACCCATGGGCCATGAATGTGATGGCATGGTAACAAGAGTTGGGTCTGGAGGCCCATGGGCATAGCACAAGTGAGATAAATAAAAAAGAAGAAGAAGATAAGAAGGCCCAAAATAAACATAAGATATTAAGATTTGAGTAAAAAGTCCATAATTGAAACAGTAATTATGAGACATTAATTAATCCAACAATAATCCCAATCTTAGTCGGATAACAACTCCTCTCCTACTCTGACACAAGATTGCAGTCTTTCTTGCATATATATATAATACAGGGGTTATCAACGGAGATGCATTGCTGTTCCGCAGATTGGAAAAAAAAAGAGAGGAAGAAAAGTTGATTGTATTTTCTGTTGGGGCCTTCTTTCAATTTCTGGGTTAAACATGGCTTCCCCTTCCTCCAGCACCCAGCAAAACGAGGCATCTACTTTGCCCAAAGCTACACAAGGTAATAATCTCGCTCTAATTAAAAACATATAGCTTTGATTGCGATTAATTCTCTTGGGAGAGATGCGGCCTGCCTGCTCCATGTCTAATCGATTTTTCTTCCAACTATTTGCTCTTTCTAGTATCTCTATACTTATAATGTGTTTTAACTTTTAAGTAACTATTGGAATTTGGTGGGTGTTTTTTAGTTTCTTGTTTGTTGGAGTGGAGATTAATCTCCAAAGCTTCTAGGTTAATTTTAGCTGTGCGTTGAAGACTTCAAGTGCATTAATGGGAGGGATTATTGGATTGATTATACTAAGAAAAAAGCGTATTTCTACTTGAATGGAATTATTCTATATATGTTTAAAAAAAGGTGATATAGGTTGATTTTTATAGTTAGATGTTTTGAAGAGTGGTATTACCACTCTATCTATTCTATTCATTTAATTTTAGTTGTGACCTTTCGTTTCAAAATCGGTGGTATTACTATTAGATCAAACTCTTTTTTCGCATATCTATTTATCTTATTATTCTCTTTTGTATTTTTATCTTAATGATGGACCTGAGTCTAGTTAAGAAATACCCAATAATAAAGGAATCGTTCTTTGTGCATATCCTTGATGTTAGCAATATAATAATTTATCTCACTTTCTCTTCCCCTGCTATTCTGCACACGCAAAGAGAACAAACATCCCAATAGTATGTTTATAACAATCATTCTTCTTTTTTCTATTATTAATTATGATAATTTTCCTACTTACGCATTCTTTTTCCTTCTGTTGTATTGTTTGTTATATTCTTTGAAGTATTTAGTGCTAAAAATGTTGCATTTGCATTTCATTGTAGGTAGTGAACAAACGAATGGGGAAGATAATCCATGCATCTTCATACCATGGCTTTTTTTGAGTACACTCGGAGGTAGCATGACAGTGGATGCACTTCTTGAACTGACCAAGTTTGACAAAAAGTTGGGGTACGGTGTTTCTTTCATAATCCCTTTCATCTTCGGCATGGCACATGCGTCCTTCGCCCTCTTACCTTGGTGCTCTAGAAAAGAATTATCTCGTCTGGGGTCTACTCGAAAAATCATATTGCAGATGATTGCTCTACAAGCAGCGTTTTTGGCTAAGCATTTTTCGCCTAATTCAGATCCCAAGGTGTTCCAACTGTTGGTATGTTTGTCAATAGAATTCTATGTTTGCATAAAATTCTATTTAGTTGCCTGCTATATTCGTGGTGTCAGTTTGAGAGATATCTTTACGACGGTGACAACACAAAGTTTGATTTATTGGACACCTTATTGGGCATCGATTGGCATCTATATATGCTTTGTTGGCTACAAATTTTGGGCAAACGACTCCAATGAAAATATGTTGTTTCACAAAGCATCAGAAGAAGACATCACTGTTGGAGTCATTCCCCCACAGAAGATGGAAACCCAACTTCAGAAGAAGGAATCAGACCTACTTGCCATAATGATAGACATACCACAAGACAATGCTCAAGCTGCTTCTTCTACTACATCATCAGGAACCCACAATGATATACTTCTTTCGATCCAAAATAAAATATAGGGTATTATTTTGTCGAGCAAACAATGTTATTATTTATTAGCTTATGACCGGACCCTTGGCCGGATAATTAGTCCTTTGTTTGGATGTTTTTTAGTATATATTAGTTATAGCATTTCTCTTAATCCCCTCATAAAATTTTATGGTTTAAATTAGAACTTTTTTATCGGATGGTTTATATGACACAAATTGGATATTGAATAAGATTTGGTAAACTTGTCACATCCTTTTTAAAACAAATAGAATTTATTTGCTAGATTCTTATGGTCCTAAAAAGTTTGTCTCCACCTTAAATTATGGAAATAAATTAATTTTAATGTAAAAATTATTAATAACATGTTCTAAATTACATTAATTATTAATAAGTAAAATGCAATGAGTGAAGTACACTTCAAATCAATACAAAAACGGAGCTCTGAGAGAACATAAAGCGGGAAAAATATTCAATATATTAGGATCATAAACCTAATCATTAAGGAAGAAACAAATATTCAAAATCGAGCTAATAAGCTATACATATCATTGATATTAATCTCAATTTGGAAAATAAACACTAATATCTTACATAATTGATCAAGAAATTTGAATGAGAATCGTGAAGCTTTTCAAGTCCAATCTTGAAATATTTGCCTTGAGTTATTTACCAATCAAAACCCCTGTCAAAAGCTAGGTTAGTTCAATACGTATCAAATTGGATAACAAATGAGACCAATTACATTTTGACGAAAAAAATAAAATGGTTACAACCATTGGCTTGAAATATAACATAGAAATTTGGAGCCAAATGCCCCAACTAACTCGATTTAGAGACTAATTATCACCTAATATGACATAAACCATTGATCATAACTCAAAATTCTTTCTTTTTAGACTCTTTAATGTGAAAATAGGGTTCACCACTTTCTATATTGTGAATGGAGTCACATTAGTGTATCATCAGATGACTTGTTGCTTTTAAGCAACTAGCTTTTTGCCCGGCCCGTTGGCCGGTGATTTTCATTTTATCATTTAAATTAATCAATTTATCTATATGTTTAAAATATTTTAGATCTTCTAAATTTTTTTACATTTGCATTCATACGTGAGTATGCGGTGCGTCTATAAATGAAAAATTCTCAATACTTAGCACATTCATTTATGATATTTCGATTCTCTTATCATAAATCATGTCACAAAGATATATCACATCCCATGTAGAAACTTATGTCAAGATTTGTTAACAACGATACTCAATTTTTTTATCCTATACAATATATGTCATTAAATGAATCTCGAGTTTGGACGAACTCTCAACCAATGATGTTGCAGATGACGACAACTTAGTTAGAATTTATTTTATAAAGGTACTTCAATATTAGATAAATTTGGTCATCCCAATTGAAAGTTTATTGTCTTAGTGTAAGATCATATTTGTCGATCAAGACCTCAATTTAATATCTTATACTACAATATGTACCCATTGTTAATTCCTGAAGTTTAATTTAGACTCACCCTCAACTCATGGTCGTTGTTTAGAATCTCGGTCCAAGATACTCACACAATGTCGAGGGTTCTAATCTTAACATGTTCCACTGATGTATAATTTTCTAACTTATCAAATATGCATTTGCTAAAATTTATTGATCTTTGGTGCTTGTTTTGGGATAAAAATTCCATTACTTATACTAATATCTTCATTTTGTTGGTGTAATGCCACATCTATTGTCAATATCTAAGCATGATACTATACTCTAAGTAAGAAAACGCTATATGGACCACGAATTAACCAGATTTGTGGGCATGATACTATACCCCTACTCTTGATGAGTGAACCCTAGGTCTTAGTTATCTAAATTATAGAATTTAACCCCCAAGATTGTGCATGTAATTTGTTGGATATATTTTGACGAATCATGACCGTTGTTTTTTGTTTATAATTAAATTGATCTTAGGGTATGAGATTTATAAATTTAAGACCTATATTTTAATATTTAAGGGTTTGAGAATAATACCATATGCCAAACTCCAGTCAATTCAAGGTCTAGATATCATTTTCTTATTCAAGGTATGTCATAATATACATATAAAAATATAAAGAGTTTAGTGTATTTTTAAATGTAATTAACACATTTGTTTGACCGAAATATGCAAACGGTTAAAAAAAGGGGAAATATGAACAAATGTAAGAGAAAATAAGGTATGGAAGCCTGCATTATAAGAGAGAAGAAAAGTTGCTTTTTTTTATCATCTTAATTTGTACAACAAGTACTATATTATGGCTTCGTCAAGTTTCTATCAAAATGAAGAAAAAAAATAACTTTTAAAGCATTTTGCTATTTAATACTTGTTTTCGTTGATAGATACAGACATTAGAAAAAGATAGTGTTTGATAACTAAAACATAAATTATAGTTGGTTTTTCAAATTCAATTGATTATCTAAACTTCCTTCATTATGACCTATATTAAGTTCTAATAAAATTAAAAATAAAAATTAATTGATTGATTTAATCAAATATATTTTTTAAAAGATTACAATATGTGTCACTCTCCAAACATAAGTATATTGATGCTACACATATATATTGCAAAAAAACTATTATTGAATAGAAAAAAAGAAAATATTAAAAGAAAATAGAGATAGCTACATAAATGATCATTAAAATAAAAAGAAAAATATTAAAAGAAGATAGATATAACTACATTAATTGATCATTAACCAACTTTTTTGTTTGTAAAAGAAAGTGTCCACCATGGCACCTTGCAAATTCTCCAAATGCTTATATGGCAACCAACTACTTTTGAATTGCCAAATATTATATATAGATAGATAGATTGATTTAATCTTTGATTTTACATTGGAGTAACCATTTTTTTATATGTTCCTACATTGTCTTTCTTTAATATTGTCTTGTTATAATATGAAAGAAATATAAAATGCAAGCGAGTGTCAATTCCTTCTAAGAAAAAATATCTCTAAATATAGTTTTAGTGATAATAATAACATATTCAGCACTAGTCACGGGCCCGGCCAGTTGGCCAGATTCAATCACCTATTACATAAATAATATTATCTAATTGTATGTGAGATACGTGGGTTTTGATAGTATAAGCAAATCTAAAATAGTTGAAACATTCAAATTGTTTCATATTTGTTTCAATTTAGTAGTAGTCATAAAATAAATATTTTAATTGTATAAATACGTATATATGTGTATTAATAGAAGTAAATACTAACTATAATAAAAATAATTATTTACATTAAAAAATTGGGAAGGGACTTATTAAAAAAAGAAGTTTCGGTAAAACAAAAAGGAATAAAATGTGAGAGAGAAAGAAAAGGAAAAAGCAATAATGATTCCTTGCTCGGTTGCAATATGGTTTGGGCTATGGGTTTATGAGGGTTGGGCTGATTACAAAAATCAACTGCAATTGATTGCCACGTGGTTCAATAGAACGTGGTGGCACAGGTGCCGCACTTTCTTCCGCGGTACCATAGTATTGGCCTAAATAAAAAGGAAGATAAGAAGGCCCAAAATAAACATAATATTTGAGTAAAAAGTCCATAATCGAAGCAGTAATCATGAGACATTAATCCAACAATAATCCCAATCTTAGTCGGATAACAACTCCTCTCCTACTTTGACACAAGATTGCAGTCTTTCTTGCATATATATATAATACAGGGGTTATCAACGGAGATGCATTGCTGTTCCGCAGATTGGAAAAAAAAAGAGAGGAAGAAAAGTTGATTGTATTTTCTGTTGGGGCCTTCTTTCAATTTCTGGGTTAAACATGGCTTCCCCTTCCTCCAGCACCCAGCAAAACGAGGCATCTACTTTGCCCAAAGCTACACAAGGTAATAATCTCGCTCTAATTAAAAACAGATAGCTTTGATTGCGATTAATTCTCTTGGGAGAGATGCGGCCTGCCTGCTCCATGTCTAATCGATTTTTCTTCCAACTATTTGCTCTTTCTTGTCCACGTCGTGTGTTTTAACTATTGGAAATTTGGAATTTAGTTTGGAATTAATGTTGGTGGGTCATTAGACGTTGGTTTTGTGCGAGTGATTAGTGTGGTAGGAGTTTTCAGTTTTATTTGGTTTGTTAGGTTGGAGATTAAGCTCCTAAGTTTCTAGTTTTGTTTTTTTAGCTGATTAGAGGTTGAAGTGCATTATTGAGAGGGATTATTCGATTGGTTATACTAAGAAGAAAACGCAATTGCATAATTAAATCATTCTATCTATTTATCTTATTATTCTCTTTTTTTTTTCTATTATGAATGGGTCCGATTGAGTTAAACGGACCGTTTGGTATTGCATGACTTATTTGAGACTAGAAATATTTGAATTGTCTACTATTGTTAATAATTTTACCGAATTCAATAGTACTTTTTGATCTCAACTAGTATCTTACTTTCACTTCACCTGCTATTTTGCACACAAAAAGAACCCACATCCCAAAAGCTATTTTTAATAGAGATAATATTTCTTTTTGTTGTTTATTAAGATAATTTTCTTAGTTATGAATTCTTCTTCTGTCTTTTTATATCGTTTGTTTTTTAAGATAAATAGCCATGTTTTTTTTAGTATTTGTTGCTAAAAATATTGTTCCCTTTTTGTTGTAGGTGGCGAGCAAACATATTCAGACATGGAAACCTTTATCCTGTCCACACCATGGGTTTTATTGAGTGCACTTGGAAGTAGTATGGCCATGATTGCAATTCTTGAACTCACAAAGTTTGACAAAAAGTTGGGATTCAATGTTTCTTGTTTAATCTCTATTATCTTCGGCTGCATACATTGTTTCTCCATGGTCTTACCTTGGTCATCTAGAGATGAATTGTCTCGCTTGGGGTCTATTCGAAAGATTATATTGCAGATGATTGCTCTACAAGTAGCAATGTTGGCTAAGCATTTTTCTCCTTATTTAGATACCAAGGTGTTCCAATTATTGGTATGTTTGACGGTAGAATTTTATACTTGCATGAAATTTTATTCAGTTGCTCTCTATATTCGTGGTGTAAATTTGAGAAATGTCTTCGCGACGGTGACAATACAGAGTTTGATTTATTGACCACCCTATTGGGGATCCATTGTCTTCTACGTATGCTTTGTTAGCTACAAGTTCTGGACAAGCGGCTCCAAAAGAAAAATATTGTTTCATGAAGCGACACAAAAAGATATCAATGTTGGAGTCACTCCCCCACAAGATATGGAAACCCAACTCCAGAAGAAGGAATCAGAACTGCTTGCCGTTATGATAGACATACCACAAGACAAAGATTGAACTGCTTTGGCTACTACATCAGCAAACCACAAAGATTGAACTGCTTTGTGGACCAAACAATATTATTATGTATGCATTATTTTTATCTTTTGTAGCAAGTACTCTTTATATCTATTGATCCGTTTATATGCTTGGATGTGGAAAAAATAAGCCGAGCACTCACGGTGATGGTCGATGAGCGTCAGGGGAAATATTTCCTCTCCTCCTCTCCAACGCGAAGCCACCCAGATCCATCTCTTGTTCTCTCATCTACCTGATTTTGTCCTCGATCGACGAACACAGAGGCGGCAGATTATTGAAATAAGTTATAAGGATAAATAACATATTGTTGCAACAAATCTTAAGCTTGCATCTGCTGCATTTGGAACTTAGACGAAGAGGGAGAGAGGAGTGGGTAGGAAAGATGGAGATTGGTAGGGCACAAAAAGGTCTATTTAATTTGGGGTTAATGTCACATTTGGTCACTGTGATTACTAAATTGTGTCAAGTTTAGTCACTAGAAAAAATTAATATCAAATTTGGTCACTCTAATTACTGAAACAGGTCACGTTTAGTCACTCTCCGTTAGTCTCCGTCCAACTCCGTTAAGGGAGTCCGTTATGTGCTGACGTGGCTAACGGGAGCGCCTAGTCAGCACCATTTTGGGTCAGAAATGGTCAAACCCGACCCGCCACGTCACTAAACCCGCCATGTCATACACCCAACCCACTAACTCAACCCGACCCAAAACCAAACCCTCACCCACTTAACAAAACAAGATTGGAAAATCGATCGGGTTAGTGGCCATTTCAGACCAAAACCATTTCTCCTTCCTCGCTTTGCTCCTTTCTTGAATCAATCCCCCACAAATAAATCCCCAAATTCGTCAAAAACCGGAATCCCTAGAAGCACGTACGTTCGATTGAAGCAAGCTGGCGATAGCTCGATGGAAGATCCAAATGAAGAGTATCCAGAACTCGACGAACTGGCAGGTGACTTACTCTAAGCGCAGCAAAGGGTTCTTCAAGAAGGCCAACAAGCTCACCGTCCTCTGCGACGCCAAAGTCTCCAGCACCGGCAAGCTCCACGAGTTCATCAACCCCGCCGCCACGTCAGTCTACATCACCTCTACTTTCATTCAATCTCTCCCTTCCTCTTTCCGAAACCCTAGATTTCCGATTCCAGATGAGAGCGAGCTGAATCCGAGTTGATCAGTCTTCGTCTTCGTCTCGGAAGTTTCAATCCAAGCTTGGATAGCACAATTTTTCAATCTTGTTGAGCTGAGCGTCGGATTTTTGCTTTTGTTTTTGTTTGTGTGGTTTGGTTGGGAGCGCAGAAGCAAGGGGATGTTGGATCAGTGCCAGTGAGCTCTCGACGTAGACATCTGGATTACTCACTACGAGGTCAAGTCTCTCTTCATCTACTTCTTCCCTCCTGTCATCTTCCATGTTTGCTGAACGAGAGGACGGACCTCACTCTCCCTCTCCCTTAATCAATCTCTTTGTACGAGTGCAGAAGATGCAAGGTCAATTGAAGGAGATTTTTTATGATGAATTTGGGGATTTTTTTGTGGGGGAATTGATTTGAGGAAGGAGAAAGGGTTTTGGTCTGAAATGGCCAATAACCCGATCGATTTTCCAATCTTGTTTTGTTCAGTGGGTGATGGTTTGGTTTTGGTTCGGGTTGGGTGTATGACATGGCGGGTTTAGTGATGTGGCGGGTCGGGTTTGACCATTTCTGACCCAAAATGGTGCTGACTAGGCGCTCTCGTTAGCCACGTCAGCACATAACGGACTCCCTTAACGGAGTTGGACGGAGACTAACGGAGAGTGACTAAACATTACCTGTTTCCGTAATTAGAGTGACCAAATTTGATATTAATTTTTTCTAGTGACTAAACATGACACAATTTAGTAATCATAGTGACCAAATGTGGCATTAACCCATTTAATTTGGGTGTTCGAAATCGAAACCCACGACCTTGTGGAAGTCTGGCAAAAATTGTTAACTTCCACCGAATGAAGCAGATGCAAGCTTGGGTATTGCAAAGGGAGACAAAGGTGGGTACTGGCCTACTGGGTAAGGGCATATATGATGATTTTCTCAAAGTACAGGAGCAGGGGCATGTTTGACGTAAAAAATCGTAGAGGGTTATGTTTGATAAAACACCATAATAAAGAGGCATATTATACTCGTAACCCTAATCTCTAGGATTGTTCTTACCCTAGGTTATATGTGGGGAATTTTATTTGGTGTTAACGATTCCTCGTTAAGCTCAATGTATATTTGTGTTATGATGCATATACTTAATTGAATATGATTTATAGGGGCGGACCTACCTTATATCTGAGGTGGGCCTGGCCCCCCAAAATGGTCTCGGCCCTGAGATTTTAAGAATATTTAGTAAAATATTTAAGTAAGAATCAGCCAGACACAATACCATAATATGTCATTGTAGTTTGACGGTAAGCAAATTTGGCTTTTATATTTGAGGATGTGGGATTAGGGATGGCAATGGGTAGGGTTGGGACGGGTTTTGCCAAACCCAAACTCAAACTCATGGGTTTATCCGTCATTAAAATCAGGGGTAAAACCCATTGGGTTTGAAAAACTCAAACCCAACCCAACCCGTTGGGTACCCGTGGATTTTTGCGGTAACAAATTTACAATAACAAATTTCTTCCAAATAAAAGTCTAACATCAATTTTCTCATAAAAATTATCCATACAAAAAAACAACAATCTAGAGCATACAAGCAAACGGCAAATTATCAATACAAATTGTTCAAAATTAAAGATAAACATCTAGAAACAACATGATTAATTGACAGCTCCTTCCTCCTTGTCAACTAAGCTTCTTCACTCTCCACTCCATAATATCAACTTCATCGTACACAATTAGAAAGAACAAATTAGACATGCCTCCACAAACATAAAGAAGATTAGTTGTTTAAGGAAGATATATTGTTTAGAATAATAAATCTACCGAAAAAATTAATTATATGAGTGTGGACGGGTACCCATGGGACGAGTTTGCCTAAACCCAAACCCAACCCAACCCGGTGAGGGTGTAGCGGGTTTAAACCCAAATCTGACCCAAAACCTGTCAACACGAGTTTTACCCGCGTTGACCGGGTTGGGTCGGGTACGGTACCTGTGGGTTCGGGTTTTGTTGCCATCCCTACGTGAGATCAAATCCCAACTATTTGAACTTTAAAATAGTTATACCCTAAATATGTATTAACTTAACGAATACCTTTAAACTAATTATAAATTTTCTTTTCCGACCCACCCGGTCTCGAAATTCTGGCTATGCCCTGATAATTTATGAATATGTTTTTTTGTTTTTTTAGAATAATATGTTTAGGGGCTTGCTATTTGCCGCCAACCAAATTGCTATGTGCCGCCAACCAAAAAAAAAAAAAAAAGTATATATGTACATCTTTGGTTAAGGAGTTTCACAATCTACAACATATCCAACTTTCAGAGAACGTATTGAATCAGAAAAAATCGACGCTCGCCGGAAAATTCGCTGGAAAATCATCGGGAAAGCCCATCCTCGACATAAACTGCAGACACGCATCCATGAATCATCACTAAGCAGGTGCGTCAATTTTTTGTAGTTTCGAACAAATTTTCCGACGATTTGCAACGAAAAGACGGTGGGCCGAAATTTCCGGCGGCCGGAACCAGGCAGGGTCGACGGAAATCGGTGGTCGTAGCCAGGCTGAGCCACAAAATGTTTTCGGCTCAACCTGGCTCCGGCCACCAATTTTCGTCGGCCCTGCCTGGTTCCGGCCACCGGAAATTTTCGGCCCGGCCAGGTTCCGGCAGCCGGAAATTTTCGGCCCACAGTCTGTGTTTTTTCAAAAAAATTCGATTTTAGGAGTTGAATTTAGAGTTTAGGAGTTGAATTTAGCGTTTAAGAGTTGAATTTAGCGTGTAAGAATTGAATTTAGAGTTTAGGAGTTGAATTTAGCGGTTAAGACTTGAAATTAGCGTTTAGGTTCACAGGAATATTAATGTGTTATATTGTAATTGTAGGAAAAATGTCAGGGTGGTTACCTGCCGATCATGATTACACACAGAAATTTGAGAATGGGATCCATTATGCAAGTGTGAAGTTAGCTGCAAAAGCAATCGCTCAGGAGTGTGGGTTCTTTATTGTTAGAGGAGCATGAAAACCGAATACTGCTGGACTACATCCTGTTACTGCCCTCTGTATGTATTGCGACAGAAGCAGTAGGATCGTTAAGTCTTACAAACCAGACCCTACGAAGGAGACGCGTAGGAATATTAGTTCGAAGGGTACTAGTTGCCAGTTTCAGATATGTATTAAGGAAGTATGGCAAGAGAATGGTCCAAACACATGGGTCATAGTGGGAGTGACAAGTCGTGTAACCGGAGCTAATAGAGGGTTTCACAACCATGAAAAGGTGTTGTATCCATAACATCACCGACACAACAAACAGTTTAGTGAGGCTGAAAAAGAGAGGTTAAGATTAATGAGGAAGGCGGGGGTGAGACCAAATCATCAGAAGACGACACTCAATACTGAAGGGGGTGTGTATCATGATATCAAACAGATGTACAACAGAAATTACAAGACAAGATTGGATGAGATTGGTGAAAATGGATGCGATACAGTTTGCGCTTCACGGAGTTGACAGCGTGGGTACTATATCTGTTTGCAAAAGGACTCTAATAATGTGCTCACTAATCTGTTTTTTGCGCACCCGACGTCCATTCAGATGTTGCATGCATGGTCATACATCATCCTCATTGACTCGACCTACAAGACCAACAGGTACGGCTGGCCATGGGTTGAGATTATTGGGGTTACTCCAGTCAAGAAGAATTTCAACATTGCATGTGCAATTATTAAGCAGGAAACAAAGGAAACATATGAGTGGCTGCTGCGATGTATTAAAGGGTTGCTTGGTGATACGGTTCCGAATGTCATTGTGACAGACAAAGAAGGTGGTTTGCTTGCTTCTGTTCCTGTGGTCTTCCTCTCCTACTGTCCACCTACTATGTTTATGGAACGTCAACAACTGTGTGAAGCAAAAGTTTGAGCAATTACTGGGTGGAATTGCAAACAGAGAGGTAGCATAAGCGGTATGGAAGAAATATTTCGACAAAGCTGCATGGAGTTGGACTCAGGAGGGTTTTCTTCAAAAGATTAATGAGTTTGAGAGGGTCTGGACAGAGAAGAACATAAAAATGGTCGACTACGCGCGAGGTGAGTGGTTGCCTCATCAGAAAATGTGGGCAGAGTGCTACACGAACCATGTGTTTCATCTTGGTAACACGAGCTCGAATAGAGTTGAGTAATCTCACTCTTCATTCAAGACTTTCCTTGTGTCTAGTAGATGAGCGATTGACACTTGTTTTGCGAAGAACCACAACTACATGGAACATCAGTTTCTGGAAGTGGTGAATGAACTGCACAAGTCACTGAACCGCAATTTGAGTAGGGCAATTGAGCCTCCGTGCACGATTTTGAGGAGGGTCGTTAGTTCTGAGTCAAGATAGTCGATCGTAGTCTCATATGGATACGTCGTCTACGGCTGAGAGTACATGTCTATATGAACCATGTGGGATAGCAGAGCATCCCATGCAGCATCAAAACTCTCAGGAATCTGAATGACATATCCACTAGGTGCCTCTGGTCGGTCTGCTCGCTGAGGACGCGAAGGGGGTGGCGGTACCATCTGTCGATATCCAAACTGTCGGAGGCAACGGGCTGGATCATAGAACTCGCCTATATCAGCGAACCAGATGACTCCAGTGTACAAAGAGAGACGCACTGCCTGATGAGGCCTCTGATGGAAAGGTGTCCAAAACACATCAGAAGGGGTCAAGCTGTCCAGAGCTCGACGGTAGAACGCCAACCTCACACTAGGATCAGCCACAGAACCAGGTGCCGGCTGCCCAATCCATCATGAAGCCCAAGCCTCATCAGGTCCAACGACGGGTGGCTCGAAGTGAGATGGCCTGAAACCCAGAAAGTAATCGTAGATCCAACACTGCAGAAGTGTGAGACAACCAGCCACCCCCTGGCACCAGCACGAGACGCCTGACCAAGGTATCTGTACAACCAAGCAAGTGTACCTGATGCCAAACTGTACTGATCTACCTCCTCCAACTCGTCCAAAAATAGGTTCACCACCGGCCGAACCCTGTCTCTACTCTTGTACACAAACAAAGTGGACCCCAACAGCAACAACAAGTACGACTGCGCCTCTGTCACATGTGTCCCGTTCACCTGCAAGTATCTGGACGCCATCTCCGCAAGAAAACTACCCTTCTCGTACCACTTACCCCTATTACCATATCTAGGGGTCTCCGAACGACCACTCAACTGCTCCGAGTTCATCCCAAGAAGCGCACACAAACCCACCTCCGGATGGTCAAGCTGCGCAGAAGTCCTACTCATCAGTCGTCCCTCAATAGGAATCTACAGTAAGTACTGAACATCGTGGAGGAGGATCGTCATCTCTCCAAAAGGCAAGTGGAAGGTGTTCGTGTCTGGAGACCTGAATGCTGAACCAGATCCTCCGCCTCAACATGACTAAACACGTAGCTACCCAGATAATTAACCGCCGATGTACGCCTGTAGCAACTGATGACCCCTCGATCTCCAACCCTCGTCCAAAGCGCATAGGAAGCGTAGCCACGGAAGCTCCTAATGAGGCTATGATCCGTAGGTCCACCAGGACACTCACCAACAAGCTCCCACGGTGGAGGACCACTCGAACGTCCTCCCCTACTCCGTCCAGTCCTCGAGCTCTCTGTCTCCTCACGAGCAGGTCGTACGAACCGCCCAGCTCGGTCCCTATACATAGCAGGTCGTGATGTTGCCGTACAAGACGACACTCATCCATGTCCACGCGTAGGTGTAGGGACCTCGATATCCTCATCAGTCTCATCAAACTCAGCTGAGACCACTCTCGATGCAGCACCCTGGTTCCTCCCATGGGAACCAGACGCCCGTGATGACGAACGAGCAACTACAGTAGGAGCCTCTAAATCATCCTCCCCTAAATTTGCCTCTGACTGATGTCCAATATCTCGAGAGCGCTTCTTCTCCTTATTCTTCTTAGGCACCTTCCTTCGTGTTGATGCATCACCAATCCTACCATTGAATCTATGCAACTCACTCTCACTCGCATCATCCATATCTAATTATCTACAAATTTACACAATGTCATACTTAGATGCGCACTAATTAATTAAATTTCTATTAACTAATGTACTATTAATATTAATTGTTAATTAATCACAAGTTAATTAATTTTCTATTAACTAATGTACTAAATATTAACATTAATTGTTAAATCAATTATTAATTAATTAATTTTCTATTAACTAATGTACTGAATATTAACATTAATTGTTAAATCAATTATTAATTAATTAATTTTTTATTAACTAATCTAAGTAATTAAACATTCATACACCTATTACCAAAAAAATTTTCATACACCAACTTAAATAAATATTAACACTAATTGCTAATTTCTATTAACTAATTAAGTAAATTTTTATTGATTAATTAATTAACATATTAAATTAAATGCAAAAATCTTTCGGGCCGAAAAAAACCTGCGGCAGGTGCGTCGCCGGGCTGAAATGTTTTTTGGCCGGTGCGCCGCCAGGTCGAAAAAAATTTTTGGCCGGAGCACCGCCGTGTTGAAAAAATTTTGCGGCCGGTGCGACGCCCAGCCGTAAATCTCTTTCGGCCCGACGTCGCCTCAGCCGAATTTTTTTTTCCGGCGGCCGACGAACACGCCGCCGAAAAAATTTTGGCCGCCGTGTTCGGCCACCGGCCGAATTTCTTTTGCGGCCGAGGCGCCACCGAGCCGAAACAAATTTTCGGCAGGGTATCGCATCGGTCGCAAATTTTTTCCGGCTCGGCGGCGTTCCGGCCGTAATTTTTTTTCAGCCCGCTGTGTTTTTCGGCGATGTTGATTTGATGTTTCGCGATGGAAAATCTTGCGGTGCCGTTTGATTGGATGCACCGCTGATTGCTAAAATCGAGACGACCGTTAAATATCCACCGGGCGGTGTTGATTTGATCGATGCACCTCTGAATGGTGAAATCAACGTGACCGTCAAATATCCACCGTCGGGCGATGTTGATCTGATAGATGCACCTCTGACTTCTAACCAACGCGACCGTTACCACGGTTCGCACCTCTCCAAACTACGTTCGAACGAGGGTGTTTGAGTTTTTTGAGGAATCTACGGTACCGCTACTCCTATGGAGATTCCTGTGGAGAGCTCCGCGACTACGACTAAGACTACAACTATGGAGATCCTTCCTAGAAGGAGAGCTCCGCGAAGGAGTTACAGAGAAAAAAGGTAAAGTTTGAACAGATGTGTTTCTGTGTTGATTTGGTTCTCTCTCCTCTCTCCTTGCTCTGTTGCTTTTATTCGAAAGCATCTTCGTAGTCTTCACGCAACTCCGTGTCAACTGCTTCGTCGTCCGGAGAACTCCCACGTGTCTCAACCGCTTCGTTCCTCAAACTGCTTCGCGAACTTTACGTGAGTTGTTTTCATGATCCCGCGATGTCGTTTCCTTTCCAAACAGCTCCGTTTGCTTTTCCTTTTGCGACATTGTTTTTTTATTAAACACTGTCGTTTGCTAGTATAGCGGTACCGTTGGGCTTGCTCGCGGTATTGTTTTTAATTAAACGACACCGCTAACCTAACCAAAAAATATCAATTCATGGAACCGTCGCGAGTCTGCACTCGCATTGAGCTGGGCGAATTTTGGTCACTTACCCAATATGGTTTTTTTTTATTTAATCGGTACCACTTATCAAGGCTCTCGCGGCATCGTTTTTAAATCTGAGGTACCGTTTTTATTTTCCGCGATGCCGCTTGTCTCCATGCGGTACCGCTTCTCCCCTTCCTACAAGGAATAATAATAATAATAATAATAATAATAATAATAATAATAATAATAACTCCTTTTCCAACACCAATACTACGTGCGCGGCCCCCATCCTGTTTTCTGGTAAACAGTGTTGTTTCCAGTGCCGCGGTACCGGTGAGCTTCCTTGCGGTACCGTTTTTTCTGATCAGCGGTGTCGTTGGGTTTATTCGCGGTGCCGTTTTTAGCCAAACGACACCGTTTCCCAGTCTCGCGATGCCGTCGAGCTTTGAGGTTCGCGGCATTGCTTGACCCCAAACGGTGTTGTTACTCTCCTCCTCCGACAAGGAAAAAATAAAATAAAAAACATTCCTTGTCAAACAGCAACACATGTCCTGCGCATGACTCACACATGGTCTGCAACCAATGTCGTTTCAAGTACCGCGGTACCGCCGAGCCTCTTCGCGATCTCGCTTAAATTCTCCGCGGTATTGCTCCACTCCAAACGGTATCGTTTTGGCCATGCGATATCGAATTAAATGTCGGGACTCATTATTACGACAATGAATTTAGGCCAAAAATATTTTAGGTGTAAACAATGTCCCACAACTTAATTTATAAGAAGTACTTCTTATGAACTAAGTTGTTGACACAACTTAATTCACCTAAAATGATAATTAACTTGCCTCAATGATCAAGTTGGCGAGAAATTTTATGGCCACCTTTGGCCAATCTCACCAACACGCATGCAAAAAACTATCTGGACATGTTGGCGTTCTCATTGTCAATTATTAAACCCCAAGCAAAACTTCAACGAGCTTTAGAAAACACAACCGAGACTTATCTTTAGTTACAGCTTCCTTGCAATGTTTTGCAACCAAACGTCTTTACTTCCTTTTCCTGTTCTTATGCACCAAATAAGATTGCAAGCTGCAACTCTGCTTGTATTTAGACCCACAACAAGACCGTGCCATTTAGATAACGGCAGCGATGCAATTTCCACTACCATTTCTGAATGCTTTTTTTCTTCCAACGAGGATCAAATTAAAGACCAATCCTTTTTCCAAAACAGCAGGTATACTCGCCCACTAAAAATAAATACCCTTGGTCTTCTCCAATCATATCTCGCCACCAACCAGTAAACACAAAACCCAAGCTCACAGCGACGAACCTTGGCCTAGCAGAAACGACACCGTCCTCAACATCACCATGACAGTACGCGCAACACTATTTTAGAACAAACATTGTTGTTGGCAGCTTGACCAAAACGCAGCTGTTTTATTTTCACGTCGCAGCGTTGTGAAGCTGTTTTCCGGCGAGAAAAAACTGGTGTTTGAACACAATGAATGCACCTTGACTTCTCGAACAACGATAATTACACGGTTCACTCCTCTCCGAACAATGTTCAAACGAGGGTGTTTGATGTTTTGATGGTTTTTTTGGGAACAAGCTACGTTACTCTACTCCTATGGAGGTTCAGTGAGAGCTCCGAAAAACTAAAAGGCAAGTTGCAGAGAAAAAGATAAATTTTGACATAGTGTGTCAAATGATTGGTTGTGGAACCCTTTTACAATTTTAGTTTCTCCTATTTATAGTCATCGAGTGTAACTGCCTTGGTAACTGCCTTTGTAACCGCTAGTTGGCTTGCTGCTCCAAACCGCCTCGGAGTACTTGTTGCCGCCTTGGTGACTAATTGGTAACCGCCACCCTGGGGGCCCTTGTCCCGTCTTGGGCTGGTGGGTACTTGATGGCCTCGATGCCGGGTCGGGTTGTTGTTGATCCTTGTCGTCTTGTCATGACTGGATGGGGTTGAGGCTCTTGCCTTAGCCTCCATGAACCATGATGAGGTCTTGATCTCACCCTCGACTGCTTGATAACTCCCCGCTTCTGAGTCCGCTACCACCTCATGACATCAAATCCTTCTCATTAACTTGTTGGTTGTTACCAAGCCGTCTCATCGGCTTGATACCTTCTGGCATGCCACCAAGCCCATGTAATCAACTTGACACCCCTTGCTACCAAGCCAGCCCTGGTGGCTTGGTATCCATACTTAGTTTTTGTAGTCTCATCAAGTTGGTAAATTACACCCTGTCGGCTTAGTACCAAGTCTTGGGACTTTGTCTCCATATGGCCCCATAAGGGCCATACATGGCTGTTTGGTACCTAATCGGGTGGCCACCTCAGCTAGCCACCATGCCTTAGTCGAATTTCTTGTCTTGTTGGCTTGATACCCTGATGTCTGGCTATCAAGTCCGTCTTGCCCCCCTGTTGCCTGGCCACCAAGTCAGTCTTACCGGCTTGATACCCCCCTTGGGGTCATGATACCAAGGGGTATGATACCCTGTCGCTTTGCTTGCCTGCCAAGCCTGTCTTGCCGACCGCGTTGGCTTCATACTTAGTCAAATTCATGCTTTTCATGTCTTGGTACCAAGCCATGCCTTGCCGGCTTGGTACCCTCTTGCTATGGCCATGTGATTCCATACTTAACCAATTTTCATGTATTTTAGTATCAAGCATGCCTTTCGGCTTGATACCCCTTTGGCTCTATACTTACCCAAATTCAATGTCTTGATACCAAACCCTCCTTGCCGGCATGGTACCCTCTTGCCCCATACTCAGCCGATTTTGTCTCAGCACGGATGGTCTCCTATTTGGTACCCGGCTTGGTACCTGGTCGTTTGGTACCCATCGGACGGTGTCATGCTTGACACCCTTGTGGTTGGATCTCCATACTTAGCCAATTTTCACCTCGGCATCATGTTTGACACCCTTAGACGAGACCCCCCTTGGACGAGATCATGCATGACCCCCTTTGTGCTTGACCCCCTTGGACGGTGTCATGCATGACCCCCCTTGTGCTGTGGATCTCAACACTTAGCCAAATTTTGGCTCTCTTTGCCACCACAGCTAGGGGTACTAGCGGTGACCCCCCTTGTGCTTGACCCACTTGGACGATGTCATGCATGACCCCCCTTGCGGTGGCATGCATGACCCCCTTTGCGGTGGACCCCCTTTGCGATGGCATGCTTGACCCCCTTGTGTTGTGGGTCTCAACACTTAGCCAATATTTTGGCTCTCTTTGCCACCACATGGTTGCCACCACACGGCGAAAGGGTACTCACGATGACCCCCTTGGTGGTTGTGTCTCCACGACTTGGGTGGTTGATGTTGAAGGGTGTCAACACGCTTGATACTTGACCCCCCTTGCGTGATGGGTGAGTGTTTGATGGGTCAAGTGATGGTGTTGAGGTACCTGGTATGAACCCAAAATACCATTATTTAGGCCCAACCTAAACCAATTTAATTAACATGGTTAAGTTGGCCTTATAAATCACCACCACTCCTTGAAAATAATCAATGTGGTATTGAGTGATTTTTTTAGTGGTAAACAAATGCCCCCCACAACTTAGTGTATAAGAATTATGCACTAAGTTGTTGAACTCAACTTGACCACCTAAAAATAATACTTATCTCGACACCACCTTCCTTAGCCAAATTTTGGCTTTGATTACAAAGTCATGCACCCATATCCTTTTATAGAATGCTAGGCCATGACAAAAGGAAGTAAAACTTAACTAGCTCAATTTCCTTTCCAATGCATGGCTAGCTACTCAAGCCATGCTTTATCACGAGGGTATCATGCCATGTCTTAGGGTGTGGGAGGCTTGGCATGCCGGCCACCATGGTTGCCGCCCAACATTGAACCCCTTGACACCAACGTCCCAAAGAGAAGAGACATAAGGCTTGAGATACTTGACATTGATTAATTGATCATGTAGCATCCCATCCTCTTACGACAAGCAGGCTTCCTTGGACGGGTGGCTTGGACAATAAATGGTCTACACCGACAGCGAATCACCTGCTCATGCCATGTAAATGACATGGATCCAGCCACCACATGAGTGTGGCTTATCAGTTATGACCAGGTTCTCACATTACAAATCTAACTAAAACTTGACACTTCGACCTCGTATTTTTTAGCCATGATTGGCTTTCGATTTTTCTTTTCTCTTTTTTTTACTAATATTATATTTATTTATTTTAATATAGAAGAGAGTGACAAACGTCACTAATATCCATGCCCTTTGGCACCTACCAACGTGCCAAAGGTGTACAGCCACTGCCAAGTCCATGGGTTAAACCAGACCAACCATCCATACACTACTTGTCTTCCCTCTGTTAGGGGAAACAACTCATTTGGTGTTGGTTTCAAATTGCCCTGGGGGGCTTTAGGCATGGACTTCCTTCCTCGTCCATCCCTTAACACCATCTCATACTTATAAATTTTTTGAGTGGGTTGGGCGTGATGAACACTCCTAGACTTGTTCTCCACTCGTTTCTTCACTATCGGTGACATGCCCCCTGTCCAGTGGTTGGAGACATGCCCCCCATAGCCTTGTTCATGGTTTTTGACGTGCCCCCTTTGCCAAACTCAACTTCACTAACATTCTTACTACAAGCATGTGTGGCTTGGGTTTGTTGTGGCTTCTTGGGCATGTGTATCTTTCTATTGTTTGTGGTTGATGATATGCCCCCTTGTCGACCCTTCATGGGTGGCATGCTACAAGGGGCCTTGCCTCCTTGTGCACTCTTTGACACGTTGTCAAAGTTATGAAAATTATAGATGGCATGGGTAGGCAACACCCACTTAGACTTGCCACTCACTCTATCCTTCATGTCTGATGACATGCCCCCCTGTCCGCTGCATGGAGATAGAGACATGTCATTCTTGCCACACTTAGATGAAAAATGTGGTGAGTCCTTAAACAAAGTTCTTTTTCCATTTTCCTTGACGTCAACGTGCCCCCTAGCCTGATATTTCACCGTCAACTTGTCAGGTGGTAGGCTTTCATACCCCTCTGCCTGCCCCCCTCGCGGGTTGCATCCACCAGGCTTGATGGGCGTGGATAACAGTGGTGCTGGACAAGCTTGTGGGAACACATTTGTAGTGAGTGACCCTGCACCAACTTTCACATTAAGGCATGGTCTAGCCTTTGAGGCAGTTTCTAAAGTAATTGTCTGTATAGGCAATTTCTTTACATGAGTGGTGAACGTGGGAGCGAGATTCTCGCCACAACCACCACGTTGAAGAGGTGGTTGACTTGTCACCGGAGACGATGAGTTCTCTGACCGTGGCGGGGTAGTCCGGCCACCGAAGTTTAGAATACTCGTATCCCCAGTAGCAACGCTTGATGGTGGATCTACACCATCTTTCGCCAAAACCTTTGATCTCAATATTGATTTCATCAAAAGTTGGCGAAACTTCTTACAATTATTTTCATTTATCTCACAAATCTCATCTAGTTGATCCAAATGCCGATTTAGCCGAGTATGGAAACAATCAAGTTGAGATACAATTTGTTTTGTGTATCCCACCATAGCCTCCTCCATTAATTGCATTTCTACCACCAGTGACTGGTGGAGAGACAAAGTGGTGGTGGTTACACCCAAACATGGCGCCGGAGAAGGCTGACCACTTGCCCCGCCATTGTTTCCGGCGTTACTTTTTGCTAATTGGCCAAGATCATACCTAGCCACTAGCTCTTTTATAAATCCAAGTGAAAGATCACCTTCTTGTTCTTTCAGTCGTGGAGCCATCAAATCAAACACTCAGTGTCCCACCAGGTGTGCCAATTTGTTTTCCGGCAAGGAAAAACTGGTGTTTGAACACAATGAATGCACCTTGACTTCTCGAACAACGATAATTACACGGTTCACTCCTCTCCGAACAATGTTCGAACGAGGGTGTTTGATGTTTTGATGGTTTTTTTGGGAACAAGCTACGTTACTCTACTCCTATGGAGGTTCAGTGAGAGCTCTGAAAAACTAAAAGGCAAGTTGCAGAGAAAAGATAAATTTTGACATAGTGTGTCAAATGATTGGTTGTGGAACCCTTTAACAATTTTAGTTTCTCCTATTTATAGTCATCGAGTGTAACTGCCTTGGTAACTGCCTTTGTAACCGCTAGTTGGCTTGCTGCTCCAAACCGCCTCGGAGTCCTTGTTGCCGCCTTGGTGACTAATTGGTAACCGCCACCCTTGGGGCCCTTGTCCCATCTTGGGCTGGTGGGTACTTGATGGCCTCGATGCCGGGTCGGGTTGTTGTTGATCCTTGTCGTCTTGTCATGACTGGATGGGGTTGAGGCTCTTGCCTTAGCCTCCATGAACCATGATGAGGTCTTGATCTCACCCTCGACTGCTTGATAACTCCCCGCTCCTGAGTCCGCTACCGCCTCATGACATCAAATCCTTCTCATTAACTTGTTGGTTGTTACCAAGCCGTCTCGTCGGCTTGATACCTTCTGGCATGCCACCAAGCCCAATTAATCAACTTGACACCCCTTGCTACCAAGCCAGCCCTGGTGGCTTGGTATCCATACTTAGTTTTTGTAGTCTCATCAAGTTGGTAAATTACACCCTGTCGGCTTAGTACCAAGTCTTGGGACTTTGTCTCCATATGGCCCCATAAGGGCCATACATGGCTGTTTGGTACCTAATCGGGTGGCCACCTCAGCTAGCCACCATGCCTTAGTCGAATTTCTTGTCTTGTAGGCTTGATACCCTGATGTCTGGCTATCAAGTCCGTCTTGCCCCCCTGTTGCCTGGCCACCAAGTCAGTCTTACCGGCTTGATACCCCCTTGGGGTCATGATACCAAGGGGTATGATACCCTGTCGCTTTGCTTGGCTGCCAAGCCTGTCTTGCCGACCCCTTTGGCTTCATACTTAGCCAAATTCATGCTTTTCATGTCTTGGTACCAAGCCATGCCTTGCCGGCTTGGTACCCTCTTGCTATGGCCATGTGATTCCATACTTAACCAATTTTCATGTATTTTAGTATCAAGGATGCCTTTCGGCTTGATACCCCTTTGGCTCTATACTTAGCCAAATTCAATGTCTTGGTACCAAACCCTCCTTGCCGGCATGGTACCCTCTTGCCCCATACTCAGCCGATTTTGTCTCAGCACGGATGGTCTCCTATTTGGTACCCGGCTTGGTACCCGGTCGTTTGGTACCCATCGGACGGTGTCATGCTTGACACCCTTGTGGTTGGATCTCCATACTTAGCCAATTTTCACCTAGGCATCATGTTTGACACCCTTAGACGAGACCCCCCTTGGACGAGATCATGCATGACCCCCTTTGTGCTTGACCCCCTTGGACGGTGTCATGCATGACCCCCCTTGTGCTGTGGATCTCAACACTTAGCAAAATTTTGGCTCTCTTTGCCACCACAGCTAGGGGTACTAGCGATGACCCCCCTTGTGCTTGACCCCCTTGGACGATGTCATGCATGACCCCCCTTGCGGTGGCATGCATGACCCCCTTTGCGGTGGACCCCCTTTGCGATGGCATGCTTGACCCCCTTGTGCTGTGGGTCTCAACACTTAGCCAATATTTTGGCTCTCTTTGCCACCACACGGCGAAAGGGTACTCACGATGACCCCCTTGGTGGTTGTGTCTCCACGACTTGGGTGGTTGATGTTGAAGGGTGTCAACTCGCTTGACACTTGACCCCCCTTGCGTGATGGGTGAGTGTTTGATGGGTCAAGTGATGGTGTTGAGGCACCTGGTATGAACCCAAAATACCATTATTTAGGCCCAACCTAAACCAATTTAATTAACATGGTTAAGTTGGCCTTATAAATCACCACCACTCCTTAAAAATAATCAATGTGGTATTGAGTGATTTTTTTAGTGGTAAACAGAAGCCTAAAACAACTTTGTTTTATATATTTAAAATAATAATAAAAAATGACACTCCTGCAGCACGGTTTCAATCACCACAACCCTGTTCTTCTCTTTTGTTCTCCCTCAACAGCGTTGTTTTGGTGAGACTCTTTTTTTTTTACTAGGCGGCCACCCCGACAAAGTTGCAAAGGTTAACAGCGCTGATTTGCCATGCAACAAGCCTGCTTGAAATGCGTCGTATCCATACTCCGCATTGCTGCATTGGGTAGACAAGTAGACAACCACACCCCTACGCATCCGTTCCACAGCTCCGTTTTTCTTTTATATTATTTTTCTTTCATTCGATTAGCCATAACTGCAACCCAGTAGCGTTTCATAAGCAAGACAAAGCTCTCATGCAATACTGGCCAATCTCGTTCTTTGTCCAACAAAGACTAGTAATAATAATAATAATAAATCTTGCTCCAAGCTAAATTTACCCTTTCAATGACGTGGCCATTCTATAAGGATGGCTTTACTTCCCCAACTTTGTTTCTTGCCCGAGCAATCTTGCAACCAAATCCTTGCCCAAATTGAATTTGCTTTTCAACTCTCAACGTTGCTTGCCTATCTTCCTCAAGGATTCATCCTCCTGCAACGTTGTGGCCAATTACAACGACGTTGTTTTGGCACATTTTTTTTAATCGAACCCGGCCAGCGAAGCGGCCCTCTCTAAACAGACACTGCAACCTTGTTTTTCCTTTGATTATGTGGCCAAATCTTATCAATACGGGAAACAAGTAGCTAACACCCCTGTTTTGCAGGCTTGCAGCGCTGCTTCAGCCCCAAAACAACAACGTTTTTTTTTATATCCACAATGCTGCTTGCCCCCAACAAACGCGGTCGGAATATTTTTTGGCTCTCCTCTAGGCAACGCTGTGGCAAATTATTTAGCCAAATATAATTCTTGGCCAAATAGATACTTCATGGTGTTGTGATTCAAACACTATTGCTGAAAACAAAAGAAAAAGCAACTCCGTTTCATGGATAAAACTGTCATGTTTAGCCGGTCTTTCTTCTCTGTGGCAACAAACATGTTTTCAACGCTAATTATTTCCTCTCTAAAAAAACCCTCTTGCACTACTGCCAACAACCTTGTGGCTTCTTCTCTGCAATGTTGCTTAGAATATTTTTGTAATTTTTAATTTTTTTATAATAACATATAACATGGCCTAAATTAGCCATATTTTATTTATTTTATAAATAACTAATAAAACATGCTAAACTTTGGCATAAATCATCATGCCAAAAGTCCATATCCATTGCCAATTCAACTCATCAAACCACGCAAGCCATCCGTAGGTCCCATGACTCATCAGAGCTGGATTTACAAACGACTGAGACATTTTGAAGTCAGCACTGCATTGCCACTTTTTAGCTCGCCTAGCTTGAACATCCTTGTTCGAAATCCCACAAGCTCGCTTTGGCTTAATCTCGCGCTCGTTCCATGGAGAATCACAGGTGTTCTTTGGCACCTTTGTTTGGCCAAATCGACCAGGTGACATCGCTTGCCTAGCCTGGTCTGATTTTGTGAGATTCGCATTTTCACCATGCTGTTGGGAGTATGAGCGCCGAGACTTTTCATCAACAGGTGCGTTGGTATTTTGCTTAGCACGAACATAACTTTTGCACCTATCCACGTGAGTTTGGAGTTTGTTTGGCATTGGCCTTGCCCCCTAGACCACCACTCATGGATTTGTTCCCAGCCAACACTGGTATGGCAACCCCATGTCGGGTTTGATCGAACTTGCCCCCCTCTCTACTTAGTGGAGGTTTTGGGGACAATTTACATAGAGGATTCTGTTGATTCATGCCAACTTTGATGGCATTGGGTTTTTTCACGTGGCTACCACCCCCACACTGCAAAGTTTTTGCTGCCATCCTTGTTTGAATTTTCCTAGAATAGGACAGATTTGGAAAACTTATTTGCCACTTGCGATGTTATTTTTCCGTCAACCGACCATGCGGTGGGATCTCATGCCCCCCTAGCGGCTTAGATTGAACACCATTGCGATGTTGCTTGGACAACCCATCATACGTGAGCTTGCTATGCTCGACGTGATTGTAACAAGGTTCTCGAACCTGGTTCTTGTTTTCAATCTTACTAGAAGTAAGTCGATACTGACTTCTTTGTAGTGGCTTCTGCAAGCCACTTCCAATTGGTGTGTCCTTTAGAACAACGTTGTTCACAGGAAAGAACACATTGGATTCACTCACTTCTGGCAACAATGTTGTAGCCATCGATGATGGAGTTTGGTTGACATTAGCTATTCGAACAACCACGCATCCTCACACACAACAGACATTGTTCGAGATTTAAACACATCAAAATCATACATGGCTCCACGTATTGACATATTAAAATCAGAAACAGAGTCGTCCAACTTATCAAACCATTGATCTATGTTTTTTTCAAGATTATCTAATTTTTTGTCAAGAGAAGTTAAAATGAGATTTACCTGTTGGCTATCTCTGCTGAGTTCAACCACTACTCGGCGGAGTATATGCATCATCTCACCCTGATCGGAGATTCGTGCCACTGGTTGCACCTCCGCTCCAACGTTGTTGCTTGAATCGCCAACACCGTCGTCAATCTCGACGTTGATCATTTGAGCCTCAGTCATAGATCCTTGTCGAAGACCACAATCTTCTTTTCCTCGTCGCAGAGCTATGTCAAACAGACGGGTCCCACCGGGTGTGCCAAAATGTTTCCCCGGGAAAATCAAATGCCACCGCCGGTGCCGATTTTGGTTTTCGGCGATGTTGATTTGATGTTTCGCGATGGAAACTCTTGCAGTGACGTTTGATTGGATGCACCGCTGATTGCTGAAATCGAGACGACCGTCAAATATCCACCGGGCGGTGTTGATTTGATCGATGCACCTCTGAATGGTGAAATCAACGTGACCGTCAAATATCCACCGCCGGGCGATGTTGATCTGATCGATGCACCTCTGACTTCTAACCAACGCGACCGTTACCACGGTTCGCACCTCTCCAAACTACGTTCGAACGAGGGTGTTTGAGTTTTTTGAGGAATCTACGCTACCGCTACTCCTATGGAGATTCCTGTGGAGAGCTCCGCGACTACGACTAAGACTACAACTATGGAGATCCTTCCTGGAAGGAGAGCTCCGCGAAGGAGTTACAGAGAAAAAAGGTAAAGTTTGAACATATGTGTTTCTGTGTTGATTTGGTTCTCCCTCCACTCTCCTTGCTCTGTTGCTTTTATTCGAAAGCATCTTCGTAGTCTTCACGCAACTCCGTTTCGTTCCTCAAACTGCTTCGCGCGAACTTTACGTGAGTTGTTTTCATGATCCCGCGATGTCGTTTCCTTTCCCAAACAGCTCCGTTTGCTTTTCCTTTTGCGACATTGTTTTTTTATTAAACACTGTCGTTTGCTAGTACAGCGGTACCGTTGGGCTTGCTCGCGGTACCGTTTTTAATTAAACGACACCGCTAACATAACCAAAAAATATCAATTCATGGAACCGCCGCGAGTCTGCACTCGCATTGGGCTGAGCGAATTTTGGTCACTTACCCAATATGGTTTTTTTTTATTTAATCGGTACCACTTATCAAGGCTCTCGCAGCATCGTTTTTAAATCTGCGGTACCGTTTTTATTTTCCACGATGCCGCTTGTCTCCATGCGGTACCGCTTCTCCCCTTCCTACAAGGAATAAAAATAATAATAATAACTCCTTTTTCAACACCAATACTATGTGCGCGGCCCCCATCCTGTTTTCTGGTAAACAGTGTCGTTTCCAGTGCCGCGGTACCGGTGAGCTTCCTTGCGGTACCGTTTTTTCTGATCCGCGGTGTCGTTGGGTTTATTCGCGGTGCCGTTTTTAGCCAAACGACACTGTTTCCCAGTCTCGCGATGCCGTCGAGCTTTGAGGTTCGCGGCACCGTTTTATCTCTTCGCGGCATTGCTTGACTCCAAACTGTGTTGTTACTCTCCTCCTCAGACAAGGAAAAAATAAAATAAAAAACATTCCTTGTCCAAAAGCAACACATGTCCTGCGCATGACTCACATATGGTCTGCAACCAATGTCGTTTCAAGTACCGCGGTACCGCCGAGCCTCTTCGCGGTCTCGCTTAAATTCTCCGCGGTATTGCTCCACTCCAAACGGTATCGTTTTGGCCATGCGATATCGAATTAAATGCCGAGACTCATTATTACGGCATTGAATTTAGGCCAAAAATATTTTAGGTGTAAATAATGACCAACTGATATGGTATGAATAGATTGCATTACGCTCTTTTGTGGGAAAATTATTTTTATTTTCTAGAGGTACGTGGAACTTTCGAGAACAATAAAGTAGGTGAAGTTATTCAATTCTGAGAGCTATTCCAACCATTGCTGGATGTGATTACAAGAGCCGAAAGAGAATGAATACCACTTGTGTAGTGCAGCGCAATATGGTATTGTTTTAGTCCAATAGAATAGAAAATTAACACAATAAGGGACTAATTGAGACACTTTATAAGTAAATATCATTCCCTCTATAACCCTTTGATACCCAATACTCATAGGGGTCGTTTGGATTAGGAAATTTGAGGAGGGATTCTGCCACAATCCTTGCCCTTCCTGGATTTCATCCAATTTCTGAGTTTGAAAAGACTCCAAAAATTGAGAGATTTTGGACATTTAGGAATTTCAAAATAGCTAATAGACACCAGCTATTTCAAAATCTCTGGATTTTTTTTTCAACCATTGCCCCTCGTATCCACTGCATCGCCACCAACGTTATCTTCCTCATCTCCCCGACCAGAATCTCCGGTCGGAGTCATCCTTCCCAAAGACAACCTCGTCGACCTCACCAAAGCCATCTTCCGGCGTCGACGAATATGGAAAGAGATGAATGTTTCGTGGCGAAGGCCCGAATCTGGAAATCATTGATCGAGGGGAAGGGAGACAAATTGCCGATTTCGAATCGGAATTCGCGTCGGCAGCCCCTTGAAGCGCTTCGCATGGGTCGAAGAGGACGGGGACGATGAATGGAAGCGGCCGGTGGGAGACGATTGGTGGGTTCTGAATCGCCGATGGGAGACGAGCGGAGAAAGAGGGAGATGAGGAAGGAGAGAATCGAAGGGGCCGAAAATCCTCCAGATTCAAGCCAGATTCATCTGGGTTCCAAGTGTTCGACTCAAATCGGAGGTTCCCGTGGTGGCAACGGTCGTTTCTTCTGTGTTTTCCGATCATCGTTTTTTTTTAAGTGAGCATTCGTTTTTTCTTTGTTTATGGGTTTCTGACTTTCTGGGGATTGGGGAAGATAATGTGGATCTGGGGAGAAGACGAAGGGGGAGGGGGAGGGGCAAATTGGTCATTGAACATATTGGGTCTAAATTACTTATCTATAAACAAACAAGACATTTGGGCCAATTCTTAATTTAAAATCTCTGATTTTTTAAATGAGGAATTTATACCCAAATCCTTCTCAAATCCCTCATAATCAAATTTCTAATCCAAACAACACCTATGATTATATATCCGGGAATTCTTTAGTGCAGTGACTTCATTGATGCCGCCCATTTTCTACCGGCCATACCCGGTCTTGGGCTTTCCCCTTTACCGGGTTACGATAACAAAATAAAAAAATTCTTTTAAGTTTTTTGTAGTTAGAATAACGTTAAATACTTAATACGAAGTTCATGTAATATTTTGTTTTTATATTTTGTACTTTTGTTCTCTATTTTTTTTTACAATTTATACCACATTAAAAAAACAACAAATGCATATTTTTTGTTGAAAACCTACAAAATAAATATGATTCTGTTTAAAAATACTTCTACCGTGTATTAAAATTAATTTTATATTATCAATGGTTGTGCTAGAAATACAATTCGAAGATATAAACTCAAGATATTTGAACCGTGATAATTGGAGATGGGCTAACATCTTATGAATTACTCTATTTCTAAAAAAATTACTAAATGTACATGTGTTTTACCTACATTTATGACCCCCTATCACTAACGTGGTTCTGCCGCTTCTAGGGATAACAATCAAACCTGCAACCATGGGTATCCGACTACTCCGACCCAATCAATATGGGGAATCAACACATTGACTGGGTATGGGGGAGTACGGATAAATCGCAAAAAGTTTGATGGGGATGGGATAGTGACACGCTAAAACAAAACACCTAACAATGGCCAAGTGTAACCAATGAAAGGGACTGCAGTATAGTGGCACAAGTAATAAATATCGAATCCACGGGTCTCTAGAGTTACTATTACTCAACTTCAGTTCATTATCTAGCAAACTAGATTAAAGATTGATTTATAAACTACTATACTGACTACTCTACTAATTACAAGTTGGGAACTCACTTAGGTGTGATTCCCCCTAGCTCCTCAATTAGGTCCAAGTTGCAATTACCTTTGGTTGATCTACTGATGATTAAACTGCGGAAGATCCTAAATTAGCTTGGAATCTCTTAAGCTGACCAAGCCCTCTTAGACAGAATACCCGGCAGGCGACTAGCCTTCACCGGGATAGACTGCTAAGGCGATTCACACAGATCTCCATTATTGGAATGAATTCCAGTACAAAGCAGTAAATTGATTGACTCTCGCACAACCAATTCACTACTATCAATAAAGGAAGCTCTCTTAACCTAATCAGATTCTATCTATCATAGGTTAAAGCAGAAATCAAGAGAATTTGATCAAGATTCAATTGACTCAACAAATCATGCCTCAATCGATTATAATCACACAATATAGCATCCAAAACTTCATACAAGAAAGATCCTAACACATGGAACTAGGGTTCCTCAAAACCTAAGTGAAGGAAAGTTACTCCATAGAGAAGAGAGAGACTGCAGAAATCTGATCTAGATCTTCAATCTCCATCTCCAAGCTTGATTCCCGAGCTCCAATGGCGAAGAAATCCTCCAAAATAGCTCCAAGAATGTTCCCAAGTCGCTCTCTCTCTCTCTAGGGTTCGTCCCTTGGGTGTTTGGGAACCAAAAACCCAACTCCCCCTTTCCTTTGGCTCGAATCTGTCTCAAAAACCCGATTCTGGGCGAATTACGGGCTGAATTACGGTCGTAATTCTTCCATGCCCGTATTTTGCCCAAAACACGCGTTTTGGTTAAGTTTCAGCGCACCCAAAGCTCCTCTCGGCAGTGAAATTACGGGCATGGGAGGCCAAATTACGGTCGTAATTCTCCTGCCCGTAATTCTTCCTCCGCTCCTGTTCAAAGCTTCGTTTCTCCCTCGTCCGGACTCCAAATCAGTCGCCGTTTGAACCCAGACGCTCGTAGTCTCGTCCTCTTTCTTTTCATAACAAAATTCCATGATTATCTTTCCATAAAGTGAGATAGAAATCAATTCTTCTTCAGGTCATGCCCGAGTTTCTTCTCCCTAATCGCCAATTGATCTCTGATTGACTTGAAACTTGCGCCTATGCTTCACTTTATGTGCTATGACCTGAAATATGACAAAGGAACACAACCTAGCGTAAAATAGGCCAAAGACACGATAATTCAAGCTCAAACAATCAAGAAACTAAGGGGAAAACATGTGCAAATACCGAGTCATCAAATCCCCCCACACTTAACTGTTTGCTTGACCCCAAGCAAACCTATAACTCAAACCAATGCAGCTCTACAGAGCTCTATAGCAACATACAACCCCGATCGTCGGTAGAGGATTTCCTAGATCATATAGCAGCTTACGAGGTCAACTGGTCTTCTAAGACATTTCCTATCTTTCTCAATGCGAGTACTAGACTCAAGCCAGGATCATGAGAAAAAGTAGAAGTAAGACAGTCAGTTCATGGATAAAGGGACTCACACCATTCACAACCAAAGACTCGTTGTACCGGGGTGCTCTTTCACTTCATTTCACCGTTGGAACCCCTTTTTCTCACTTTCATTTACATTTTTTTCTTTTTTTTTCTTTCATTTGGTGGGGTTCCAACTGCAGTCTTTTGCACGGTCGAACCTTATTAGTCGAGCAAGAGCAATTTCTGTACATCTGGCGCTCGCCAGAGTACTTCTTTTAACTCCTTTTCCTTAACTCGTGTGGAGGGTCAATGAAATTAAGGGGGGGTCGGAAGCTCTATTCGTGCCCTTAAAAACACATCCTCAAGTAGGCAAACCGTTCTACGGGTGGAAGTTTTACTTATACTAGAGACAACTTAGCTTCACCTTGTAGGAGTACCCCACTAAGGATCACTAAAATCTCTTCCAAAACCCGATTTTGTGCAATGAACGGTGCCGCACACGTTGGGCTTACCCCATGTTTAAGATTTAATGATTTTGACATGGGGGACCAACTGCTTCCCATTTTCCATATGAGCACCCTGTTCGATACACGAGTCCATAACACAATCCAAATAGAGTCACCATTACCACATGAATTCAACGGTCTTAGCTCCACTAATTCACAAAATCAACCTGCACAGTAGAGAGCTAGATAGGAAAAATCTTATACTTCAACATCCTCCATAGTGCTACACTACCTCCCCAGGTTGCACATTACTATAGAGTCTGTCAATTCAATGCATACTGAGCAGGCAATTTGCATGGAAACACGTACTTAGAGCCCTCAAATCGAAATTTGGACAGTGGACTAGGCTCCAAGCACACAAACAGCCAAACATTCACCCGCATACATAATCGAACATCCCCCGACACTTAAGCACGACATTGTCCTCAATGGAGGAAAGATAAGGAGGGTAGAACGAAGTTACCAGATCCAGGGTGAATGATGGTGGACGGGGCAGACGGTGTATTCTAGGAGGAGAGAGTGGTCAGACCACAAACACCACACAAAATCTCACAAAGGTTGAGTTATTGACTCTAAAATCAAATAACAAAACTGACTCAACCGAGGAGAAATAGAGAAAGAAATGCAAACCGACTGGTTGGGTTGCCTCCCAACAAGCGCTTCTTTCACGTCGTGAGCCGGACGATGGCTCCTAAGTTTCGGTCCACCCCAGAACCTCTTTGAAGTTGAGGTTCTCGTCGATGAGGTGGAGTCTCAAGTCACGAGCATGTGGTGTGGCAGGTGATGAAGGCTCATGCACTTGATGCAGATGAAGTCTCCACCCTCGAGACCTCTTCTTCTCTTCTCTCGTCTCATTGCCCCAAACCAGATATGACAGCATCGATTTACCACCATCACGTCCACCAAGAGGGACCGATGTCGATGTGGCCTTGGTTGGCAAAGAGACACTGCAAATGGGTCCTTTGCAAACAGCTCCTCGAAGTTTGGTGGAGATATCACATGTAACTCATGGCCGGTGCAGGCCTCTTCCACCTTAACTCCGTCCTCAGCCTGGATGCCAATTTCTTCTTCAACCTCCCTTTCTTCTACATGTGGTATCACCCCTGGGAAATGATCAAGAACTCCTCCTGCTTCACTTTCGTCATCCTCCACAACTTCTTTCTGCACCCTTTCTTGCTCTTCTTCTTCTAGCACGGATTGGAGAGCAAGTTGCCAAGCAATTTCTTTCATGAGATCTTCTTGCATCTCCTCACTCATGCCCTCCTCTTCAAAGCTCGGTGTGGGATGTGGGAAGGTGTGGTCGGCTATGATAGGACATTCCTGATCATGATCATCACGAGATCTCTCCGTGACAACTTCAGTGTGCTCCACAATGTCCTTGTAGCCTTCTTCTTCCTCCTCCTCTTCTAGTATGGTAACATAAGGGTGATCTGGAGCAGGTTGTGCACAAGATCGCTCAAGATCATCGACGCTCTTCTTAAGGCTCAGGAGGATCTCCTCTGTTTCACGATAGGCCTGGACACAATGATCCATCCTGGAGCATGATCTCTCACAGTCTCGAGCAAACTGCTCCATGAGAAGCCTCAATTCATAGTTTGGATCTGGCTGTGGAGTGTAGCATGGCTCTGCAGAATGGCCCGTGAAGGCCGCCATGGGTAACTCCAGCTCCAATGGCCCCTCTGGTTGTGGGAGAAATTCTTCTCGATAAGGAGGTTGTTCTTGATATGTCCAGGGGTCTGATTGTTCTCCGTAGAAAGGGGGTTGGTACTGGAACCCGGATCCATAGTCTTCTCCTCCTTGATTGCTCCAGCGGGTCTCGGGGTAATACCACTCGGACGGTGGTGGATACCCCCAATGATTGGAGAAGCCATGAGGATCCATGATTCAGATCTGCACCAACAAAAACAAAAACACCCAAGTGAAAAGCAAGGGTGGAAAAGAAAAGAAAAGAAAAACGCTAAAGTAACAAACTTCTGCCTTTCCTAATAATCTAGAAAGTCCCCGGCAACGGCGCCAAAAACTTGACACGCTAAAACACAACACCTAACAATGGCCAAGTGTAACCAATGAAAGGGACTGCAGTATAGTGGCACAAGTAATAAATATCGAATCCACGGGTCTCTAGAGTTACTATTACTCAACTTCAGTTCATTATCTAGCAAACTAGATTAAAGATTGATTTATAAACTACTATACTGACTACTCTACTAATTACAAGTTGGGAACTCACTTAGGTATGATTCCCCCTAGCTCCTCAATTAGGTCCAAGTTGCAATTACCTTTGGTTGATCTACTGATGATTAAACTGCGGAAGATCCTAAATTAGCTTGGAATCTCTTAAGCTGACCAAGCCCTCTTAGACAGAATACCCGGCAGGCGACTAGCCTTCACCGGGATAGACTGCTAAGGCGATTCACACAGATCTCCATTATTGGAATGAATTCCAGTACAAAGCAGTAAATTGATTGACTCTCGCACAGCCAATTCACTACTATCAATAAAGGAAGCTCTCTTAACCTAATCAGATTCTATCTATCATAGGTTAAAGCAGAAATCAAGAGAATTTGATCAAGATTCAATTGACTCAACAAATCATGCCTCAATCGATTATAATCACACAATATAGCATCCAAAACTTCATACAAGAAAGATCCTAACACATGGAACTAGGGTTCCTCAAAACCTAAGTGAAGGAAAGTTACTCCATAGAGAAGAGAGAGACTGCAGAAATCTGATCTAGATCTTCAATCTCCATCTCCAAGCTTGATTCCCGAGCTCCAATGGCGAAGAAATCCTCCAAAATAGCTCCAAGAATGTTCCCAAGTCGCTCTCTCTCTCTCTAGGGTTCGTCCCTTGGGTGTTTGAGAACCAAAAACCCAACTCCCCCTTTCCTTTGGCTCGAATCTGCCTCAAAAACCCGATTCTGGGCGAATTACGGGCTGAATTACGGTCGTAATTCTTCCATGCCCGTATTTTGCCCAAAACACGCATTTTGGTTAAGTTTCAGCGCACCCAAAGCTCCTCTCGGCAGTGAAATTACGGGCATGGGAGGCCAAATTACGGTCGTAATTCTCCTGCCCGTAATTCTTCCTCCGCTCCTGTTCAAAGCTTCGTTTCTCCCTCGTCCGGACTCCAAATCAGTCGCCGTTTGAACCCAGACGCTCGTAGTCTCGTCCTCTTTCTTTTCATAACAAAATTCCATGATTATCTGTCCATAAAGTGAGGTAGAAATCCATTCTTCTTCAGGTCATGCCCGAGTTTCTTCTCCCTAATCGCCAATTGATCTCTGATTGACTTGAAACTTGCGCCTATGCTTCACTTTATGTGCTAGGACCTGAAATATGACAAAGGAACACAACCTAGCGTAAAATAGGCCAAAGACACGATAATTCAAGCTCAAACAATCAAGAAACTAAGGGGAAAACATGTGCAAATACCGAGTCATCAGATAGTATGGTTTTAGCCTCCCCCAATTTTATTCAGATACCCGTGGGTAATACCTGCTTGTGCATCCAACATTACTATATTTAAAATTTGACATGTAGATCCTTAATTATAACACTATATAGACCTAGTAAATCATGAAAAAGATACCATTTTAATACAATTTAGCACCTTTAATCCTAAAATATTCATAAGCCATAAGCAAAAGTACAATATCATCCAAATCATTCATGTACGACTCCGACACATTTATTAACCAATAAATAACTAAAATTATTTTTTGAAAGAGAGAAATAAGTGAAGGGGTGAAGGAATAATTGGAGGGAAAGAAATTATTGTTTGGTTTGGGTGACCACTCAATTACATTTCATTTTCTTACTTTTCTTTCATACTTGTTACAATTTGATTTATCTATTTGTATGTACAAAAAATATTCTTGGTGGTGTGGGTATGAGACTATGAGTATAGGGGTGGCAGTTCGGTTATTTCGGTTATAACCGATAACCGATCGACCGGTTATCGGTTAACTGAAATAACCACTCCTCCTACCGAAAACCGCCCGAACTAGGCTTCGGTTTCTCGGTTATTTCGGTTATCGGTTAACCGAATCACTTTTAAGACCAAAAACCATTTCGTCCAGCCTCCGATAACCGACCGAAGTTTGGTTACCGGTTAGTGGATAACTGGCCAGTTATAGGTTTAACCGGCCGGTTAACCGGTAACTGATAACCGAACTGCCACCCCTATATGTGTATGTGGTGGGAGAGTCTAAAACCATATCACTTCATATCCATAAATGTTTTTGCGGGTTTTAACCATATTCTCCTCATACCCAGTCAATGTGGGAATTTCTTCCGATTACTGGTTGAGGATTCTTGAGTACTTGTGGTTGTGGGTTTGATTTTCATCCCTAACAGCGACGAAACCATATTAATGATAAGGAGTTATAATTATAAGGAAAAATACATGCAAATTCTTTTAGAAATAGAGTAATTGGTAAGATATTAGCTCATCTTCAATTATCACAGTTTAAATCTCTTGATTTTGTATTTTCAACTTCAATTCAAATTTCTAGCACCGTCATTGATAATATTAACTTAATATTTTAAATACAACAGTAAAGATATTTTAAAATTGACTCATATTTACTTTAACCCTTAATATGTTTCTTTTCATGGGTCTCAATTGAGGGGAAAAAACATTGGACGAAAGTACAAAACACGAAGAAACAAATATTAAATGATCTTTGTGTAAAGTATGTAGGGTTAATATATTTGTATGGCCTCAACTTTTCATATAATAAATATTATGGTCAATTTTTTTATTTATATTTTTCACCTATTACTATTTATTTTTTTCATTTTTGAATCCAAAAAAATTGAAAAATGAATTTTAGACCCAGAATTCAATTTTCAATTTTTTTTGCATTCAAAATGGAAAATATAAAAATATTATTGCGGTGACGTGGCATGTTGACCATTAGTCAACGCATTTTACCGTCCAAGATAACGGTCAATTTTCGCGTTTGACCAATTTCGTTACTTTGGTGTATAGTTCAGGCCATGATGTTATAAATCGAAAAAATTGGCAAGGATGTTTTATTATGTAAAAAGTTCAGGCCACTTGCCATGCAATTATATTAACCCAAGTATTTAACGAAAAACTACAAAAATCTAGAAATATTTGTTCTATGCTCCCGTAGCCCAATAACGGAGAAAGACAAAAACCGGCTGTAACCAGTGAAAATGGAATGCATCAGTGGAGTCACTACACTAAAGAATTCCCCATATATATCTTTTTTTTAGGGGAAAGCTGATTGGATTTTATTAAATCAAGAAAAGGATGCCTCAAGGGCTACAACATCAGCAATTATACACGAATAATAATTGTTCCAAAACAACACTTCCTCAGAATCAGAAGTTAAGTGAGCCAACTGATGAGCCACACTATTAGCCTCCCTGTAGGTAAACAACCAATCTCTAATATCCAAATTCTCAACCAATCTCAAAATGTCTTCACAAACGATGCCCACTTCAGTTCTGCAAATCTTTGCACTCTTAAGCAGATGAATAATCTTCTTGCAATCCGACTACACAACAACAGATCCACCTCCCCAATCAGCCACCAACTTCAAGCCGAACAGAACAGTCATTCCTTCAGCCACATCTGGTGGCCATTTAACTTTGACTCTCTTGTTTGCTGCAAACACAGCAGCTCCATTCCAGTCCCTTAAAATGCAACCCAGACCCACTTCCCCCTGCTTGTAATTCCAGCATCTGTGTTCAGTTTAAAGACTCCAACTGGAGGTTTTTTCCACTTGCAATTTTCCCTACAGTTCTGTCTTATGAACGTATCATCCTTCCCCTGAACTTCCATGAAACACTGGATAAAATCATCCGCACGGGGAAACACCTCCCATTCCTGCATAAATTTGTTATTAAAAAGGAAGTTGTTCATGTCTTTCCAGAAAAACCAGAGTAGAGAGCAGAACATATCTGCCAGGGGGTCTTACTCCAGATTCTAGTGTTCCAGCTGCAGTCCACCAGACAATGTTTAAGGGTTTCTCTAAGGCCACAATTTGGACATTCATCATCCATTTGCTTGACTTTTTTTACTGATTTCGACTCCCACGGGAAGGATATTATGAGCAGCTTTCCAGATGAAAGTTTTAATTTTTCCTGGTATCTTTTGTTTCCATAACTCTTTCCAACAGAAGCCTTCTTCTGTAGCTGACATGCCTCCTATACTTTCCTCCAGCCTTCTTCTCTGTTATGTAAGATAGCTAGATTTGACAGAGTAGTTCCCATCTTCAGATTCCATCCAGCATAAGATATCCTTATCAATGACTGGAGATAGGGGAATTTCCAATATTGCATGTTGTTCTTCCTCGGAAAATATGATCTCAAGTAAGTCCTGTCTCCATGTTCTTGTCTCTTGATCAATAAGGCTAGAAACTTTGGCGTCCCAATCCAGGAAAGGGCAGTAGGAGCAAACCTCATGAGTAACCAGATTAGGGACCCATTTATCTCCCCAAATTCTGACTTCCTCTCCAGAACCAATTTTCCAATGGCTTCAAAATTCAATAGGTCCAAAGCTCCCATTAAGCTCCTCCAGTACGTGGGTGGTACTTTGCTTTAAGCAGCCGAGCCACCAAAGAGGTAGGCCTAACATGAATGTTCCAAAGCTGCTTTGTAAGCATGGCTTTATTGAATATCTTGAGATCCCTGAACCCCATCCCTCCATCTTCCTTTGGTCTGCACAGTTTCTCCCACTTTTTCCAGTGACTTCTTCTTTCAGTTCCTTTCTGCCCCCACCAGTAGTTTGCCATAAGGCTGTGAATATCATCAATTATTCCATCAGGGATTCTAAAAACAGACATTGCATAAGTGGTTTGAGCTTGAGCGATACTTTTAATAAGGATTTCTTTCCCTGCCTCACTGAAATACCTGCTCTTCCAATTTGTGAGTTTGCTTCTGACTCTTTCCTGCAGATTTTGAAAGACAGCTTTCTTTGATCTTCCCACACTACAACAAAAACTAGCTTTTGCAACCAAAATTTTTACAACCAAACTAAAATTGGTTGTGAAAAGGGTAGTATATACAACCAATTATATTTTGGTAGCTAAAATATTAAAAATTTGGTTGTCTATTAAAATCAAAATATTGATAACCAAATAAAACTTGAAGAGACCAAATGATTTGGTAGCAAAATGATTTTCACTTTTTCCAACCAAAAATTTTGGTAGCAAAATGATTTTTAGTTTTTCCAACCAAATAATTTGGTAGCATATTGATTTTTACTTTCTCCAACCAAATATTATTGGTTATGAATTTAAGCAAGAAATTTTAAAATCTTAGATAACTAAATAATTTGGTTGCAAATCCAATAAAAAAATTTCAGCAACTAAATTATATGGTTGTCATAGTGTTTTATAAAAATGTAGGTACTATTCTGACTATTATTAAGACTTAGGGGATGTCATAGTAATTCTGAACAAAACAATCCAATATTGGCGTTCACTATTAAGTCTATCGACAAATCCTTTGTTGGACTCAGAGGTGAATTCGATTCCATCCAAGTGATCGGGTAAGAGACAAGGTTTGGGTATTTCGATTCCATCCGATTTCTCCTTCTCCTCCTATTTTCTGTCTCCTCGATCATGTCGATTCCATTCGGTTTCTACTCTTCTTCTCGATTCCGATTCCGATTTCGATTCTGACTCCAACTCCTCCTCTTCTCCAGTCTCCAGAAGAATCACGGTTTCAAGCAAGCAAAGAGTTCATCTGCTTCGCGCAATAATTCCTCCCTCTCGATCGATTCTCAAAAGGTAACTTCAGATCCTAGCTTATTTCTGATCTCTCTCTAAGCTGAACTACTTCGAAAGTCGGTTGGAATCCCATTTTCACTTTTGAGCTGAGTCAAATTCAAGAGGCACTTCGAATCTCTATTGTGGAAAGTATTAGAATTAGATGGTGACCAAGTCTAAAGTGTTCAAATGCAAGCATGAACTGATCACATCCACTGTTTGTTTGTGTTTGTTCAGAATTTCCCATATGTGTTTGTTCCTTCAAAGCAAGCACTCGGAGAGCCTGCGGTGTCACGAGACCAGTCATTGCTTGTTCTGTGACAACCAACGAAGGAAGCCAACTGAAATCCAGATTCAGCAGCTCAAGGTATATGGTGTCTCCACCACAAATGTTCATTTTACTCATTGAAGATGCCTGGGACATGAATACAGTGTTCTACTTTGATATTCCTTTCTTTGTGAAATGCAGGATGCCATTGAGAAGCTGTTGATCTAAGGGAAAGCAAATTCTCATAGATATCGATGTGATGGGCCTCTTGGCTTACAACAGTACCACGTCATCATCACATGGAGGCTTGAAAGGAGGGTGGGAAGGAATAGTTTTAACTTGTACAGTTGGAGCTATGGAGTTGTTATTGTGGTTTTGAGTGCTTCATTTGGTTTACCCCATTTTTACTGTTTTGCCAATTGTATACTTCTTTTAGGATAACTAAAGGAATCAGATTGGTGCATTACTGAACCAAATGGAGCAGCAGCCAAATGGAGTTTCAGCAATCTTCATATGACATTTAACTTCCCATGTCGTAGAGGTAATTACACAAGACATCTTGACAAAGTACTTGAGGAAGCTGCTGCTGAGTTTTATCCTGGTGTTAAATTCATGCGTGTAAGTGGTTTCTGCTCTATATATGACACGCCAAAACACAATACCAAACTGCGACCAAGTGTAATCGCAGTCCGGGAATGCAGTAACAGGCAAGTTCTATTATCAACCCGGGGTCTAGATCTACTGCTTACTCCGTGATTCTCTATTATCTAGCAAACTAATTCGAGTGATTGTTGTTTAAAGCAAAAGCAGTAAGAAAGCAGTAAATTGTTCGGTTTTCAAAGTCAGGAAAGAGTCACTCGGGATTGAGTCCCCCTAGCCCCTTGGTTAGGTTCAATTGTAATTCCCCTGGGTTGATTCACTGTTGATTAGACTGCGGAAGTTCCGACAGTAGCTTGGAATCTCTTAAGCTGACCAAGCCCTCTCAGTCTAACTACCCGGCAGACGACTAGTCTTCACCGGGATAGAAAGCTGAGGCTATGAACACAGAACTCCACTACTGGAGTTGAATTCCAGTACAAAGCAGTAGATTGGCTAACTCTCGTATAACCAATCTCCTACTATCGAATGAAGAGGCTCTAACAACCTAATCATATTCTATCTATCTCAGGTTGCAGCAGAAATCGAGAAAAGCTGATCAGACTCCAATCAATTCAATAAACATGCATCATTCGATTAAAATCAAACAGTAATATCATCCCAAGTCATTACAATCAAATCCCTAACACAAGGAACTAGGGTTCTTCATACCCAAGTGAGAGAAAGGTTCTACTCCATAGAGAGGGAAGAGAAAACAGTAATCGGATTAGTCATACTCATAATGATGAGGAAAATCTGTTCCGGGATGATGGTTTCCACTCCTATGACGATCTCTAAGCTCGATTCGACGAAACCCAGCTCCAAGATAGCTTCTAGGATGTGTTCTTCGTACTTTCTCTCTCTAGGGCTCTGTTTTTGCTCTGAAAATCCGATTCTCTCCCTTTTGGCTCGGAATTGGCTCTAAAACCAGAATTTCCCGACTCACCACTTTGCCCGTGCGAGTCGAAACGCGGCGCATCATTAAGTTCGAACTTCAGCCTTCTCACACGGCCTGGGTTGCACGGCCGTGTGAGAAATCCAGTCTGCCCGTGTTTGGCCTCGGCAAATATCACACGGCCACAATTGCACTTTGCACGGCTGTGTGAACTTCATGGGTTGCCCGTGCGTGGCCTTGGCAAAAGTCACACGGCCATCTTGCTCACCTGCACGGCCGTGTGATGCCCCGGACTGCCCGTGCGGCTTCCTTGACACCTCGCAGCGCGTTCGATCTTCGTCCATCGACCCCAAACTCGCTCCCAAGCCTCCATTCACGTACTAGGACTTGAAATATCACAAACAAGCACAACCTAGCGTGAAATCGGCCTAAAACACGAGAATCAACACCTCAAACGGTGTAAGAACGGGGGTAAAAACATGTGTAAATAACGGTCTATCAAACTCCCCCACACTTAACCGTTTGCTTGTCCCCAAGCAAACCAAGTCAGACACCAGGTAAGCTTACATATTTCAATCAACCAACATTGGGGACAAGTCATTAAGGCACAGAACACGTGAATCGCACTGGTTTTCAAACATCAATACATGAACAACCTCAATAACAACCTGGACAACCACCACAAAGGACATTCGAGTGCAGCAAATCGAGTAAAGGAAGAGTCTCCCTTCTGTTCACTAGCCAACCTAGACTTGACTCAACCACTTCACTCAAAACAGTCAACTCATGCATCCAACTCACGACATCAGAACAGAGACCGAGCAATCTAGGTCCTCACCGGGGTACAAGAGTATAAAGAATATGAAAATGAATCACTCACTCTCGACCAGTGGGGTCAGGACAATTTGATGCGAAAAATGCGCATGCTTTTCTCTCAATCCCTAACATCTCTTCACCATGATGGCAGCCTCTAAATGCTAGAGCTCACATATGGGGTGTCACCACTAACCAATCAGGAGGTCTTAGACACAGGTTCAAATGACTGGCTAGGGTCTTGGACATGGGGAAAAGGCCTTTTAGGTGGTGGAAGTATTCATAGCACAAGGTTCCACATTTCAAAACCCACGCAATCAAACAAACCGGTATTCCCTTTTTGCTATTCTGCAATACTCAACATCTCTCAAGAGCACAAGAGCGAAGGAGATATAAACATCAGCATTTCCAAGCCAGACTGCTAAGAAACACTACTTAATGGGCATTATTCAGATTTTTGGTAGTGGCTCTCTTTTGCTTTCAATTTTTTTCTTTGTCTTACTTTCATTTTCTTTCCATTTCTTAAGAGAGCCACCACTTCTGCACATATTTCAAACACCTGCCCAACTTTTAAGCACTACCTCCAACACTCACATAAACTTTAGCAGAAACAGCAGAGAATATGTAACAACCACTCTGTGGAACCTTCTAAAAGATGCAACAAGGGTGACTTTTTTTTGTTATAGACCAAAAGAAAGGATAACACACGGCTCAAAGGGGCTGACTAGGGGATATGACACATCAGGACAGTCAATTTGGGCGTGGGCTAATCCTATGCCCCCATCATCTTAGCTAGTGACAACGTGAATGCTACACATCATGGAAGAGGGATCTAACGCACAAGAAAGAAACGAGCAGGCTCAAATCTCACATGGCTACCTATATGCTCTATCTCACATTCTGATACCCTGAACTAGATGCATAAACGACTGTCAAGAACAAGTAATCAGATCAAGTCACAGTTGGCAAGCAAACAGTTGAAAAACTGAACCCCTACATCGTTCTACTGCACATCTCAGTCCTCATCATAGGTTGTCCTAGTCGCAAACAAGTTGTCATGCATTAATCCGAAAACCATCCAATTCATCAATCAAAACACAGTGCCAATATGATCAAACAGCAGTACTTGGAGCCCTCAAATCGTAAGATTCGGACAGCGGACTAGGCTCCAAGCACACAGATATATATTCCAACCGATACAAAGCACCCCCCCACACTTAAGCACGACATTGCCCTCAATGGAGTAGAGGGAAAGATAAGGGGAACGATGTTACCGGATTGAAAAACTGCTGGGTGACTGGAAGTGGACCAGTCAGCGGGCTAGCATCAGCAAAACACACTGGGTGATAGAAACCATAGTTCCAAGTGGACAAATCGACAAAAACAAACGAAAGAAAAACAAACCTTGGTGGGGTTGCCTCCCCACAAGCGCTTCTTTACCGTCTTTTAGCTGGACGCCAGTATGGATGCTCAGGGAAGTGTAGGATCAGGTGCCTTCAAGAGCGGATCCATATCGCTCTTGAGGTACAGCTTCAAATGGTGGCCATGCATGCGACGAATGTGGCCACCTGCATTTGCCAGCTCGACTTGGCCATCCGGCAAGATGCAAGCGAGTGAATACTCGGATGGCCCAGGACCAGCTCGTAGTGGTCTCCGGCGCTCTTTCGAGTAGGCTTAGCTGCCTGCAGTTTCGGCCGCCACTCCTCCTTGATCCGTTCTTTTGGGGGCGGTGTGGACTGGAGTGGCAGCGAAGGTATGGGAGGCGGATCCTGCAAAATAGGCAACACAGGAGGATACACGACAGACTCGTGCTCCTGGTGAGATACAGCATGCAGAGGTAACGAAGCAGGTAGAGTGTTAGCAACTGAAAAAGTTATTCGCTCCTCGCCATCCCTCAAAACTAAGGTCCCATCATGCACATCTATGAGAGCCTTGGCGGTGGCCAGGAAAGGCCTTCCCAGTATAAGGGGCACTTCTGTGTCCTCATTGATGTCCAGGACAACAAAATCCACAGGATACTTGAATTTGCCAACCTTAACCAGAAGGTCTTCCACTATGCCCCTAGGATGCACTACAGATCGGTCAGCTAGTTGAAGGGTCATCCTAGTAGCACGAGGTTCACCTAGGCCTAGTTTCTTGAACAATTGATATGGCATAACATTGATACTAGCACCTAAATCCGCCAAGGACTTCTCTACATGCAATTTATCAATAGAGCAAGGGATAGTAAAACTACCTGGGTCCTTTTTCTTCTGCGGAAGCTTGTTCTGCAGAATAGCCGAGCACTCCTCGCTGAGCTCCACAGTGGCCAGCTCACTCAGCTTCTGCTTCTTTGAGAGAAGCTCTTTCAGAAACTTCGCATACTTAGGCATTTGCGATAGTGCCTCCAGGAAGGGCACTTGGACATTCAGCTTCTTAAGCATGGCCATGAATTTTTCGAACTCTGCCTCCAGCCTGTCTTTGTGCAACCGCGTAGGGAAGGGAAGTTTCGGGATATATTCCTTCACTACCGGTTGAGGTTTAGGTGCAGGCACCTCAACCTCCTTTTCTGCTTCTTCTTCAACCGCTGGAGACACTAAGACAGGGATCTCTCTCTCTTGCTCCCGAGCCGGTGGATCAACAGTCATCTTGCCACTCCTGGTCATGATGGCATTGCAGTGCTCATTCGGGGTTGGCGGATGAGGGATAGTCTGCCCGGGTAGAGTACCAGGAGCCCTTTGAGCCACTGCCTGAGCCACGCTCCCCAGCTGGGTCTGGATATCCTGCAAGACAGCCTGTGTGTTCCTCTGACCAGCTTCAAGGGCCAGGAATCTACCCGAGGCCTTTTCCATGAACTGCTCAATAGTGTTGAATTTCTGAGCACTAGAACTGGCGAGAGAACCCACCAAGTCCCGCAGTTCGGCCATCGGATCATTCTGCACTGGGGCAGCAGGGGCTGCACCTGGCTGCTAGAAAGGTCGCGGCTATGATTGAGCAGCATGCCCCTGCATGGGCTGATAAAGAGACTGTTGTTGCTGCTGGAATTGCCCCTGTCTGGGCTGATATGGTGGCCTCTGGAAGCCCGGCGGTCCCTGAGGGACTGGTGGTCTGGAATTTGCCCCACCCCAGGAGAATTTAGGATGCTGGCGCCACCCCTCATTGTACGTGTTGCTGTAGGGGTCATTGCGCCTGACATTATTGATGAAGTTCACCTGTTCCTGGGGTGTGGTTGATTCCTTCATCGCCTGGCAGTCTTCCACCGTGTGATGGGTGATCTCGCACCAGTGGCAGAGCATCGCCTGCTGCTGTCCGGTCCCTGGAATCATCCCGGAACGATCGATAGCTGAAACCAGCTTCGATACTACCTGCACCAAATCAGAGGGATGGGCTCCCACAGAATGTACACCTCGGCTGGGTGCTCTCCTCGACCTCCTGGCAGTGCCCCAATCATAACCGTTCTCCGCCATCTCCTCAAAGAGTTGATTCAGCTGTGGCGGGGTTTTGGTCAGCATGTTCCCGCCACAAACCGAATCGATCAGCTGCTTGTCCTCCGGGAAGAGGGCGTGATAGAAGGTGCCCACCTTGAAGGCATCATTGAAGTCATGATTTGGACACCTCAGAAAGAGACTGTTGTATCTCTCCCAAGCATCCCTGATGGTCTCATCCTCATCCTGAGCAAAATGTGTAATTTGCTTCTGCAGGTCAGCTGTCTTGGATGGAGGATGGTAGCGGGTGAGGAACTTGTCCGCCAGGTTGGCGAACGTGGTGATGGAGCCCGGAGGTCGAGTGTCTAGCCACTCCTTGGCTTGCCCCTCCAGAGTAAATGGAAAGTAACTCAGCTGGATGGCATCTGCTGGTACCCCATTGATCTTGATTCCATCGATGAGCTCGTGGAATCGCCTGAGATGTGATCGAGGGCACTCTCCCTCCTTACCACGGAACACCACTGAACCGCGCAGCATAGTGATTACTGAGGTGCTCACCTCAAAGTTGTTGGCTGGGACATGAGGGTGTTGAATGGGTGACCTCATGTCCGCAACCCTAGCGGTCCAGTAGGATCCCATGGTCTGCTCCTCGGGGATCACATCACGGTTCTCTGGATCACCCATCTCTTCTTCTTCTTCTTCTTCTAACTGCAGCTGTGATAGCTCCTCCTCCGCAGCCAGTCGCGCCTTTAGAGCCCGCTTGAAGTTCCTGCAAGTTCGTTCAAGCTCCTAGTCTAATGGTAGTAGTTCTCCCGACTGGCTACGGGTCATGCACTACCTGCACACAATCAGCAGAAGCAACCCGTGAAGGCACACAGGTGGAAGAGATAAAATGCAGTAAATAAAAAGCTAGAGTAACAAATTCTCACGTTTCCCCAATAACCTAGAGGGCTCCCCGGCAACGGCGCCAAAAACTTGACACGCCAAAACACAACACCAAACTGCGACCAAGTGTAATCGCAGTCCGGGAATGCAGTAACAGGCAAGTTCTATTATCAACCCGGGGTCTAGATCTACTGCTTACTCCGTGATTCTCTATTATCTAGCAAACTAATTCGAGTGATTGT